TTTAAACATTGAAAACAGCAACAAACCGTTTAAAAGTTAGAAGATATTTTAAGAAAGTCAGCGAGAAGATGGGGGTTGTTTTCTAAATAGATTTTGAATCGCATAGAATCATTACATAGATCAAATACAACATCGGGAAGGGAGTTCCAAACATTAATTATTCTGATACTAAAAAACGAGGCAACGATGTTACTATTATGTCTTATATTTGAACGTAAATAATAGCGATGGCGACGCAGCGCACGGAGACTGAGGGAGAAAAAGAAGAGACTATCGAAATCAATGGGGACTTCTCTAAGTACAATTTTATAAACAAGAGACATGTCAAAGATGAGGCGTCTTGTCTCAAGAGTTTTTGAGACTATTTTCAGATAAACAAGTGAGAAATAAAAGTGGTAGGGCGAAAGCCACAACGATGGTAAGCTCGGAGAAAACTTTTCTGAACACCTTCAATCAAACAAATATTGTGAGAGTCAATTGGAGCATAGACTACAGAACAATAATCAATAATAGGACAGATATACACTTCAAAGCATTTTAAATACAATGAAAGCTCAGTGGATCAGAAACACGTTAAACATAACATTTATGCGACATTTACACCGTCTGCAGATTTCAGATATATGATCATTGAACTTAAGGTTATTTGAGAAAAACTACACAAGATCTCGAGACTGAAAGTTTAGGCTTTACGAGTTCATTCAAACACGTTTTGCTTGCAAGAAAAGTTTTTAAGGTGAACATTGCAGATCTGGAACAGAATTTTGCGGTAGATAGCCCTAGGTATGAATACACGAAAACAGAAAGAAAAAAATTCGCTAAGCGTTATGGGATGCGGATAAATAGTTCGGTAAAACGTACAAAAAAGCTCAAAAACTAATGCACTTTGGGGTTTTTGGAAAAAATTGCTAAATGAACGAAAAAAAACGACAAGAAATGTTCTCATTTGAAAATTGAAAAAAGAAACGACTTCTCCTTGCTGAATGTTGATTACTAGTACTACTGGATTACCAGAAATCTATGTCGCGGCGTGACAACGAAGCGCAGAACTTGGCACGGCAACATCTTTTGATGCAACAAAAGTTTTCATTTCCTGTTGGATATTTTTTAGAATTATCACAGTTGATAAAAATTTCATATACTATCCGTGTTTCTTTGGTAATCCACCGAATAGGAAAAGCCTTATTTTCTGTTCCTATTCGAACGGATTTTCTGGCCCCAAAAATATTAGTTTTCAATAAGCCATAGTCCAACTTTGATGAAAGTTCATTTTTAAACCTTTTCTCAGACGCCAATGCCAAAATTTGGTGAATACTTTGTGTTCTACCTGTGCTTGTCGTTGTTTCCCAAAGACACCGAGAAGGCTTGCGTTCTTTTTCTAGCACTTGTCGAAGGGCTGAATCATCATCCCAACCGACATCTCTGATATTGAGAACAGTTTTTCGATCAAAGTTCACGATATGCTGTATTATTATCATCTTTTTTTCTCATCGAGTATATAAATTGAGTGGCAGACTTTCAAATCAAAAATTTGAAAAATAGAATTGAGATTTATACAGTGAGAAAAAGTATTACTTTACGGCTCCCGTAAGGATCAGGTCATAAAAATCGTTGAGGTCTCTGAATTCGACGTTACCACAAATTTCTCTTATGGGGTTTCAAAGCGGAAAGATTTTTTGACGACTGACTGGAAGAGGCAAAAGACGTAAAACAGGGCCCATATCCGAAACCATCCATTTTTTTTTCTTAATTATGTTTTCTGGTGGAGTTTTGAAAGAGCCGGATAGATCACGGGCTTCTTTTCTCTCCGTGTTCTCTTCAAAAATCAATTTTGTTTATCACCAGGTCTTTTGGAAGACGCCCTCCTCGAGCAGGAAATCGCTTTTGTTCTATTTTTCACACACTCTAGCCCCTCCTCGTCTTGCAACTTTCACCTTTGAGCAAAGCTCTGTACAGAATTTTTGGATCTGACTAACAAAAAAACTTAGAAAAAAATCCCATATTTTTATCGATTTTACTTTTTTTCACATAATTAACCATCGTAGTTTTTTTCTTCTAGATCCAAAAGATTTTTTTGCAAGTTGCGTCATTAGCGTCTAACGGCTAAACCAAGGTTAATGATTGACCTAGTAAAAAGCTATGAGTATTTTTTTGCAAAGTTTTTTTCATTTTTGCAGCAAAATATCGACTACTCCATTAGATTCTTTAAAACTAGAAAAAATGCAAAAAGAATTTTCCATAAAACTCTCCGCGCACTATAAAATTTTCGAACTTTGAATTTATTCTTTTAAAGACGTTCAGTTTCTTGATTTTAATATAGTTTTTTGAGCATTCCACTCTTTTTTCGTCTTTTCCCACTTTCAGTCACGTTTTTCAACAAAAAAGCATTACTTCAGCTTTTTGTTGCACAAAAAAACCTTGTAGATAATATTTTCATGATATAGAAAGTAGTAAAAATTTTTTTTCCAGCGGAACAGATTTTTGATTTTTCTTTCCACCCAAACGTTTTTTTAAAATCGGTTTTCTATTTGGCCGCTCTGATGTTCGTACGGCGTTATCAAAGCGATAAGGTTCAGTTCAGTAGCCTCATTTCATTAGACCGTCGACCACTTCTTTGCCTGCAGTCTGGCAGCGCTACCGGTGTGTCTGAATTGAGGTTACAGAGCTAGGCGTCCAATCAATATCAATATAGTCGTTTTTATGTTGATTGTCGAGCGACCAAATGCGACTCAAAGACTACAATACCTTCTCGCGTCGATTAATTATCGGTAGTGGAGATGATTCTTCTATGGTTTGCTCTAAAAAATCTGGAGTTTCTGTTCTCAATAATCAATATGTGTCTCCAATCCCAGTAAATCGCTCGTTAGGGCGTTTTTATATCGGGTTTTTTTCACTCAAATTCTTTCTTTTCAAATACTCTGTATTTTCGTGTTTAAATGAGATGAATGAATAAATAAATAAATAAATGCTTCGTTTGATGACTTATGCCGCGGAAATTTGCAGCGCTATTAAAGGATCATAGTGACGTAAGATGGTTGGTCAAAAGGACAAGGACAGTTGCCATGGAGGCGGAGTTTGCTGTCTGACATTCATAATCTGTACAGATTTATAGGTTCTAGCCACGCCTCTTTAGAGCCCCGCCTTTGAGCCGCGCACCTTGTTATAGGAGATCCATCTCGCACATCTGTCACATCCTCCGCTCCTCCCGTGTCGTATTCTCCTTTCTTTCTGCTTCCTCTCAAATGAAGATTCGTTTTAGCAAATGGTTCAAAACTTTCTATAATTCTAGAACTTCTTTGAGGGGCTGACAGTCCGAGCAGTCTAGCCGATATTTGCCAAGACCGCACAACGTTTCAAATTGAAATACGGCGTCCTCTGGCGAAATCGGATTTTTTTTAAACGAGATTACATCACGGCACATTTCTTTGAATTTTTAAAACTTTTCTGGTTTTTTTCGAATAACTTAAAGAATCATAGTAGAATCTCAAAGTTCTCTGTGAAAAAGTTGTGAATGATCAGAAAAATGAAATTTTGCACCAGCAAAGTGAGGTCACACAGTAGCCGTTGTAAAAATCTTCATCATCCTCTTCTTTTTCTTGGAGTTTTCAATCATAGAACGTCGGTTACTCGATTTCTCACTCTGTTGACTTCTTCTTCTTTTTTTTTGTCTTTTTTTCCGATCTCTTTCTGCATTCCTTTCTCTTAAGATTTTTTCTGCTCAATTTTTTTTCCCAGTACCATGAAACCAAACATTTGCAGAAGAAAACTCACAATGTGAAAATTATTACCAATAGTTATTATTGAAAAGAAAAAGAAAGTTATAAAGTTTTTAATTGGTTTATGAACAAAATCATCAAAAAAAAAAACAAAAAACTTTGAAATCAAAGCCAACAACATTTGTGCATACACTGTGCACGCTCACGATTTTGCAGGCTCCAAATTGATTTTGTCATCATTCTGTTCAAGACCATTTTCATTCAAAAACCTCACCACGTACTTTAAATAGATCCTAAATTTGGAATGAATGTCCTTTTTGTTTCCTTTTTCTTTTCCTTTTCTGAATCTTTCCCAACTCATTTAAAAAGCTTTTGGATATGAAATTGCCGATTTGATTTTTTATCGTTTTTTTTTTTGTTAACGATTATTGAAAACAATTTTTCAGCACACACCTACCTCTTTTGTGGCCGGCATTTCGGACTGTTCGTGTAAAATGAGTGAGTTCAATCCGATTTAATTTTTTTCTTTTAATTATCTTTTTTCAGGTGTGCTCAAACTTGTGTTTTAAGCTATAGGTTTTTCTTAATTTTTAGATAAAGTAGGTAAAGTAGTCTGAGATAGTTTAGATTTTAGTTTAGTAATTTTCTCAGTTTTTGGTTTTCGACCGCTGATTTTACATATCGGCAGTTCTTCTCACCTGGTGGTATGGCGTAGCAGCCGACCCCGGGCGTTCCAATTTCTAAATTTTTTCGGTTCATTTCAACTATCTGAACAATTTGCTAACCTGGCTATGTCAAATTGACTCCAGGCTCCCATATTTTTATTTTCTTGTTCGATTCCAAAATTGAACATTTCGTTCTCACCTGGGCGTACGTGCAGTCCCCAGGCCGAATTCCTGTTTTCTTGTTCAAATTCATCTTTTAAAAATTTCTTTTCACCTGGGTGCAAGGCATGAATTTCATGCTTTCCCCAGGCATCTGAAACACTGATTTTTTTCATTTTTTTGATAAGAGAGATTTTTTTGTTTTTCTTCATTCAGAAAAATAAAATCAAAAAAATTTTAATGATTATTTTTTTATAAACAACTATTCTCAAAAATTTTTTTATAAAAAAATGGAGTCTGTTGTAATTAGTAGTTTGAGCTTAAAATATTGAACTTAAATGACGGTAAATAAAAAATTGTTAATGAATGAAAGAAAAATAAAAACACGAGCCGGCCACGAGAAAAAAAGAGAGGATCCAACGGAAAAGAGGAGAAGTCTGGAAAAAAGAAAAAAGAGCGGATGGACCACAAAAATAGGCAACGTGAGTTTTTTTTTTGGTTTTTTTGCAGAGTTTATTGAGGATCATGGATATAATACATGTTTAAAAGTTAACCACAGTTTTTTTTAACGTATTAGATATCAGGCGACGTGAAAACTAGGATTTTCGTTCTCGTTGTTTTCATTTCCATGAAAATTAGTAATTTAATTTGAGCAGAAATGAAGTTTTTCGCCTTATGAGAGAATTTCGAAAATTTACAACTGTCATTTTTGTGGAGTTTCATGATTTCCCTTAAAGTTCAAGATTTTTTCATTGAATAGGACTAGATTTTATACTAACTCCAATCATAAGACTTACCGTAGCTCAGCAGTAAGGAGAAAATAGTTTGTTCAATTTTGGACTGGTTTTCCATGATAATCAGAATCAGCTAGTCTCGGACTGATAAGAAGCACTAACTGACAATGTGAATTAGCAATTGAGTTTGTCGTATTTTTTGTGAGTTTTGATTTCGAAGGGTCCGGTTAGGCTTATATTGATTCAATAAGTATGGGATCGATGGCTATATTCAAAGTCAAAGCTCCATGGGCAAAGTCGGAAAGAAGTGAAAAAATGGTGAAAAAAAATATAAATATTCCTTTCTTGCTCTCTCTTTTGCGCCGTTTCATAGGCTAACATGCACAATTTTGCTGCTTGTCTCTTTTTTCACCATTTTTTTGCGTCTTTAAAATCCTAGAAAAAATAGCAGGCTCAATAAAGGGACTCTATTTACTGCCGTTTCGCGGCCTTTTTCAAGCCTCTCCCTTTTAGTTATTGCGAGCTATTAGGATTATTTGAATTGAAATTTTTCTTTTTAGGGACTTTTTGCAAGGAAGTGGTGAATTCGTTTACCATGGTTTACCCAAAAATCGATCATAAATGTCTCAAAATGACTCTTCAATAATTTATTCCTAACATGTCAACAAACATCTATAAGAGTTTCGGATATGAAAAGTTTTCCAATTAACATTATACCATTTACATTCCTAGATGAACACGGTTACGCACTTTCAAATCACGAAAAACGGACATCAAAATTATCTTAGCATGCTGGAAAAGTTGATCATTTTTTTTTGAAGATATTTGAGCTCGAAATGGTTTAGGTCTACATATTCTTGAGTGCGGATAATTTCAAAATTTCAAAAAAAAATCAAATAAAACTTTTTTGGGTGATTTTTTTAGGTCAGGCTTTTTCCCTGAAAGTAGAAAGAACTTTAAGGGACTCAATACCAGATTTTTTTGAGAAAAAAAGCGCCGAAACCATAAATGAGATGAGTCAGATTGATTGTAATATTACCTTTAAGCCCCGGGCGGTACCGTTGGCAGCTTTGGACCAAGCCAGCTCATCGGGCGCTTCCAGCTCCCGGCAGCCCCAGAGCGTCGCTTCTCCCGACGACATGCCCGGAGGATCGGGCACCTTCTTCGATCCGGTGCACCAGGTTGAGAACTTTCCTTTTGAAACAGTCCGACCCGTCTGCGCTCTCTTTTCCCTCGCCGACTTTAGAAAAAGATAATCTTGTCGGATGCGCTATAGTCTTTTTCGCGTGTCTGCGTCTCTCTGTTCTCTCACCACCGAGGTTAGAGAAAAATAAAAATAAAATGGCTCTTCAATAATTTATTCGTCACATGTCAACAAACTTTTATATGAGTTTCGGTCATGAAAAGTTTTCCAATTACCATTATACCATTTACATTCCTAGATGAACACGGCAAACTCATTTACCAATTTCTTGAGGACAACCGAAGTAATCGCAACTTTCAGATTCTTATTGGCGGATAAAAAAAAAGAAGGAAAAATGATGAGTTGCACGGCTTTCGTCCAGATCCTTGGCACATTATATCTCCAGCAGTTGAAAACTTCAGTGGAGGAGTCCAGAAAAGAAGTATGTGGTTTTTTTTAACTTAAAATTTTTAAAGTTAATGATGGAATGGCTCTGAGAAATAGCGGTCGTTTTTCCAAGCTTTTGTGAACAACTCATTTTTCGATGGCTATTTATTACGAACTATTCTGTCCTCTACTTAGGAATCTGTAGGGGTTAGGACAAGAAATAATAATCCTTATAGAGACCTAAAAAGTGGTCCCTATAGGCGTTCAGGGTCTGACCCTTAGCCCCTGTAAGTTGAGTGGTCCTTATAGGGGTCGTTCGAAATCACTAAAAAAGGGTATTTTATTTTTGTTTAGTTGGTCGTGCATAAGAATCATGTAAACTATCGACTAGCTTTGAAAGCTTTAGAGAGGACCCTTCAAGGGTTCTTAGGTTGCCCCTATGGAGACCACTCTGAAATTCCTAAAGTTTCTCAGTCCAAGGGTAGAGAGAAGACGTTATTAGTCGTTGAGAGAGCGCTGGGGAGATGCCACTTTTATAGGGGCTATGAGGAGGCGGAGATTCTGTCTGTCAAAGGCCTTAGGGTAGACGTCCTTTTAGAGGTCCCTCATAGGCCCTCTGTGAAACCCTCTATAGAGTCTCTCAAAAGTTTCTCAGGCCTATACTTATAACGCACTATAGGCTTATTTCTATTCTCAATAAAAAGTTTATTATCTTATAGTACAAGGAAGTGAGGATCACGCTTCGTATGTGCCCCCACGAGACAAGGGTATGTTTCCGTGGCATCGAATGAGGTCATTTATATTTTTTGAGGAGAAGACAGATTCCGAGTGCCTCAGCCAAAAGATAAACGAATTGACAGAAGTAAGTTCATTCTCTTCAGTCTCCTTCTCCTTCTCCTTAAAAAAACCAAGTTTTCCTGTTTCGTTCGTTAGGCAAATGATGTTAAAAAAAATCGTCTAGAACTTATATTGAAAAGACTTATCTCAACGCTTTTCAGAAGAAGAAAAATTCGCCGACCAATTATTTGCCGTCCTCAAAAGAAAAAATTAACAAAAAAAAATTAACAGAATCCAGACTCCGGCATAAATGCGGTAAGAAACACTTTTGAAACAAATCCAATATTAGGTTTCAGGAGAGATAACAATTTATCGTTGGAGAAGGGAAATGATGGATAAGACCTTGGAACGAGACAAGCTGTGAGCTTTTTGAACTGATAAAGCGGCTGGCCAACGACCTGCAAGTACATTTTTTCATTTAGGTAAGCTTTTTTACATTATGTTTCTCGAAAATATCAAAACAGTTTTTGAATAAGTTTCCAACTTTCTTATAACATTATTCTTATCACTCTGATTAGATCTACGTTAGCAAAAACGCCTTATTTCATACTAGAACCTTTTTTTTGAACTGTTTATTAATCGTAACTCATGAAAAAAGAGGGTGAATGAATCAAAAATCAACGAAGTTTCGAACGACGATTTTTCCGATATTTTTTTTTACAGAAAAATTATTTGAGATCTTTCATAAACCGAAAAATATAAGGGAAAAAATGTGAAACATCGCAATCGGAAGGCTACCCATAAATGTGAAAAAATTGAAAAGTAATCTTTAGAACTCTTTTAAAGTTGGACCTCACCAAAAATGATTGAAAAAAGTGATTTCAGGCTGAAAATCTCGCACTTTTCAAATCGAACGTCGAAACTTTTAAACAACGGCGACGCCAATAGAAACTTTTCTTCCGCTCCACGGATCAGCGATCAGCAATTTCAATTCATGTTTCAAATTTCGTCCAATTTTTGTTTTAAACTTTGTTCACTTTTTCCCAATCCTTTCTCTACCTTTTTTTTAATTTTGACTATTCAACCCCATCTATTTTTTTCAATTTGCATTAATCTACTTTTGCAAAAAAATGTTTCATTTTTTTGATTCATTTTTCCAACCGTTTATTTATTTGTTCCAATCAGTAAATTCTTCGTCATGCCCGGTTATACGAGCTCCAAACACTAAAAAAACACAAAATGGATCAAATTTTTTTCAGAAATTTGCATGAAGACGATTTTTTTCACGAAACCAAAAAAACACATCAAAAAAAGAGATTAAAATCCAGTTCATAGTTCTTGGAAAAAAAGCTCAACAAATGAAAAATATTTTTGATGAAAAAAAGCGCAGTATTCGAAAGAAAAAGGCGGAAAGATATATTCCCAATTTTATCCATAAATATACACTTGTTTTTTTCATTCTAGCCCCAAAAGTTACAAAAAAATTATATAGCAAGGAAGTTGAGATCAAGAAACAACTGATAATCATTCTTTCTGAACAATAACTTAATAAAAAAATTATTTTTAAAATGGTGGCTTTTTTTAGGTATTCATCCTTAAATCATTACTATGGACATTGAAAATGATCGATAATTGTTTCCCATGGATATTACATCCGCCCCCGACCAACAATGAGTAGAAAACAGTTGATTTTTTTCAAATTTCAAATTAGACATATTCAACTATTTTTGGCAGTATTCAGTTTATCCCAAAGTCTATTGAAACTTCCGCGTACGATGTAATAATTTGTTTGAACTTCAAAAATACTAAAGATGGATTGTATTCCTTATGAAATTTCAAACCAAAAACAGGTTCTGACGAGCTTCTTAACGCTTTCGTAAGGGAATGTGCGCCCCATTGGACAGAGGATAACAAGAACCTTGTTTTTTTACGGCGCGAAGGTGGAGAAACTCTTCACAAATAAATTTTTTTGTACTGCAGAAAATACTCGAATAAGCATCCATTTTACTATAAGAATGAGGTCAAGAGTTAGAGGACCCCTAATCAGACGACTTCAGAATGTTCCGCGGCAGACGAGAAACAGACGCTAAACTGCTCAAAAGGAGGGTAATCGATCCAATTTTTCCGGTTGTTCCGCCAATAAAAAAACCAATATTCTCCGTCCCGTCAACTCAATGCTCATTTTCCTTCAAGACAGAATTCAGCAATCTTTTTTTATCATCTGATGCAGAGGGAAAACAAAGAAAAAAAGAAAGAAAAAAATTGATAATCAAGGACACAATAAGATTTTTTTCATCAAAATAACATTAAACAAGTTTCAAGTTTTTCCGATAAATGGCCTACATTTCAGAGACCAAGATAATGAGTTAATAGAAAATATTTACTATAGATTGGAGCGTTTGCTAAGAACAAATATATGAGTATAAAAATACGGGGACAATGAATTAACTTTTATGTATTGTCGGTAAAGGGACAAAGATTTGAAATGTCAAAGTCCGATTGACCGATGGGTTCACAAACGTATATCGTCACGAAGATCAGCAACTGGAGGGATGTTGAAAAATGTTGTCACTTCTCAAACCCGAAATGGTCTTCTTTTATGCGACATTTCGTGGGAAGAGTCGGTTGTTCACCCTGAAAATTTTAAAAAATTGACTCCAAAGGATTATTACTCCGAGCTTCTGAATCAAGGACCCGAAAATTCAACGAACATTATTCGTGAAACAATCCAATTCTCAAGAAATGAAAATTAAAAACAATTTTAGTCTTCCTGTCACGACTTCGTTTTTTTTTGCGTTTTTTAGAAGTCTATTCCGAACATTCTTTCAAATTTCGACAAGAAAAACTTACAGGAACTTGTCCGAACTGCATCTGTTGTTTTTGCTGTGGGAGAATGCCCGATCGGACTTGTTGCCACTCGATCGTGGTGAATCACCATTCTCACCAAAATGGCTGAAAGAACTACTTTAGTTAAAAACAATTCAAAAAAACAGACCATGTTTTTTTAAACTAATACTGGAAGAAAAAGGTATTAAAACAACAGATTTTTGAACTTGCAAAAATTCGAAAATAAAAAACAATCGAAACTAAAATGTTTCCTGTTGAGTTCATTTAACTGGTAAGAGAAAATTTAAGAACTCACAGGGCCAGATTGGCCTTTTTTCAAATTTTCGCTGCAAGTTATCCTCGCGGAACTGCGGCCAGAAATCCTGAGGCTTCGTGGTTGCCCCCCACGAAGACAGTTCAAAATAGGGGCTACCTACAAAAACATACATCATTCATAAAAAGTACTCTACACAAATAATTAAGTACTAAAATAAAAAATCCCAAAAATTCAGATTTAAAAAACTTTGAAAAAAAATGAGCAAAATTAGATAGAAATTCTTATGAACGTGTAAAACATGAAACCCAGATCCAAAGATATACCTTTTTCTCCAGAGTAGTATTGAAAGAATTCTTGGAGCCCTTTGTCCGTGCAGTTCAAGACGGCTGAACAAATGTTTAATTTCAAACATTCAGAAATACTTAAGTCAACTTTTTTCAAAGTTAAGAAGCAGGAAAAAGAATGAAACATTTTTTTCAAAATAAAATGAACTACCTTTCTTTTTGTAGCCCCGCCATCCTCGCCCCAAATGGTTTCGGTGGGCACCTTTGTTGATGGTTCATCACCATCCCGTCCAGCATTTCTAAAAATACTATTTTTCAAATGTCGACAAGAAAAACTCACAGGAACTTGTCCGAACTGCATCTGTTGTTTTTGATGTGGGAGAATGCCCGATCGGGCTTGGTGCCACTCGATCGTGGTGAATCACCATTCTCACCAAAATGGCTGAAAAAGAACTATCTGAGTTACAAAAAAATATTTTTTTACAAAAATTAAAAAGATCAAAATAACAGCTTTTATGATAGATTTCTAAATGCTATCTCTGTCAACTGTATAACTTTTTGATCATTACTCTGCCCAAAAACCTGTGATAAGTATTTTTTTAACAATTTTTCGATGAAAAACTAGAGATTTTTATTTTGTAAACTCTTTGGGTACTTCGGTTCTTGACGAAAAAAATTCCGAGCTTATTTCATTTTGGTTCAAAAAAATCAAGAAAATCATTTCTATTTTTGAATAATTAATTTAATTTTTTTAAAAATCTAACGAGAATTCACTTTTTAATTAAAAAAATAAGAAAATATTTTTTTAAAACAAAATTTTTATTTGTTTTTTTACGTTATTGCCGGTAAAAAGGAGAAACTGGAAAAAAACAGATTTTTTTGAACACACTTCAAAAAAATAGAAAACAATCGATACTAAACTTTTTTTCCGGTTTAGTTCATTTTTACTGGTAATAGAAAGTTTAAGAACTCACAGGGCCAAATTGGCCTTTTTTTGCCAGAAATCCTGAGGCTTCGTGATTGCCCCCCACGAACACCGTCAAAATGGGCGCTTCCTTCAAAAAAATATACCTTTAAGAAAATACTCTACAAAAAAATGAATTACTAAAACAACAAATCCCTGAAAATTCCGATTTAAGAAACTTTGAGAACAAAATGAGCAAAAAAATAGTTAAAAAAATTCTCATAAACGCGTAAAAAAATGAGACCCCGAACCAAAGATACATATACCTTTTTCTCCAGAGTAGTAGTCGCAGTAAATCTTGGAGCCCTTTTGTCCTCGCAGAGATGGACGCGCATAAACGGACGAAATTCCCGAGAATTCTTTTTCACCTGAAAAAAAGTCAAATTAAATTTGAATAAGAAATGGAGAAAAAAAAGTTACTTCAAAAAGTTCAAATTCTAAAGATTAGAAGATACTCACTGGATAGTCCAATAAGCCTACTCAATTGTGCAAAAAAACCTAGGCAAAAGTTCGTTATTTTATAGATGATCGAAAAATTGTATACTTCAGAAAAATACCACAAGTTTAAAATCGCAAGCGGTCCTAATTTGAGAACTTTCCTTAAAAATAAGTGAATAAACTATTCGTACTTCGAAAACGTCTCTTTTCTCGCGACCCCCCGTGTACCAGAGCGAGTGCAGGAGCAACCGCTCCGCGCGAATGAAGAAGTCGCGGGAGCGAGGGAGAGCGTGCGCAGACAAGCAGACAGACGATAGACTGCGGGCGCGACATCTAACGTGAAAATTTAATATTGTCAAGCTCAATAAACTCTTCGTTTTGAACCTCCTATATAGTCGATGTGACACGACTTGAAATTTCATGGAACGACGCTCCGTTTTTCTTGTGGTTCTGGTGCGCGCTGTCGCGAAGCGCCTTGCCTTTGCGAATTTCGGTCGCGCTTTCCATATTTTTTTATTCTATATTTTCACTTTTTTGACAATGTTTTAGTTGTTTTTTGTGCCAAAAACGGAACTATCAATGCTTATGCATAGACTGTTGCATTGGGAACACCTGAAAGTCAAGTACTTTTTCAAATTTTCAACAAAAAAATTGTATGTCAAATTTTTCTTTTTTTGAAAAAGAAATGCCGATGAAAGGCTCAATGAAGGAAAAAAATAACGGAATATATTGAACGAAAACCAAAGACCATCTCATGAAAAAAACTTTCGAATATTATAAACGCTATTTTTTTCGCTTAAAATTCGAAAAAGTACTCAATTTTTATTCAACTTTAAACAGTCTATACACTAGCAATGACAATCATGAGTTTCCAGCGATTCGATTGAGGACTAATAAAAAATGATGAACATTGACAGGGAACAAATTGGAACTTTTTTCCAGTTTGAAAAAAAGCCTTTTCAGGGACTAGACAGCCGTTAAGGTGCGATGTCCGTTTTAACGAAATATTGATGGACGAATGAAAATGCTTTGATTCTGATCATTACTATTCCCTCAGTTAATGGCAGAAGTCGAACATTGTAGACTATCCTGTCATCTGGCGTCTTGACCCGAGAAGTTTATTGCGCAACGACGGCGATGCTCCTGGTCTGATGTGAACGCCTTTTTGTGAACAAAGTTTTCTCATTTTCTTTTTTCCATTTGCACTTAAAAATCACTGTTTTGGTTCCTATATTTTGAAGAACTTTGTTCCAATTTTCATGTGCGATATTATACTATCCAATTCGATGTTAAAAAATTTATTATGCACCTTGATAATTATCAAAATTTTAAAGAGGATTTATGCGGTCAAGAACTCTTCCGACAGTGTTCTTTTCCAATAAGAAGGAGGTAGTTCGTAATAGAAGTGGGCTCTCTCTGAAAGTGCATTTTTAGAAGAAAAAATAATCTGGGAACTATTGTAAACAAGATTCAATTTGTTGCTAATGATTCAAACGTGAGCCGAAAACTTTTTTATGCTCCTATGAAAAACAACAGGCAATCGCGCATGCATCCGTATGGAAACTGCGGTAACCTGGATAAACCAGACTCGTACTTTCCTCATTCTATACGCTATCTGAGGGCCTGTGCGACGGCTTGTCAGATAAACAGCAATCAGCAGAGGCCCTCAGACAGTGCGTAGAACGAGGAGAGTACGTGTCTGGTCTCTCCAAGAGTACCGCGCTCTCTAAACTGATCCATGCGTGCTGATCTTCCGTTTTGCTTCTGAAGAGTCTTTCTTTGGCTTGAAACGCAGAGCTGCGGTTCAGAGCCTGTAAAAAACGCGGTCGCGGTGCCGTCTCATTTCTCATTTTCAAGCCGAAAAAAATGGATTTTTTTGATAATATTGTCTAGTCATTGGCAAATAAGTTTTTTTTCCAAACTCTTACAGCGATACTCCAGTTAGGAGCTGTTCCTTCTGCTGGACCAGTTTGATCCAATCCCTTCCAATCCCTGTTTTTTTGGCTGCAACACAGCAATCGCCTGGAAAAATGAGCACTAAAAAAACAATTTTGGAAAGTTTTGTAGATCCAGAGGATCCTTACAGTTGCGAATTTTTTTAAGTTTTTTAAGTTTTAAAAAAAGTTAGACATTTTAGAGGTGTTGAAAGTATTTTTTTACTTAGGAATTTTTAGACGAATCCTTTAATCTGCATTTTTTTGACTTTTTTTCACTCCAGCCTGTTCTGCAACAGCTTCTTCTGTTTTTTTGAAAAGGCCATACGCCAGATAAAATTCAAATCGGCTACATTTTGCTCAAGTCCTTTTTTTGCAATTTTGAAAAGTAAAATGGCAAAAAAGCTGATTTAAAGCCATGATATATTTTTAATATTTTTTTCTGTACAGTGCATTGTATCGTACGCATGCACTGCGGCGCGCTCTTCAGATTAATTTCGGCGATTTCAAAATAGACGCGTTATTCGTTTAAAGTGATTTCGGGAAATAGGCAGAAGTTTTATTCCGGGAAGGCGCAGAAAAAAGGAGTCCCACAACTCTATATCGTTAGATATGCATTTCTACCGTAACTTCTGCGCGGGAACTCAACATTTTGGAGTTATCTGGGCATCTTCTACCAAATTTACGAAATTATTTTGAACGATAAACACGTTAATTTTGAAATCGCCGAAAAAGAGTTGAGACTGTTTTTTTAAGCCATGAAAAATGGATTAAAACCGTCAAATCCGTTCTAAAAATTCAAAAAATCACTCATTCTGCGGAATTCCGGAACGATTTTTGTCCTTTTCAGTTTCCATTTCAACATGCTCGTTTTGTTTTGCCCAAAATTCCCTGAAAAACTATTATATTTTAACTGAAATCAAGGAAATTCAAAATATAAAATAGGAGCTTTGATTATTTATTTTTCTACGTACGAAGTTCGTATTATAAAGGTTAGGTTCGACGATAAATTTAAAAAAATTTGATTACTTGATTGAAGAAATTTTTTTCTCCGTTTTCAGCCACTTTTTTTGACGGTTTCCTGGTGTTTTTTTCGCTGCAACTTTCATCTTCGCAGGACCTGAAAAAAATTTTTTGAGTGACACGAGAAAATATTTTTGAGAAAAGACTTTCCGAAAGTTTTTAAGAGAAAATTGATAATTCGAAATTATTTACTTGGCTTGACTGCGCTCCGTATTTTTCTTCGCCGGCTTCATTCTCGAGAACTTCTTGGCTCTGTTTCAAAACTTCTTGGTCGGGGCTGAAAAAAATAACTTTCGGATTTATCAGCTAAAAAAATTCAGAATAATTCAGAAAAATCTTTGAATATTTTATAAGTTCAACTTACCTTAGTTGAAGAGTTTCAAATTTAGAGTTTTATGCTTCCTTCTACTCTTGAAATAAACCGAAAACCGCAGAAAAAAACCTCCAAAAAAATTGTAACGGAGATTTGAAGATAATAACCTTCGAAAGACCTTCCTAGCGCCTTTTTTAAATCGTAAGAAACTTTTTTTTGGGGGAATGAGGTTGAAAGTATTTTTTTAAGTAAAATGTTTTTGTGAGGAGATGGTTTTCAGTTGTATACTCTTGAAAAATCCTGTTGGCGAGAATTGCTACATTCTGAGCTCTTCAAGGCGCAACTGAATGAACTACGCGCAGAAGAACGAGGCGAAGGACCGTAAGACCATGTTTTCAAAATGATCATCTGCACGTCTAAACTTCTTGATTCAGTTTGATCAACTACACCTCTAAACTTCTTCTATCAACTTGTTCAACTACACGTCTGGACTTCTCCGTTCAACTTGATAAACTTCACGACGAGACTTTTAGTTCGCCAGAGGCGGTTGTTCGTTATAACTTCAAAAGTTCTTGTTCGTCGTCCAGTCGAGTAAGTCTAGTCAATCTTTGAAGATAATCAACCTTGTCTGAAGCGTATCACAGCCAAGAAGTGCCGTTTCACTTCCTTCTTTTCCATTCCTCACGACTTCATTGACTTTTTCGACATTTTCGGAGCCGCCGTCGTTTTCTTTTCCGCAACCGCTGGAATATTAAAATACTAAGAAGATTCAAAACTGAAAAAAAAGGAATATTCAAAATCTTACTATTTTCTACATACTATCCTTACAGAACAATCAAGGAAACCACAAAAAAATTCGGTTAGAATCAACGTCTTTTTCCAGTTTTTGAGCTTTCAAAACACGTTTCAAACGCCATTTTTCCAGGCGATTCAACCTTTAAAAACCTTCGAAAATATTGGGTTCAAAGACAATATGAAAATATTTTTTTACAATTCCAGAAAAAAACCTCGAAGAACTGCTTTGACGCGGCTGATTGGCTACCAAGGCGGAGCTGAATTTCCAAGTTTTGGTTTGTTTTAGGAATATAAAATAACTTTTCGGCTTTTCAATATTATATTTTTTCGACATTTGCTTCTAAAACTACTTAAAAAGTTTTTTCATTGAAGCATTTTTTGAAAAAATACATCGACTTTTTAAAGGAGCATTTTTTTAGTGGTCTAGTAGTACCGCTCAGACTTCTAAAGAGGCCACACTCAGACTACTATAGTGACCACTAGAAAATCCTCAAAGGGTCATTGAAAATTTCTCAGATTGTGGGCTTTGGAAGAACGGTTTTTTTAAAATTTTTTCTTCAAGGGATTCTCAAACTTCAAAAATGGGAAGAGAGTCTTTCAATTTATTTTTAGGTGCCTTTTTTTTAAAAAAAATGAAAATATGCCTCGAGGGGGCGTCGTCGTCGTCATCATTGCGGCGATGTTCGAATTCGCCTTGTCGACAACATTCGTAGTCGGACCCGAACTGACCGACTTCTTGTTCTCTTTCAAGGTCCCTGAAAATGCCAAAAATGGTTACTTCCCGAAAAACTCTCATAACATAGTACAGCGTCTACGGAAAATTGTCCAACAGGTGGAATTATTAAACTTGCTTCTCAAACCTTTTTTTTTTCTGCCTTTGAATCTTATCTTATTACGTGCTTGAGCTAAACATCTGTATTCTTTAAAATGAAAAGTCAGGGAAAAAAATTAGATGTCTTCAAGGAAATGAAAAAAGCAGAAGTAGTTTTTGGCAAATTTTTTTTTAAGGCTTTTTTATCAGAAATACTTCAAAGTTCCGGAAAAAAAACAGCCTTTCAAGGTTCTATTCAAGAGAAGAAAAAAAAGTTGAAAAAAAAGTCGGAAAAATTCCAGAAAAAGACGAAGGGCCAGAAATGAATATTTTTCTGTAAAAGGTTGAGAAAATGAGCTAGTAAGGGTGTATTGAAGGGTTTGAGATGAATTTTCAAACTTTGGCAATTTCTGGAGATTATCAGAAAAAGAAATTGTTTATAATGCCGTGTTCAATTTGATTCCGCGAAATGCAAAAAATCCTTTAGAGAAAGGAAAAGATCACTAAATTTTGGAGAGTCAGAGAACATTTTGCATTTTGCGTAATCAAATTAAACACGGCATAAAATCAGTTTATAGCCACATATGGGATGGCTCAAATCGTAACGGTTGGAATTTTTATAGCTCGAGCCATTCCCAGTGCGGCCCCGAAAAAGAACTTTCGACTTGCCGTGAGCTGACGTCATCTTCCAGGGGCTCGTCGTTTTGATTTCTTTTCTGCCTTTTCAGTTACGGATGACCTTCGTCGCCTTCTTCTGGAGCCAGGTATCTTTTTTCCCGTCCTTTTCCTTCTGCTCGCGGAGCACTTTCTCCAGCTTCAGAAGCATCGTGAACTGCAGCCACTGAAAATGAAAATCGTATGAAGACTTATAGACTGCTCAGATTTTTTCCAGAAGTCCGCCCCTAATGGCTCGAAAAATCAATCAGTAAGCGAGCCATCCACAGAGCGTTTTTCAATGACGTCATTGTTCTTGACATTGAAAATCCGAGCAGACTAATTTTTCTCGTTTCATTTCAAAGGTTTAGCTCTTTTGATAAAAAAAATACTTTTCTCGTCAAAATTTACTATTTTCTGTCCCTTTTGAACATCCTTTTCGTTCTCACCTTCTTCGATCCTTTCGTCTGAAGGCGGGACTTGCTCTAGGACCTCAGCTTCTGCTTGAGCTTGAGCTCGTGCTTCAGCTTCTGCTTGAGCTCGAGCTCGTGCTATAGCTTCATATTTCGCGGCCTCTTTCAACTTCTTCTGTTCCTCCCGGTAAACTGAGAATTCGTTCTTCAATCTGTTTTTGTTCTTCAGAAAAAAAAAAATTAAAAGTCAGTCAGTTCATCCGAAATTTTCGCTGGGCGCTACAAAAAGGGAAATTTTTCTTTTTTTTTCCGAAGAGTACTGTATGGTGAAGTCCGCAATCGGTATGTGCACTCAGCGTGTTCGCACAATCTAAGTCCCATCTCCGTTTTTTTTCAATTCTTTCAAATGGACCTAGGAAACAGTTTATTTACATCTATTCATTATGACTTTTATGAAACAAAGCTAAGAAATCTAAAATAAAAAAGAGAAAACACGGAGAGGGGCCCTTCAGAATGTGCCAACACGCGCACACATGAAGTGCACATTTTCAAATACCGTACTCTTTGGAAAAAGATAACTCGGTCGTGCAACGGTTGCCGTAATAAACTCGGGGGAAGACGGATTGGGATAACGTCCGAAGCTTTTTTTGATCTGGGTAACAGTTTAACAGAGAAGCAAGCAATAGTATAATGAATTCATGACTTCAATAAACCATAAAAATGTGTTCAACCCCTGTTTCTTAGCGTGAATCAACAAAAAAAAAATTTTGAAATTCGGATTTTCTGCTGATTCCAGGTTTCAAGCTATAACTAACTACAATAATTAGCTACCTAGCTGATTTTTTGTGTTAACATACTGGATCTTCAGAAAACAACTGTAGAAAGTTTGACAATAATTGGACAACTCCTGCAAAAGTTATGACGAAAAAAGTGAAATTGTATATCTTATTGCACGTTACTGAACTTGGAAAAGAAAGGAAGAATGAAAACGGAACCTTTAACGAAAACAGTCACACTTTTCATATGTATCAGTTGAAAATTACCTTGGCTGCTTCTTCTTCTTCATGGACTCTTTTTCAAGCTGAAGACTTCCATTCCCAACGGAAGAAGTCCCTTTTCCAGCTCCCAGACTTTCTTCCTCCTCTTCACCTTCTTCTTTTCTTCCGTCGCTGAAAATTAACTTTTATCTTGGAAAAAAACTTTTTTTGCTTGAAGGGATTTTTGAAAATTACCTCGATTGAGGCCGGCCGGACTTCTCGTTTTCTGGAGGCCCATTTTCAAGGCCAAGGAGAAGGAGTCTATTTTCATCGGAAGAAGGTCCTTGTTCTCGTTCTTCTCCAATTTTTTCTTTTTCTTGTTCTCGTTATCGTTCTCGTTCTTGTTCTTGCTCTTGTTGTTGTTCTTGTACTTGTTCTTCTCCGAGTGTTTCGCATTTCCTTCTTCTTCTCGTGGTTGCACAACTTCTTCAGGCTGTTCTTTATTTTCTCCGGTCAAAACTTCGCGTTCTTGCTCTTCCTTTTCTTGCTCCTGTCTTTCCTCTTGCACTGCTTGCTCTTGTGCTTCCTCCTCTTCCATTTCTTTCTCTACTTCCTCTTCTCGCAATACGTGGCCTTCTCGTTCTTCTCTTTCCTCCACTCGGCCTTCTCCAACATCATCGTCACTGAAAATCAACTCTATTTCACCCTTTCTTGAAAACTCTGACCTGTCTGCGCCTTCTTCTCTCTCACCGAACTAATCATAGATACATAGAACTAGCTTAGAGAGAAAGAAAGAAGGCAGTGAAATTAGAAAGTTCAATAGAAATTTGCTCTGATAAAATTCAGATTTTCAGCAAATTAGGGAGAAATTGAAAAATCAATCGTTGATTTTCTACAGTAAATGAAAAAAAAAGACGTTTTCTCTTACTTGTCGAGTTAAATACCAAATATTAAAAAGACTTACCTCGTTTCGAGCTCTCCTTCTTCCCTTCCTTCCGGCTGACGGTCCAAGACTTGTTCATTTCCTTCCTTTTCCTGTCCTTCTTGACCTTCTTGCTGTCCAACGTCTTGTTGCCTTGCTCCACTCCGATGTTCATCTTCTCCATCATCATCCTCATCATCACTAAAAATCGACTTCAATAAATCTCTTCCCAACTTGTCTGACCTGTCTGCGCCTTCTTCTCTCTCACCTTGCTAGCTTACAAATAGAGTTCTCAAAACCAAACGTTTGAAAAAATGAAAGTTCGTTTTCAACATTTCGTACAAATTTCATTTTCAAACATTGATCTAAAACGGCCACAATCAAATCGTTCAAGTTATGATCAAACGTTTTCTGGCCGAAAAACAAACGTTTGTTATTTTGACCAAACTTTTTTCAAACAAAAACGAACGTTTGGTTTTTCGATAAAACTTTTTCCGATCGAAAAACAAACGTTTGTTTTTCGAAAATTGGACAAACGTTTGTTTTGACTAAAACTTGGAATTAAAATTTTTAATTAGAGCTCGGATAAGTTTGGTTGAACATTTATTCAAAAACTTTTTTTCGGGAGTTACATTCACAAGAGGCCAATTATCTTTTGAAGCGTGATATTTGCGAACCGAATGATCTCTGTGAACCGAAGGAGTATCAATTGAACCCAAAAAATGATATTTTGTCAACCTTTTTTTCTCAACCTCAAACAACTTACACGACAAAAATATTATTATGGCGTGTTCATTGGAGAAACGGAACATGCTTCAAAACGAAAAATTGTGTTCATCGGCGCGCCAAAGTTGCTCCAAAACAGTACTAATTTTTGTTTTGGAGGGTTTTTTTCGCGTTTCGAAGCAATTTTCGTTTTGTCCGATGAACACGCCATTAGGTTTAAAAGATCACTTTTTGGGTTCGTTTGGTATAGCTGATTCACGGCTGGCTTGAGCCGTCGAGAAAAGGGTCCTGCCACGAAAAGAGACGAGACAGTGCCTTGATTGGTGGAGAGTGCAGACAGGCCACGCCTTTTTGCGTCCCAAGCCAGCCGTAAATCGTCTATACTCCTTCGGTTCAAAAAGTTCACGGTTCAAAAGATAGTAGGCTATTATTCATTTAGAAACAGCTTCTGCTTGTCGGGAAAAATTCAAAATTACGCTATTTCCTTTTACGTCCGCTTTGTCAAAATTGTTGGCTTGTTTATGAAAAAGTGCCCGTAAAGCTAGCGGTAGACACAGCAGGGTTTATGCACAAAAAACTTCAAAATGAACAAACTTAATTTCTGATGACGATGATTAGAAATTTTTTTGTCCTCGTAGTCTCGTAAGGTCTCGTCCACTGATTTTTCCGACCGAAAAACGAACGTTTGGTTTTTCAACCAAACTTTTTTCAAACATTGAATGAATTTTCGTTCCGATCAAATGTTCGATTTCGAAATTTCAATCAAAGGTCGGTTTCAATAAAAGTTTGAAAAATTTTTGGTTGAACGTTCGTTCAAACGTTTGGTTTTGAGAACTCTACTTACAAACTCATGAGAGATAAAAAGAAGGTAGAGAAATCAGAAAATTTCAAGGCTTTTTATAAATTCCAAAATTACAGCAAACAAGGGAGCATGTTTTCAATGCTCTTTCTAAATTATAATCCATTTCTTTTCGGTTTGAATTTTTTATTGGTTCCAATTGAGTTTCAACCCTATGTCGGCTGGATCCCACCCCGATGTACGGCCTACCCCCAAAAAGTTCGGCCGAATAGACCGAAATTCAGTATTGTTCCTTACAAATTCATGAATTCAGGCCGCGAATCTCGGCTCAAGACGCCTGATATCTAGAACCTTTAAGAAAATGTGTGACCAAGTTCTTTAGTAATCGCAATCGTGTTATATAGACAAATGGGAAAAAAAAAACTCACATCGATAAATAATTAGTAGTTGATTCTTTTTGGCCTTCTCTCCATCTTGTACATCTTCTCTTCTTTTCTTTCGTGCATTCCTCTCTTTTTTTATCGCGGCCGGCTCGTGGTTTTTTTCTTTTTTTAACTTTAACAATTTTTTTAACTCTCTGATCAAAAATAAAAGGCCTGGGGAAAGCATGCGGTTCATTCATGCTTTACGCCCAGGTGAGAAAAAATTTTCAGATAACTGAATTAAAAAAAAAATTTTAAATTCCAATACCCGGGGTCGGCAGCTACGCCGTACCGCAGGGGGAGAAAGTATATTTTAGAAAACAAAAAAAAAGGTCAGAAGCCTGGGGACTGCAAGCAAGACCCAGGTGAGTAAAATTGCCGATATTTAAGATCGACGGTTGAAACCTATAGTTTAAAACACAAGTTCGAGCACACCTGAAAAAAAGACAATTCGAAGGAAAAGTTGAAATGGACTGAACTCACCATTTTTTTCACGAACAGATGGAAAAGCCGGCCGCAAGAGAAATGAGTGTGTGCTGAAAAAGTTTATTTTAATTTTCGTTCAAAAAAGAATGTAAAAAATCGATGAATAATCGAGATGGAATAATTTTATGTTAAACAACTTTTAATACAAGTTCAAAATGATTCAGAAGTGGTAAAAAAGGAAAACGAAAGAGATATATCATATAGAAAAAAACTAAAAAGTATGCTGTGATGAATTCATGTCAGAATGTCTACACAAAAAAAATGATGACAAAAGGAGTTCAGAGTCTGCAAATGGTCGTGAGCGTGAACCGTGTATGCACCAAACGTTGGAGGCGCCACTTTTGAAATTCTCCTCTGTTTGTTAAAGATGATAAGTGTGAACCGATATGAAACTTTTTTAATTCAATCATGATAGAAAACGCATTTTTTTTTTGTATGGGATTTATCTTGCAAACGCTTGGTTTCATGGTTAATTGTGACAAAAACTGAGTTTAACAGTGATTTTAAAATTACAGCTCAATGTTGTTTTTTTTATTCAGAAAGACAGTGTATCTTCATTTCTCAAATTTGGATTTATTATCAAGTTTTTTTCCTGAACATACATGTAAGCTGATGGGGAGTTGAAAAACTTCTAATTTCTAGAAAATTGAATGTGTTCCGTTAAACATAAACAAAAAAATTCTTTTGAGAAAAAAATGTTTTTTTCCGTTGGTAGACACAAAATCAACAAAAAAAAGAATGAGAGAAGAGGCGATTTTTAAAAACTGAAAAAAGCGGAAAAAAAAGGAGTTCACTGCAAACTTTCGGACTTTACTATGGAACATGCAAAGTCATTTTGGCAAAGGGTTCGGTTTTTTTTTGTTGGAATGGAAAAGCAATGCGCATGGTTGCTTCTAGTTTTGAAGATATATGAACTTTCGGAAATTGTGTTCTATTGGGACCTCGTTTAGAAAGATTCCGATTTCTCCGTAAGACATCGAATCCAAGTTGGAAGCGTAGTCCAGTGTTCGGGGATTACCGGCTAGGCTGGTTCGATTTCCAGTCCATTAAAGAACGCTCGTAAAAATAATAAAAACTTCTAAAGCCTTTGCTAAAAAGACAGCGAGGGTGAGAGTAAACTAAGAACGAGAAAAATATGGAATTGGGGGGCGGGAGAACCGGAGCACTAGGCAGATGTGCAAGATAACAAGGGGCGCGGCTCAAAGGAGGCGTGGCTAGAGCAACCAACATGGTGTCCCTTTCTAAAAATTGTGAGAAGAATGCCCAAAATATGCACGAAAGCTTTCAAATAATAGAGTGCGATATCATCGAAGTAAAAAAAACTTTATTTATTTTTTGAAGTTTTTGCATTATCATTTAGTTTTATAAGCTCATAAAAGTTTCCCGTTGAACGACAGTTCGTAGTTAAAATCCGTCCCAATAAAACTAATACTTCTTACAAAAAGTATTATTCATACACATTGTATTGATCCATGAAAAATTTTTCTTCTCCCTTTGTACCGCTCGAGCGGCGTCGGCGCCCCAAGTCGATTAGCGAGGGTCCTATCCTGATAATTAGTGAAACTGATCAAAAAATCATCAAAAAATCAAGATCAAAATCATTATCAAAAAACAAGAAGAAAAAATATTAAAAAAGGGCTATCAAGCGAAAAATTGCAAAATGGAATAGCGACTTGCGACTTGCGACAGAGCACCTACTTGACTTCAGAGAACGCCGTCGAGAGTTGGAGGACCCCTAATAAGACATCGTCAAAATGCTGCGCAGACGCGAAAAAGATTGCATACTTTTGAAACGCTTTTCAATCAATTTTTGACAATTACTTGTAAATGAGAAAAAAAAAACTTTTATTTGCGAGATAAGTGTTTGAGGTGATCTGGACCAAACTTCCGTAGTAGGTAGTCTTAGGTATGAATATTCATAAACAAGAAGAGTTATCTGACAAACGTAATTAAGTACTGATAAATAGCCCGTCGGAAGATGTGCGGAGAAAGCTCGAAAACTGATTTTTCTTCGTTATTTCGATTTCCGAAACGTCTAGTGTAGTTCACTGTATCATAAGAAACACGAGAGAACTTTTTCTCACAAAAAAACCTGCCAATTGAAAGAACGCCAAATCTATTACTATGAGCTAATCACCAAAATTGAAAAAAATTACGAAAAAAATTTTAAAAAAAGTTCTCTAGAAGTCTATTGGAAACAAAAAAGTTGAAAAAGTCGTATTTTGAAATTTAAGAACAAGGAAAGTCTTTGATTATCAGTAAAAAAGCTTTATTTGAAAATAATTACCGCAGTTCTTAATCATGCAAGAAAATATGTCCACAAAGGTAATAAAGTTTCTCTATTTGCATGAAGAACGTACCAAAAAAGAACCGTTTACTAGTAGGATCCTTTCAATTTAAAAAAAAAAAACGATTTTGTACTGAAACTAGTCGTCTTCCAAACTAGTGGACCTAGTAAACAAATCGAAACGCAATGAAGAGCTCTATACAATGTCAAATTGTCTCGAAACCTATTTTTTCTGCCCATTTTCCTTCGAGTTCCCTTATTATTTGCCTGAGGTCTCCCACAACACATTCAAGTAGGGTAATCGTCTTGTTGGCCGCTCTTTCGCCGATGCCGGAGAGCGTTTTTGTGTCGCCTGATGGGGGCCTCTCCAACCGTCAGCAGTCGGCATTGATAAGTAGGTAGATTGTAGAGTCATACCGTGGTCGCCTCTAGTGACACATGTGTGTGACGACTGGGGTTTTTGAAGTCGTGGTTTCTCACTACCAACATTTCTTAAACCTCTTGGTTGAGTCGAGGCGGGGATCGAACTTATTACCCTGTGGACCGTATTCAGGCACACAACCTGTTGCGCTACGGCGCACCAGTTGAGCTCCTCACTTTAAGGGAAAAAAAATCGATCAAGCTCTTTTCAGTGCGTGGAAACTCCCTCGAAAAAAATATTGAATGTGATAGAAGCCACTTGTTTCATTCTCAGCGAAAAAGATAACTAACTTTATTTTTTTTCGAAGTACAAAGTCTCCTCTTTTGATCGATTATTTCCTTTTCCGGTCTACTGACCGAGCGGCGTTATCGAAGTGATAAGAATCAGTAGAGCAGTCTCATTTAATCAAGGAAAACTTTTTCTCGCCTGACAAAATTTTTTACTGTCAAACCTGATGTTAGGGTTCTGCAAAAGGGTTCAAACAATACTAAGAAAACCTTTTAAAATTTTGAATTTTTAGCAGCGACTTCCGCTCTGGTAGCTACAGTGTCTTTTCGCGTGGAATAATTATTGCGCGTGAAGATTATCCTCGAACAACGCCTTCTTTGATCTTTTTCCTTCTAACAGCTTCCAGTCGACTCATAAAGGCGGCGTTATTAAACGATTATTGTCACGCGCAATTATTAATCGACGCGAAAGATACTGTAGTCACAGAAGCGAAGATCGTCGTTTTGCCTTAAAAAAACGAACTCGAATGAATCCTGGAAAGGTTTTCGGAAGGAGGTTGGAAGGTCAATAGAAGGTCCTGAGAAGGCATTGACAAGGTGTTCCAAAGGTAGTAGAAAGCTTTTCACATGTCAAACATTCCAGAAGACTTCTAAATGGTGAGTTGAAGTGTTAGAAGAAGAAAGACGTTTGAAAAATTGCTGGAACTTTAAGGAGTTATTTACTTACTTGGATACTTTGATGGTCCGTCTTCGCTGTCAGCGCGGACCACCCGTCTTTCATGCTTCCATGTCTCTCGACGCGGTAATCCAATGTAAGACGGCTGATGTTCTTCCGGAAGTGGTCTGCCCATCTGGCTGGTGGTCTTCCGATGGGTTTCTTCTTGTCTCTTGGAATCCAAACGTTGATCGAGTGCTCCATCTATCATCATTTCTTCTCACAATATGGCCCGCCCAGCGGTGTTTCCCTCGACTTGATTGAGCTTCGATTTCACGGATTTCGCGACGTTTGTTAGTTCCACGGTTAGTAGCGTGTGGTTCCGAGAAGAGCTCTTCCGAGCGCGCGCTAGCTGGTACGCAGGGCGGTGACTGTCCCCTTGGTATCTGGCCAAACTTCGGACGCGTAGGTTAAGGCTGGTATGACAGAGGCTTCGAAGATTTGAGCGCGTAATTGGGGATCTTTCAGTTGGCTCGTGACCTTTCGAATGTTGTTGAAGGCAGCCCAACCGGCTTTCCTGCGTCTTCCGATTTCTACACTCCGATCATTCGACATGTTTACTTCTCTCCCGAGGTCAACGTGGGAGTCGACTTGTTGCAATGAGTCGCCTGCAAGAAAGACTGATCCATCGTCGCAGAAATTTATAAAACTAAACGATAATGCAACATTTCAAAAGATAAATAAAGTTTTTTTTATTTCGTTGTTATCACATTATTTAAAAGTTCCCGTGCATGTTTTGGGAAATTCTCTCATATCATTCAGACAGAGCCACCATGTTGGATAACCTAGCCACGCCTTTTTTGAGCCGCTCCCTCTGCTATAGGAGTCCCATCTCGCACATCTGCCTGGTGCTCCGATCCTCCCGCTCCCCTATCCCATATTTTTCTTGCTCTCAGTTTACTCTCACACTGACTGTATTCTTAGCAAAATGTTCGAAAGTTTTTTATAAATGTTTTCACATCCTAACTCAATTTTCGAAAGTTAATACATGTCTTCAAAATTAAAAGCATCCATGTGCGTTGCTTTTCCATTCCAACAGAAAAAAAAACCGAACCATTTGCCAAACTGACTTTGCATGTCCCACAATAGAATCTGAAAGTTCCCAGTGAGCTCTTTCTTTTAGGCGTTTTTTCAGTCTTTTAACAGCCTTTTGTTATTCTTTCTCGTTGATTTTGAGTCTACTAACAAAAAAAAAACTTTTTTTCTTAAAGAATTTTCTCTTGTTCATGTTCAACGTTACTTTAAACACATTCAGTTGTTTCCAAATTGGGAACTTTTTAACTCCTGATCAACTTATGTTCATGGGAAACTTAATAAATGTCTAAATTTGAGAAATGACGATATGCTGTCCTCCTAAATGAAAAAAACAGCCTTAATAAGTTGTAAACTCATAATCACTGTTAGATTTAATTTTCGTCACAATTCACCATGACACCAAGCGTTTGCAAAATGATACTCCTAAAAAGAAAATTAATGATTAAATAAGAAGAAGTTTCAAGGGTTTATATCGGTCTAAACGTATCAACAGGAAAAAAACAGAGGATACCTTTGAAAATGGCGCCTCCATCGTTTGGTGCATACACGGTTCACGCTCACGACCATTTGCAGACTCTGAACTCCTTTTGTCATCATATTCTTCTTGTATGGATATTCTGACATAAACTCATCACTGCATTATTTTAAGTTTTTTCTAGATGATATTTATCTTTTGTTTTTCTTTTTTGCCACTTTTGAACCATTTCCAACTCGTGTTGAGAATTTTTGAATATAAAAGTGTCCCTTCCCGATTTTTCATAAACTTTAAAGTTCTTTCCCCAATGAAAGTAAAAAATAATATTTTCAGCACACACTCTTCAACCTCTCTTGCGGCCGGCTTTTCCAACTGTTCGTGTGAAAAAAGTGAGTTCAATCCAATTAATTTTTTTTTCTTTTAGTCGTCTTTTTTCAGGTGTGCTCAAACTTGTGTTTTAAGCTATAGGTTTTTTTAAAATTTGTAGTTGAAGTAGGAGCAGTAGTCTAAAATGGTTTAGATTTTAGTTTAGTAATTTTCTCGGTTTTTAGTTTTTGACCGCTGATCTTAAATATCGGCAATTTTTCCCACCTGGGCACTATTCCCAGGCTAAAACCCTTGTTTTTTCCGTTTACGAACGTTATTTTTTCACCCGGCGGTACGGCGTAGCTGCCGACCCCGGGCTCTGGAATTTCAAATTTTTTTTTTCAGTTCAGTTATCTGAAAATTTTTTCTCACCTGGGTGCAAGGCATAAATTTCATGCTTTCCTCAGGCCCCTGAAACACTGTTTTTTTTTTTTTTTTTTTTTACAGTTTAAAAACAATAACCAAAAAGTCTAATAGCTATTTTTTTAAATTAAAAAAAGTTTCCAAAAATATTTCTAATGATATATCATGTTTTTTTGAATAGCTTGAATTTAAAAATTATATTTAAAGTAAGGGTAATAAAAAAATAAATTGTTAATGAATAAAATAAAAAAATAAAAAAACACGAGCCGGCCACGAGAAAAAAAGAGGATCTATTGAAAACGAGCAGAAGCCCTGGAAAAAAAGAAAAAGAGCGGACGGACCACACAAATGTGCAAGGTGAGTTCATATTTTTCTTGCAGAGTTTATTGCGGATCATGGATATAATTTATGTTTCAAAAATTAACCACAGTTTTTTTAGAACGTGTTAAATATCAGGCGACGTAGAGCTAGAATTTTTTTGTCCTCGTCGTTTTTATTTGTATGAAAAGTTCGAAAGTGGTGCTGTATTTAAGTAGACACGTACTTCTTTGCCTCATGAAACAATTTTAAAAGTGACAGTTCTCATATCGCGAAGTTGCATAAGTTCTTTCAAGTCCAAATGTTTTCCTTGATTCTAACTAAATTTCATGAAAGCTCCAATCACAAGACTTATCGTAACTAATCAGTAAAGAGAAGATAGTTTATTCAGTTTCGGACTGGTTTTCTACGATAATCAGCTAGTCCCGGACTGATAAGCACTAATGAAAAAAGTAGATAAGCAATTGAGGTCGTCGTACTTGTTATCGTCTATGGAGAAATCAAATTTGAGGTTGAGAAAAGGGAAAAGAGAAATTCAGTAGGAATCCATTTTTGATTCTAACTCCATCCTACATCTCTAGATGCGACAATCCATTCATGCTTATTTTTTTTCCAGTGAAAAATTAATTCGAATTTTCAGAAACGGAGGAGACGGAGAAGGAAGAGATGATGAAGCTGAAGAAGGAGCTTCTTTCAATGGAGATGCAGGACGAGGAATGGGAAAATGACGCAAAGTCGTGACTGAAGAAGATGAAGAAGAGGAGGGAAGAAGCGAAAAAAAGCCTGAAGAAGTCGCGCAACCACAAGAAGAAGAGCAAGAAGAAGAAGAAGAAGGAAATGGGGGAGTGTTCGGAGAAGAACAAGAACAAGGATCTTCTCCCAATGAAAATGGACTTCTTGGGCTTGAAAATGGGCCTCCAGAAAACGAGAAAACCGGCCGGCATCAATCGAGGTAATTTTCAACGGAAACTAAAATGTATTCAAGATGATAGCTGAAGAAAATGAGATTTTTTTTTCAAGATAAAATTTAAATTTCAGCGATGGATGAAAAGAAGAGGAGGAAGAAAACTTGGGAATATACAAAGAAGATTTTTTCGATGGAAGTCAACGTCTTCAGTTTGAAAAAAAGTCCATGGAGATGATCAGCCGGGTAATTTTTAACTGATACATATCAAGAATGTGATTGTTTTCGTTAAAGGTCCCATTTTTAATCTTCTCTATTTCCCAAGTAAAAATGAAGTTGAATTTTCAGAGATGGTGGAGACAGAGAACGAAGAGAAGTCGAATGACGAAGAGGAGGGAGAACCAGAAAACAGGGATTCTTCCGCTGGAAATGAGCAAGAGAAGGTCGCGGAGGACGAAGAGCGAGAAAATCCACAGACAAGGTCCATTTTCGAACTTCTTTGTGAAATGAGATGAAGATGGCGTTTCAGCGAGGGAGAAGAAAGATATGAAGCAGAAGGAGCTCAAAACGAACCTCTCGGTCTTGAAAATGGGCCTCCGGAGAACGAGGAGAACTATCTGTCTCAGCTGAGGTGAATTGTTACGGAATCAGTTCGAAAATTCATTCCTTTTTATTTGTAGGAAAAAATAATCATTTAACGTTTTTAAACTTCTTTGTTAAGCTGAGATGAAGTTGAATTTTAAGCGTTGGAGACAGGGAAGAACAGAAAGGAGAGCATGAAGAAATCCGACGGAGTCTTGCTTCTCAAGTTCGGCTGGTCAAGGAGTTATGGAACAATTTTGATGAAAAAAAAATTTAAAAAAATGAAGAAGATCCAGACTCCGGCATAAACGCGGTAAGAAACATTTTCGTATTGAATTTGATTCATAGTTTCAGGAGCTACAATATTTAATCACAAATGAGGAGAAGCAATGGCTGAGACCTTGGAACGGGACTAGCTATGATCTTTTTGAAGTGGCTGACCAACGACCTGCAAATACATTTTTTTCATTCAAGTAAGCCTTTTTTTCACTCCAATTTTTAAAATACTGGACATAATTTCTGAAACTTTTCAACGTTAATTGAAAAGAGTGATTTCAGGTTGAAAAATCTTGCGAGTTTCTAATCGAAGGCGCGACGACGCCAATTGAAACTTCGCTTCCATTTTATCAGCCGTGACATTTTTTTAATTATTCTAAATTATAAATATAATCGAATTCTTTTTTTATCTCTCATTAATTTTGTTTTTTTCGCTTGATAATCTAATCTAGTTTTTTTCAATGTATATAAAGAACTGTTTTTCAAATTTTTGTGCGTAATTTCTTTGATTTTTCATGCAATTATTTTTTTCCATTGCTTATTTATTCATGTGTTTTTCAATAAATTTTTTTCCGAACAACTTTATAATAATAGTATAATAACGCAAATAAAAAATGAAACAAAGTTCTTCAAAAAATAGGTTAAGTCGAAGTGCCTTCACAGAACCAAAACAGCGAGTACAAATAAAAAAAAGAAAAAGAGAAAACTTTGTTTACAAAAAAGGGATTTATCATGGGGATATCTTTATTTTTCGAAGTAAACATAATCTTTGTGTCGTCACATAAAGTTCTTTAATTTTTTGAACTTAAAAATCATTTCTTATCCAAAACAAAGCTTCGGAGAAGCGGAAAGAGCTTCGCAAGGTCACGGAAGACACCAATGAAAATGGCTATGTTTCCATTATTTCAGTTCTCGTTTTCTTGACGAGTTTGCAAGAGGTGAATCATTTTCAAAAATCTAAACTACTGCTTTTTTTTTCAATTTCTTTCAAAACAGTACGTTTTCATAAACCAGAACAAGAGTTGGATATTGATACGAGATCTCGTCTCGTGCATTCCTGGTGTTCACATCAGACCAGGAGTATCGATGTCGTTGCGCAATGAACTTTCCGGGTCAAGATGCCAGATGACAGCATAGTCTACAATGTTCGACTTCTGCCATTAACTGAGGGAATAGTAATGATCAGAATCAAAACATTTTCTATTTGTCCATCAATGTTTCGTTAAAACGGACATCGCACCTTAACGGCTGTCTAGTCCCTAAAGAGGCTTTTTTTCAAACTGGAAAAAAAATCCATTTCGTTCCTTGTCAATATTCATTGTTTTTTATTAGTCCTCGATCGAATCGATGGATAAGTATTGATCTCTTTCGACAAGCCACGTCTTTTCATCAGTTCTCTCCAGAGTTTAATGTTGTTTATCACCGAGTCTTTCTGAGAGCGCCCTCCAAGACCAGGAATTCGCGCCTGTTCCCCCAGTAAAACACATTTTTATCAGGAAAGATTTGAGTCGGTATTTGTTGAGAATCTTATTTTTTGATCAATTCTATAATTTGCCGCTCTGCTGTTGGAGCGCCGTTACCAAATTAATAAGGTCCGGTCTCATTTTCTGGAACACTGTGCGGTTCTGTTGCGCTGTGTTGACAAATAGGAAACTGTTTCCGGGCTTCCAGATTTCAGATTTTCATTATTTTAGTTATGTACCTATTCTCAATATGAATCCCTTCTTCTTGATTGAAAAAAATGAGAATCGACGCGTTTTGATACCACTTTCTTTTAAATTAAAACCAAAAACTTTTTTAATTTATAACTGGAACTTAGTCAGTTATTTCAGTAGTCTGAGAGACATATTTTATTTAACGTAGAGTTTTATTAGTGAAGATTTATTTGGAAAATGAAACACGGGCCGGCACGAGGAAAGAAGAGAAGACTCAACGGGAAAGAAGAAAAGGAAGTCCTTGCGAAGGTCTTCCGGGTCAAGACGTCAGATGACACGGTAGTTAACATATCGCGACTTTTGCCGACCGATGATAGGAAAGTGTTCATCAGAGTTGGGGGATTCGCTAACTATTGGATCAATATTCCTTCAAAACAGAAATCGAAACTCAACCGCTATCGAGTTTCTGTAATGGCTAATTTTCAATCTGATAAAAAATTGTTTCAGAGTTTTTTTTCAACAGAGATCCTTCGATTAACGACTGGTTTTTAGTATTTCAAAATTTAGTTTGAAAGTTTGCTTCGGAGTTACATTCATTTTTTTTTCTTCGAGCACTTCATCCTCTACAATATAATCTTATTATAGAAGCATAGTCAACTTATCCAAGAAAAGATTTTGTTGTTGGGTGAAACGGCTCGCCTTGCAGATCATATAGGTTTCCAGCTTTTCAATCAAACCACTTCTTTCCTTGTGTTCTCTCACAGTTTAATGTTGCTCATCCCGAGTCTTTCTGAAAACGCCTCCCAACACCAGCCACTCGCGCCTGCTCCATTTTTACACTCTGTAGCCAACGTTCGCCCACGCCTTGTCTTTTCAACAATCTCCTTTGAGAAAATCTCAGTCTGGAACTGTGGGCCCGGCTAACAATAGCTCAAAAACTCTCTTTTTCGATTTTTTCTTTCTCCATCTCAATAAGTTTTTGCTCTTTTCCGGCCCGTATAACTTTTTGCAAGATTATTGTTACATTACCGCGTAGCGATTAGGTTCATGTCTTTTGTTTTTGATTGATCGTGTTAAAATATAGTCAATCCTTCCTGAATTGATAGGCGAGGAGGAGGAGACGTTTGTGGAACTCGTACGCGGTTCAATCCACTGACTATTTGAAAAGCTCAATCACCGTTCTATTTGTGAATATTCTCCTATTTTTGGAAGCAAAATTGAAAAAGATCAAAAAAGGAACAATAATAAATGAAAAGTGCGATAAATGGGCTTTTCAAACAGTGGCTGGCGATTGAATTGGACTCGTGCCAAGAACCGCGCACGTTACGCGTCCCACCTCATTTTTTTTGCGTTTCTTGCCGGAAAAAAACGCAAAAAATTTACGACACCTGAATATCTCCGCAAAGCTTCCAAATGTTACATAAATGAAATTTTTTTTTCAAATTCGAGCTCAATTCTGAATTAGGGCTTTCTTTTACCGTTCTGGTGTCTTTCCGGCGTTATAAAAAAGATAAGGTCCAGTGCAGTAGCTTTATTTCATCAAAAACCGTCCTGTTTATCGTCTGTAGAAAATTTTCCGGTGTGCCTGATTTGAGGTTTCAGCGGTAGGCGTCCAATCAAATGATCTGTTCACATTTTGAACTTTGATAGCCTACTGAGCTTTCAAATCGAAAAATTTTTTTCGCCAAAATACATGTACACTTCTGATTATTTATCCGAAACCATCACATTAGCTTCTTTGAAATTCGGTCCCTGATCGAGTATTGCAGAGGCCGGATAAGTATCGAACTCGCTCTTCCGAGCAGCCTCTTTTCTCTCTGTTCTTTTGAAAATGTAATCTTGTTTATCACCAAGTGTTTCGGAGAACGCCCTTCAGGCCCAGGAATTGGCGCCTGTTCCGTTCTTTACACTCTCTGGCCGACGTTCGCCCACTCCTCGTCTATGTCAGCGTTCTATGAGAAAAGCTCAGCTCAAAAGACTGGAAGCTTTTCGTCTCCGAGCTTCCCTTTTTTTTTTCGATGTTTTCTCTTTTTCAATCTCATTACAGTTCCAGCTTCTCTTCTAATTCTCAATAATCTTCTGCAAATCTGTAAGCTTTTATCTTTTTTACCCTTTCCTCACTAATAAGTCACAAAATATCAAATGAACAAGATTTTGCAGAATTCAAACCCATACAAGGTCGATTTCATACTATAATTCATGACTGATTAAGACAAGAAGGTTACGAAAAGTTTTTTATTGATTGAAAAAAAATCGGAGGGAACTCGAATTTCGAGTCTCCAACGTTGGTGCATACACGGCACACGCTCACGACCATTTGCATACTGAACTCCTTTTGTCATCATCTTCTGTGTAAGCCCATTCTCACACTTTATTCATAGCGTACTTATTATTACTTCTCAGATTTGGAATGCATCCATCCCATTTTCTTTTTTTCCACTCTTGCATCTTTTGCAACTTCTTTGAAAATTTTTTGTAACTATACGTTCACCGATTTGATTAAATATCGATTTTTTCACGTAATGTTATAAAACCAAGTTTTAAAGATATATTTTCAGCACACACTCGCCTCTCTTGTGGCCGGCTTTTTCGAGTGCTCATGTAAAATGTGAGTTCATTTCGAATCCGTACCTTTTTTTCAATCGCTTTTTTTCAGGTGTGCTCAAACTTGTGTTTTTAGGCCATAGGCATTAGAGAATAGATAAAGTAGGAAAAATAATAATAGGTAATTTGAATTTTTATTTAAAATTTCTTCTAATTTTATGTTTTCAATCGTAAATTTTAAAACGTTTTTTTCACCTGGGAGTATATCTGCGGTCCCCAGGATTCTTGATTCCTAATTTTTTTTCGTGCAGTTTTATTATCTTAACATTTTTCTCAACCTGTGCGTTACTTTCTGTCCTCAGGCTACTCACAAAATTGACCTTATGATAAATCTATACAGTAAAAGTTTGTTAGTTTCTTTTATGTATAACTTTATCATAAAATCAATTTTCCCACCTGGGAGTTTGGATATTTATTTTCCCCCCAGGCTTCTCGATTTTTGAATTTTTCTTTTTTGTGTTCTTGTTATTAAAACAGTTTTCTCATCTGGGAGTTTTGATTAATTTTCTGAATTTTTCTCCCCAGACCTCTCAGTTTCTGATTTTTTCTTTCTTTTAATTTTGTTATTAAAACAGTTTTCTCACCTGGGCGTTTTGATCAATTTTCTGAATTTTTCCCCCCAGGCTTCTCAATTTTTGAAATTTTTTTATTCTTGTTCTTAGAACAGTTTTTTTCACCTGGGAGTTTTGATTAATTTTTCTAAATTTTTTTCTCCGCAGGCCTCTCAATTTTTGAATTTTTTTCTTTCTTTTTAATTTTTGTTATTGAAACAGTTTTTCTCACCTGGGAGTTTTGATTAATTTTTCTAAATTTTTTTCCCCCAGGCCTCTCAATTTTTGAATTTTTTTCTTACTTTGAATTTTTTTATTAAAACAGTTTTTCTCACCTGGGCGTTTGAATTTTTTTCTTTTTTCCCCCAGGCTTCTCAATTTTTCGGTTTTTTTCCTTTTTTTGTAATTTTTGTTCTTCAAACAGTTTTTTTCACCTGGGCGTTTTTGATCAATTTTTCTGAATTTTTTTCCCCCAGGCTTCTCAATTTTTTTGAAATTTTTTTATTCTTGTTCTTAGAACAGTTTTTTTCACCTGGATGTTTTGATTAATTTTTTTATATTTTTTTCTCCCCAGGCTTTTTTTAGTTCCTGATTATTTTTTTCAAATTTTCGTAATTGAAACATTTTTTTCACTTGAGTGCTCAGATTAATTATCATATTTTTTTCTCCCCAGGCTTCTTAATTTTTTTTTTTTTTGTATTATCTTTTTTTCTATACGATCTTATTTTTAAAATCAATTTTTCTCACGTGGGTGTTTGAATTATTTCTTTTTTTCCCCCAGGCTTCTCAATTTTCGGTTTTTTTCCTTTTTTTAATTTTTTTCTTGAAACATTTTTTTCACCTGGGTGCTTTGATTAATTTTTCTAAATTTTTTTCCCCCAGGCTTCTCAATTTTTTTGAATTTTTTTCTCGTACTTCATTTTTTTCTATACGATTTTTATTTTTAAAATCAATTTTTTTCTCCTGGGAGTTCGGATTTCTCCCACCCCTCCCCCTCTGTCTTCTCAATTTTTTTGATTGTTTCCCTTTTTGTAATTTTTTTATTGAAACATTTTTTTCACCTGAGTGATCAGATTAATTTTTCATATTTTTTTCTCCCCAGGCTTCTTAATTTTTTTGATTTTTTTGTATTCCCTTTTTTTCCATACGATCTTATTTTTAAAATCAATTTTCTCACCTGGGTGTTTGAATTTTTTTCCCCCTCAGGCTTCTCAATTTCCGTTTTTGTTTTTGTTACGTTCCGTTCTTAAGAAGATTTTTTTCTTGTTTTTGAATTTTTTTCTATCAAATTTTTCTCATGAGATTATTGTTTTTTTCTGATCCGGGCGTACGGCTCATCTTTTTTTCACTCTTGGCTCCTAATTTTTCTTTTTTTCATACAATTGTATCGCTGACTTTTTTTCACCTGGACGTTCCTTATAATACTTAATGTCTCTAGGTTTTCCAGTTTTCTGATATCTTAGCTCCATTTTCTTTATGTGAACATGTTTTCTTACCTGGGTGTCTTTTGTTCCTATGTCTGTGAACCACTTTTTTTTCTCAAAAAAGGTGGGATTTTTTTTTTCATGATTTTCCAGTTTGAAAACGAAATTCAGTGTTTCTAATAATTATTCCTTCCTCATTAAAAAACCAAATAATCTCAAAATTCGAAACTTAAGTTAAGTTCTTTGTTTTTTGTAGTGTGAGCTGAGTAATTTTTTTAATAAAAAAACGTTATTTAAAAAAATTACTCGAAAAAATTTCAACACGGGCCGGCCACGAGGAAAAAAAGGAGAAAGCGGATGGACTACAAAGTATTTATTTATCAAGTGAGTTTTTTTCTTCCAGTGAATATGGCTATAATTGATTTGAAATACGTCATTGGATATTAAAAAAAATTGTTTTTTTCCTCAACGTATCTAAAATGGGCAGTCGGTAGAAAAGTATTTTTCTCTGATTGTATGAACTTGATAGAAATGAAACAAAATACCGCTCTACTCGAGAAAAAATTAATTTATTGGTTCGATATGTCTACTTGGAAGCTTATACTGCAGCTAATCAACAAGATAGTATATTCACTTTCGGACTGGTTTACTACGATCATCAGCCAGTCACGAACTGATAAAGAAAACAAATTTACCGAGTAGATAAGCGATTGAGGAAATCGTATTTTCAAAAAGGTTGACTTATAATTTTGGTTCCGAACTATTCTCCATGCGCCCAACGCTCTTCTTTTTTCGTAAATTGAAGTTCATTTTTCATCGTTCTATTTTTAGAAGTCCCTCCGTTCGAAGCATGGAGGATCTGAACCTGACCCAAGATTTTGACGATCACAGAGTTTTTTTTTTGTTTTCACCGGTATTAAAGTGTTTCGCATGACATACGGTTTGGTTTGAGTTGAAAAAAAATCTCTAAAGGAAAATTAAGGTGATCTACGGGCCCGAAAAAGACGCGGTCTGCCCTTCCGCTTCCACCAAAACGTTTATGAATAGAACTTTCAAAGAGAAATTTTCTAATTTCAGGACAACCGCTCCAAACCGGCCAGGAATTGATCGTCTGTTAAAATAATTCAAAAGGTTTGAAAAAAATATGAAAAAAAACAAATAAAACGGGTTGAAGCTCCGATGAGAGGAGGAGAGCATTCCGGCGAAAAGGGACGCGATCCGGTCTTTTTACTAGAAAGAGGAAGGAATGAAAGTATTGGTGAGTTTCAAGTTTTGTTAAAATGAAGAAATATTTTTTAAATACTTTCATTTTTGCATTTTTTTCAGTATCCAGGCCAAAAAAAAGAATGACAAAAAAATGCATTTGAAGAAAGTTCACAGTTCGATATGAATTTAAGGGTCGCACTCAAAGTACATTAGTAAAGGAGAACGATAGGAGTTAATCTATTTTTAAGATATGAAAAAAACCAAAGTTTTTACTGGTTCAGAATTTTACTGGTTCATGTGGACCTTTTTTTCAAAAAACTGTTTGAAATTTTCGTCATTTTCGTCATTTTCGTCATTGATTGAAAATTAACGAGGGGAAAAAAATTGAATACCTACAACCATTTTTTGAGTTTTCGCAGCAGCTCTTGCGAGTAAATTGAGAAAAAAATTATTCAAAAAAGCCGAGAGTCCGTCGTAGTTGAGATAATCAGGAAAAAAATTAGTTTTTTTATATCTAAAAACATTGTTTAAGAATATTTCGAAGGGGCGCCGATACAGAGAAGTGCGAACGGAAGGGTTTCGATTATACTCCCCCAGGCTTTGAACGAACTGTGCCAAGTGAGAAAACTCCTATGGTCGCCAAGTTAATAAGAAAAAAATGATGTCATTTCTAGGCAGAACAACTTTTTTTCGAAAATTTTTTTATTTTTATGACGACATCATTTTTTGCATTGGAAAAAATTTCTGCATTTTTCGGATGAATCAATTTTTTTCTTTGTTTATTTTTCTCTTTTTGAAAATAACTTTCAAGTTCTGAATTATAATCAATTTTCAGATAAATAAATCATCGTCGAGGAAAAAAATAAAAAAATCTACAAAAAAATTTAAAAAAATGAACATGCAGACTCCGGCATAAACGCGGTAAGAAACATTTTTCGTATTGAATTCAATTCATAGTTTCAGGAGCTACAATATTCAATCACAAATGAGGAGAAGAAATAGATGAGACCTTGGAACGGGACTAGCTATGAGCTTTTTGAAGCGGCTGACCAACGACCTGCAAATAAGTATTATCCTCTCAGGCTAGTTAATTTCCTTCTTCATTGTAGAATGATGAGCATAATTTTTCAATGAAAAAGTTTTTGGTTCGTATTTTTACCAGTATAAAAATAAGAATGTTACATAAAGGAAAAAATTTCAGGCTGAACATCATTGCGAGTTTCGTATCGAAAAGCATGACGACGCCAATGGAAACTTCTCTTCCACTCCATGCAGTTTATTCGCTGGTACTACCAACGGGCCCATATCATTTCCCAACCTTAGCTGATACGCCGGGACTTATTGGACAACTATTGTGGACCGTAACCCATGCCGACGACTAACTCTTGGATTATACCATGATTCAGCAGAGATTTTCTTCATCTTACTCTGAAGACTGAATAAATTGAAATTGAAATTGAAACTCCATCAGCCCTCAATCGACTTTTTTATTATATCTTACTAGAAAAAAAGATTGAACTCTTCTTATCTTTTTTCATTTTCCTTAATTTTTGCTTCACAATATATTTTTCAACCGCCTTCAGCAATATTTTCTGTGTAAAATCATAACTTTGTTTCAATCACTTTTCTGAACGTCAATCGTTAATTTCATCCTGTCAGTAAACTGTTTGAACATCATTTTGGTAGTATGCGTCATTGAAAACTTGAAAAGAAAAATAACAAAAGCTTCATTTGAGAAAAATAAACGAAGAAGTCGATCATGTAGATTTTTGCAACGCCTATCAAGTTTTTCAGCATCGATAAGTTTTTTTCTGCTGTGAAAAAGAGGGTTCAAAACTTCAGATCTCTTCATTTTGAAGATCGAAAACCAGAATGGAATCGTATTGTAAAATATTTTTCTCTTCTATTTCAAACTAAAAATTCCGATACAAAAACAAAAAGCCCTGCTCAATGGGGAAAAAACACAGATGCTGTCACGTGTCTACTTCAAAGTCAATCTGCGTTTCTGATATGTGATAGCTTTTCAGCTATCGGGTACTATCTCCATGGTACCTGGATACTAACGGGTAAGCACCTGAAATTCGCGATTGCTATCGGCTGGCAACTCGATCTTGTATCAGAACCAGAGATTGTGTTAACCTTTAGAAGTCGTTCATCGTCTTATTGGCCGTTCTGGGAAAAAAACTGCCCGGGAAGAAGGGATGTACGAGGTTTGATCTTTTTGATCTTAAGAAGAGATCGAAACGAGTTCTCGTGTCAAATTGTCTCGGAAATACAAGAACCCAGATAATGTCAGGTACCATATAGATAGTACCAGGTAGCTGATAGACGGCCATCGATTAGCATACACTTTTGAAATAGTTACCCGGTAGCTACTGGTACCCTCCTCAAAATTGAATTTGAAACAACTCTAAAAAGTACACAGAAAGTTTCACAAAAACTTGATGAGAAAAGGACTGTTCTCCGCTTTTTTGAGTTTTTGTTTTTTTTTTTACGAGCTGATTAATTTTCAAAATCTTTGCTACTGCTTTTTTTTTCAATTTCTTTCAAAAGACGTACGTTTCGAAAAACCACAACCAGAGTTCGTGGCTTTCTTCCTCTGTCGGTTTTTTGGTCCAGCGGCTTTTGAGGCCTGGCGTACTCATCCGACCAGGAGCATTGCCGTCGTTGCGCAAGAAACTTTCCGGGTCAAGACGCCAGATGACAGGATAGTCTACAATGTTCGACTTCTGCCACTCACTGAGAGGATGTTATTGATCAGGATTGGGGATTTTTTTAATCGTGGATCGATAATTCGCTAAAACGGATATCAAACCTTATCGTCTGTTTAGTTTTTTAAAAAGGCTGACTTTCCATTTTAATAATTTCTCAATCATTTGGGAATTTTCATTTTGGCTCTCAAGCTTGAACCTTTTCACGGATAATTTTGATGATTTTTTTTTTCACATATCTCCAAAGCTTTCAAATTCTGTTCGATAGCTTCGGAAGCGTGCGCCGCTAAAGCTAAAAAAAAATTAAACTTGTAAATCGCCGTCAAATTGAAAAATGATAAGTATGAAATTCCTGATAAGTTCGTTATAATTTCTGAAGCAAAACCCTTGAAGAGAGAAACTTGAAACGAGCCCGACAGAATGAAAAAAATGAAGAATAGGATGGCATTGTTGAAACCTGTTTTTAAAAAGAAAAAAAGCAATATAAATAGAAAAAAAATCAAGAGCAGAACCAAAAAAGGTCCCTCAGAAACTTTGGAATCTACTCCTGAAAGTATGAGATTAAACTGAACCCAGCTTCAAAATCCAAAATATTGACAAAAACGCGCGGACCCCAAAAAAGAAAATTGAAAATTTCGAAAACTCGCTCTGCAAAAAGTGAAGATTACTACATAAAGTACCGACAGTTTGAAAAATTGCGACCCAAGAGAACTAAAATATCTCTAGAAGCTAGTCAGAACGAGATTGAAGCAGAACCTCGAATAAAAAAATTTTTCCGACAAAAAAACTTTTAATTCAAAATTACTTCTTCTTACTGTTTCAATGAGTCCTTTCTTAACTAATTTTTTTCTTTTTACTTATATCTTTTTTTCTCAAACTTCTCTACTCACTATTAATTCAAACATTTCAATTCAAAGTTAAAAACGACGGCATTTGGGAAAAACGTCTTAATCGCAAGTCCCACTATGATCTTTTCTGAGGGTATTTTTCAAAAGGTGCTATTTCCCGTCAGCAAAATTTCTTTGCTCTTTTTCCCCGACCAATTGAGTAAAATGAGTGCGAATGAGTAGAAACCCCATTCGAGGCCCATTAAAACCTGTTGATGAGGCGCTGAGACGGTTCTTTTGCCTCCCGAAGCAGGACGCGATGTAGGCGTTGTCAAGTTCTTCCCAAAGGCGTCTGGCCTTCGTCCGCCTCTTTTTGGTATTGAGAAGAAACCATTCTCAGTCCGACTTGCTCTCAAATAGGTCTTTCCTCTGACTTGAGGCTCATTCTATTATTTTTGCTCGTGCATTTTTCCATTTTCTTCTTGTTTCTTTCAACCTTCATAAAGTTTTCTATGAACTTGAATATTCGATTCATCATTTTCTCAGCTATAATCTAATCTTTTTTTGAGTTTTTTTGATGATGAAAACTATGATTCTTTAAAAAGTTTTTTTATTCTATACATATAATTGAAACGTTTCCTTGTTGCCTCCGAGAAAAATTTTTTTCTCATTTTTTTGCTTCTAAAATGAATATTCCCGATAAAAAAAGTTTTTTTGTTTTTTTGATTTCGATATCAATCTTTTAAAATAATTAGTTCTGAAACTTGTCAAGGAGCGACGACTTCTTTTTGTAAAACCTATTATTTTTTTGAAGAATATTATTATTTCCTTTAGCGTTTGACCGGATAAAACCATGAAAATTTAGGCGTTTCCCATATTCGATTTACAGTGAGAAAAAAATTTTACTAATATTACTTGAATGATTCTTGTTCCGACTTGGATTCAGAGTAGGTCTTTCCCCTATCTCTTCTGCAATTTATTTCTCAGTTGCTTTCCTTTTTTTGTTCATTTTTCTCGTTTAAATTGAATGTTTTTAATCCTTATGCTATTTATATAAAAAGTATTCTAACTTTTAGAATGCATTTTTTTCCGAGAATTCTCAGTCTATCAAAAAAACATTGAAAATTTTGTTCATTTCCTTTAAAAAGAAGTTTTTCCAAATTTGCGAGTCAAAAATTACACTTTGAATGGTAAATACTTTTTTTGAGTTCTGTGTTGATATTTCAGTAAATTCAAGTTCCTAAACTTGCAAAAAAATTATAACTGTATCGCTTATAACGTCCTTCCGTAGAGAGCCGATATGTTCAAAGTCAATCAAGTTTCATAGCTTCCAGCCAAATGAAATCTCATAATAAAAAGCCATCAAATCAAATCAAATCATTTATTTTGTTGGTTTAGTCATAGATGTATCGACTAGGCGGTGAACAAAAAACTTTGAAAGCTATAACGAACAACCGCCTTTGGCGAGCTAGAAGTCCAAACGTGTAGTCGAAAGAGTTGAAAGCATGGTCTTACGGTCCTTCGCCTCGTCCTTCTGCGCGTAGTTCATCCAGTTGCGCCTTGACGAGCTCAGAATGTAGCGGATGTTGTGCTGGAGCCCGGAGACCGTGCTCTAGGTGGAAGCCTCAGAATGAGAGCGTCCACTTCGAGTGAAGATTTTACACGGAATGAAGATTTTACACGGAATGATCTACAACAAACAAAAATTGTACTGATAGTTTTTTTATTTATTGCGAAAATAATAAATTTTATGTTTGCGAAAATAATAAATTTTATATTTTTACGAAATTCACAATTTTTTTATGTAAGAATTCATTACTTTTTCGGTTTATAGAATTTTTTTCAATTATTTGGCTGACTTTTTTTAGAATTTGAAAGTTGACTTCCTTTTTGCAAGTAAAATTTCCTAATTTTCTCATGTCGAGTGCTTTGTCACTTTCTTTCTGAACAACTTCTATCGAATCATTTCCTTGTAAGAAAAACTTTGTTGTCGTTGATTAACTCTTTTTGATTCGTTATCTTCAGTCAACGAACATGCCTCTTCCGCTCATCATTGTTGAGAAGATCCTGGACAACGCCGATTACCGAACTCTGCTGAAGTTCTCGAGATCTTCGAGAATGGCTAATTTTGTAGCCAAGCCTCTCCTGCGGTACGTTATTTAAAAAAATGATCAAGCTGTCCAGTTAGAGATTATCGATTTTCGTGGTAACTAAGCTTCAATTTGCATCCGACTTGCCATCGACGTCCAAGCGGATATTGAAATTCCTCCTCATATTCTTGCTTTTGAACAAAAAAAAAGTCAGTTAACGCAGTTCTGATTTCTAACCGGTCAACCTTATAATTTTATTTAATTTCGTTATTGCAAATAAAATAAATTTTCGAATTCATCGAAAGAAATCGACTTAATCACGAAATTTTCGAAAGTTTTTTCAAGTTCCCTGATTTCGAATGCCTAAAAACTTCTTTCTTATAAACTTCGTCTGCAAGAATGACGAGAATAACGAGAAGAAAACTAAAAAAATCAGAAGGATCATTTTCTAAAGTTTTTCAGAGGAAGAAAAGCTCCAGTCAGCGCCAAAGTCGTTTTCGATCTTCAAAACGATTGGCTGAGGGATGGTGTCAGCGTGACTGACATCCAAGGCGAGAGGAAAAAAATCGAAGTGAGTTTGAATAGATCCATTTTTTTCTCTTTATCATTCACGATTTTTTTCATGCATTTTTTTCAGTGGAATGAACAAAAAGGCTTTGAGAATGAGCTGTACGAGGAGCTCAGCCAGTATGTCTCGACCCATGTCGAGATGCACGTGGCGAACTCTTCCAATTTGAAGAAGACGGCCGTTTTCTTCAAATTCGCCGAGATGGGTCTTCTTGCAGAGACCAAAACGGTGAGTTCCCACTTTTTTGCGGCTTCCAGTGTCAAAAACAAAGGCACGCTATGTTTTTATTTTTTGCAAAGTCCAGTTCGTGCAGTTTCGATTAAAAATCAAGTTTTGCCCTACGAAGTGCGGAAAAAACATTTGTCAGATTTTGACGTAGTTGAAAAACAGAAAAAAATTCAAAATTTTTCAATCAAACCAGCTTGAACTGCTTTTTAATACAAATTTTGTAGTCAAGTAGTTGAAGTGGCAAAATTTGAAGAGAACTCGAACTGACGTGAGATATTTTAGCTGACTTTCCACGTCGACAAACGGATGGGGTTCCGGAACTACGGTAGCTGGTTCCCCAACCTCTATCGCTACGATGGCCTGAGAAACACGGGCACTCTGAACGTCAGAAGGCAGTTCCGAGGCCTTCTGACGTTCCGAAAATTCATCGGGAATTATCCAGCCTCAGAGTTCTTCAGGTGAATCTCAAAAAAAGAATTTTAACATTAAAAAATTCAGATTGTCGATGAGCCTGAGCGAGGACGTCATAGTGACAGATGACTGCCTCGACCTCATTATGGAGCAGCATCACGCCAAGAAGACGCCTCTCAAAGTGTTCGTCCTCAACGTGGAGAGCCAGTTGAGGGCGAGCGTCAACAAAATCATCGAATTTATAAAGGTTTTTGATCACTTTAGCTTGAAATATCATTCACGATCTCATTTTTCAAGTTTGTCGCTTGGAGCTCTGAGGAATACGAGACGAGAGAGCCGGAGGCTGGAGAAAATGGAGCGGAGCAAAAGGTTAGTTTAGGTTCGTTTTGTAGAAAACGAATCAGATAGAAAGGAAAAAATCCAATATTTTGTCTCGAAAAGGTTTCAAAAATTTCGAGTTTTTTTTTAGATTTTCATAGAACGAAAACGTCTTCTCATTTAGACAAATTATATTTATTAGAGAAATTTATCTTTTCTAAGAAATGAATGATATTTCAGGAGCCTCGATGCTACATCGAGATAAGCTCTCCTTTCATGGAGAGCGACGATGACAGCAAAACGAAGATGAAGTTCGCCCTCCAGCGGATGGGGATAACCCCGACGGAGACGGCCTGGAAGCCCTCGCGAGACCGTTTCCGACCCGAGTACCTCTTTTTTTGCTGGGTCTTCAAGCTGGGGGCAACCGAAATGGTCTTCCGCTTGCAAGACCCCCCGTACAACACGGAATTCGAAAAGGTCATTGTCGGAAGTCCATATAAAAACGAATGAATTTTTTTAATTTTTTTTTGTTTACTCTGTACATTATTAATAAAAGAATCAAAATACGGCAAGAGTTCAACTTCATAAAAAAATTTGCAAAAAAACGAAAATGAAAAATGCATAAAAAGAACTAATAATTTAGCGTTAAGTCTTCTCATTACGGCCGAGTCACTTTCTATTTGGAAAAAAATTCTCGAAATCCTCTTGTGCCTCCCTTTTTTTCATGTCTTCTTGGAAAATAACACTGCCGGAAGGTCCTGACCGCGCTATGCCTCTTTAAAATGTTGATTATTATCAAGGTGCAGAATACATTTTTTTAACACTAAATTTGATAGTATGATAAAAATTGGAACCGATTTTTTCAAAGATAGGCAAAGTCGGGGTGCCTTTACAAAACCAAAACTGATTTTTAATCCAAATGAAAGGAAGAAAATAGAAAACTTTGTTCACAAAAAAAGAGATTCGCCTTAGGGGTGTGTTTATTTTTCGAAGTAAACATAATTTTTTTATGGTCACGAAAACTTCTCCAATTTTTTTGAACTCAAAAATCATTTTCGATCCAAAACAATGCTCCGGTGGAGCGGAAAGAGCTTCGCAAAGTCACGGAAGACACCAATGAAAATGACTATGTTTCCCTTTTTTGAGTTTTCGTTTTCTTAATGAGTTTGCAAAAGTTGACTCACTATCAAAATCTTAACTACTGCTTTTTTTTAAAATTTCTTTCAAAAGACGTACGTTTCCAAAAACCAGAACCAGAGTTCGTGGCTTTCTTCCTTTGTCGGTTTTTTTGACCCAGCGGCTTTTTGAAGCCTGGCGTACTCATCAGAACAGGAGCATCGCCATCTCAAGAAACTTTCCGGGTCAAGATGCCAGATGACAGGGTTTACGTTTCGCGACTTCTGCCACTCACTGAGAGGATGGTTTTGATCAGGATTGAAGGATTGCTTTATTTGTGGATCGATAATTCGCTAAAACGGATGTCAAACCTTATCGGCTGTTTAGTTTCTAAAAGAGGCTAACTTTCAATTAAAAAAATTCCTAATCGTTCGGGAATTTTCATTTCGGTTCTCAAGCTTGATTTTTTTTTCACGGATAATTTCGATAATTTTTTTTCACAATTCTCCAAAGCTTTCAAATTCTGTTCGATAACTTCAAAGTTACATCAAAACTTCTTTGTTTGCCCAACTTGTCCTTTTTTAGAGAACGACGCAGCAGATCAAAAGTAAATAGCATTCGGGAAAAAAAAGTTGTACTTTTTTATGTCTAGCGGTTTGTGGGAATCAAATCATTTTTGCCGTCAAAATACATTTATATTTCTGCTTCTTTATTTGAAACCAGCCGGAGTCACATTAGCTTTTCTGAAATTCGGTCCCCGATCGAGTTTTGCAGAGGCCGGATAAGTATCGAGCTCGCTCTTCCGAGCAGCCTCAGTTCTCTTTCATTTCTTTCGAATGTTTAATCTTGCTTATCACCAAGTGTTTTGGAGAACGCCCTTCAGGTCCAGGAATTGGCACCTGTTCGGTTCTTTACACTTTCTGGCCGACGTTCGCCCACTCCTCGTCTATATCCGCGTTTTATGAGAAAAGCTCAGCTCAAAGGACTGGAAGCTTTTCTTCTCTGAGCTTTCCTTTTTTTCGATGTTTTCTCTTTTTCAATCTCATTACAGTTCTAGCTTCTCTTCTAGATCTGAATAACCTTCTGCAGATCTCTCAAATTCAGTTATTTTGCTGTTTTGTGGCGTTATTAAAAAAATAAGGTCCTGGAGAGTAGCTCCTTTTCATTAAAAACTTTGCAGTCCTTTTGGTCTGCTGCCGAAAATCGTACTTTTTTGCCTGATTCGAGGTTTCACCGGTAGGCATCCGACTACTATCAACATAATCTGTTCAGATGTTAAATTTTAGAAGCCAATTGCGCTTTCAAGATTGCAGTACCTTTTTGCGCGTGACTCTTCAAAGGCCCATTTTTTGATCTTGCTCTAATAATTTGAAGAAAATCCGAAACTCAATGCTATTGAAAATGATTTAAAAAGCTGTAGATTCTCATTTAGAGGAAAATTTTATACTACTAAGAAACAAAGTGGTGCTTTTCAAAAAAGGCCGAGAATTTTTTTTTCGTGGTTTTGATCTTTTCGACCTTATTTTCCTGGAATTTTCGGGCATAATACAGAATTTTCATATCACACAAAAACAGAAAAATCATGTTAAAGACTCCAGTCCCGCCCCTTTTTATGAGGAACCTCTCGTGCACTTCTGCCAGGTGCTCCGGTTTTCCCATTATCCAGTATCACGCTATCTTTCTTCCAAATTCTTCTCTCCCAGGGACTCATTTTAGTAAAGGGTTCAGAATTTTCCATAAGTTTTCTCACAAAAATTTTGATGAACTGGGTCTCGTTTCGATACCCAGTCCATCAAATTTTGAACAAGCCGGTATCCGCTAAGACGGCACTTTCTTCCAACTGGAATCCGAATCTCTAGGAATTCCTCCCAAAAGAGGCCGTTTTTACCTACTGAAACCCCGAAAATTTGGCTCAAAGTATGATATTTTGGTATTACTTGGTTTTTTTTCTTCATTCCTTCGATTGTTAATTTTAGGTGTCGACCACAAAAATTAACTTGATTGCTTTGGAAATTTCATTTCGTCATAATTACTGATAATTACAAGAAATTTTTAGAGTTGGAAAATGTTGCATTACCTCTATCGAAAGGGAAAAATAAAGAGATCGAATATGTTTCCGCGTGTTTCAGGACCTCGTAGTAGAAGCCCTCAAATTGAAAATGGTATCAAGGGGTACCTTTGAAATCACTGAAAAACTCATTTTAGTTTAAAAGAATGTTGTGAAAAGCTTTTATTGATTGAAAAAAAATCGGAGGGAACTCGAATTTCGAGCCTCCAACGTTGGTGCATACACGGCACACGCTCACGACCATTTGCAGACACTGAACTCCTTTTATCATCATCTTCTGTGTAAGCCCATTCTCACAATTTATTTATAGCGTACTTATTATTACTTTTCAGATTTGGAATGCATCCATCCCATTTTCTTTTTTCCCCTCTCGCATCTTTTGCAACTTCTTTGAAAAGCTTTTGAAACTATCCTTCCCTGATTTGATTTAATATCGATTTTTTAACGTAATTTTATGAAACCAAGATTTAAAGATATATTTTCAGCACACACTCACTTCTCTTGTGGCCGGCTTCTCCGAATGTTCGTGTAAAATGAGTGAGTTCAATCCAATCAAGTTTTTTTTTTCAAACGTCTTTTTTCAGGTGTGCTCAAACTTGTGTTTTAAGCCGTAGGTTTTAGGGGATAGATAGAGTAGAAAAAATAATATTAGGTAATTTAGAATTTTATTTAGATTTTTTTCCAATTTTTAGTTTCCAGCCGTCGATCTTAAATATTGACAACTTTTTCTCACCTGTGTCTGAACCTGCGTTCCCAGGATTCTAGATTTCTATTTTTATGCAGTTCTGTTATCTCTCTTTTCTACCTGGGCGTTACTTGCTTACCCCAGGCTTTTTTAATTTGTTTTTTTATGTATATTTCTAACATGATATCAGTTTTTTTCACCTGGATGCTCAGATTAATAATTTTATTTTTCTCTCCAGTCTTCCCTGATTTCGGATTTTTTTCCTTATTTTTTTCATAAGATCAATTTTCTCACCTGGGTGCTCAGATTAATAATTTTATTTTTTTCTCCCCAGGCTACCCTGATTTCCGATTTTTTTAAACTTTTTCATAAGATCAATTTTTTCTTACCTGGGCGCTCAGATTAATAATTTTTATTTTTTTCTCCCCAAGCTCTCCAATTTTTGGATTTCATCTTTCTAACCATTTATCTTTTTTTCCTGTAACATCTTCATGTTCAATAACTTTCCTGTTATCTTTACTGAAATTCGAAGCATTCACTATTTTTCTTTTAAAGACAATCCAGATTTCTTATTTTTTAAAATATTTAAAATTTGTTAAGATTCATTTTTTTCTTAGGAATTTGAGCGTGAAATTGTTTATTTCATTTTTCCGGTTTATAAGAAAAGCTTAATTTAAAATATAAAAACACGGGCCGGCCACGAAGAAAAAAGAGAGGATGAATGGATAAAAAGAAAGGAATGGACCCACAATGGACTCGATCAAAAGGACAAGAAATTATTATGCAAAGTGAGTTTTTTCCTTAATTTTCAGCAAAATATTTGCAGATTATAGACTTAAGAGATTGTAGAATAAACATTCTTGGACTGAAAATTGGTTTTTTTTTCCAAACATTCACTGTAGTTGAGACTTTTTAAGAAATTTATTTTACACGGGAAAAGAATAAATGATGGAAAACGAAAAAAAAAATTATTTAATATATGGCTTGATTAATAATAATAGTTCGTTTAAATCTATTTCATTTATGCCTAATTTGGCAATTATATGATTGAGAAATCTTAAACTCCGCTCAAAATGCTCAGATTCTGGTGTAATCAATTGCCGTAGACAACTGGGCGTTTCCACTTTCTCCTAGGACGACGATTAAAAATCAAAAGTGCTCTCAGTTCCGAGTAACCTAATTTTTTGTGGTTTTTGTGAAATCACTCTATTGAAATTCAATAAAGATTGAGGTCCCGGGCAACTTTAAATTATAGATTTTGCCAGAATGATCGGGCGATTTGATTTGCAGAACTAGAGCTTGGTTTTCATGTCTACCACTCAAAGTTTTGGTTCCGGCTGAGAAATGTTTAGGAATCTTGGAATGTCAGGTCATTCTAAAAAAAAGAAAAAAAAAAAGAATGATTGGAAATTTTTTTATTTTCTTAATTCTATTTATTGGTTTAAATTGAAAGCATTCAGGTCTAAAAATTTTCATCTCAATAGTCAGCGACCCGAATTCCTCGTGTCCAGCGAAATCTCAAAATTCGATTGTCCAAAACGATGCAGTATCCCACAGCTTGCAAACGAACGGGAACTGGAGGACCTTGTGCCTGGTTTTTTTTTCCTTGATTTTCCATGCATTTCATCCTATTTTTTCCAGTGGCTAGCCAAAGAGATCTTCTGGACGAGTGTGTGCGGCTTTTTCGCTTTATTTATGAAGAAAATCTCAATAAACAAGGCGAGATGCGGACATTAAAGATTTGGTGAGTTTTAAATTTTTTATCTTGAGGAAGAAGACTGAGAAGTAAACCAAACTTTTTCCGTGTAGCATGGGCGTTTTATCTAAATCTCTGAAAATCTTTCAATTTTTGAGAAAGCGCCTGCAATTGAAAGACTAGCGCATTTTCTAATCAATTCAATCTTTCTTAATTTTTTTAAAGGCTCATATGAAAGTTTTCACAACATTAAAGCTGTTAAGGTTGCTTCAAACGTGCCCTACGGCTATTTTTTTATTTTATTTATCCGAACTATGAAGAAAGAATGAGGTTCCAAAATTGAACAATAAGCTCATCGGAAAAAAAAAGAAAAAAAGTTGTTTTTTTCCAAAATAATAAAAAAACTTGAATTTCATTGAGATTCGTACGGAAATTTTTTTATAACTTTTTTTCAGCTATTTTTTTCCACACTGACTTTTTCAGAAAAAAATGCTCCGTTTGCAACACCACCATTTTGCGCCGAGATCTGACGGGAGTCACACAGCCTAAAAATTTTTAAACTACCTGGACAAGGTGGGAAGAAGTCTTTTTTTTTTGGCGCATCAGTTTCTTTAACAACCTTCCAAAAATCCTTCCGATCGATTTTATTAAAATAGTTTTCCACCCTTTCCTTCTTAAAATTGAAACTACACCGGAAATACTATATCGAAGTTTTTCAGATTAACAAAAAATCGTCGAAGCAATATCAAACATTCTCGATTTAAAAAAATTAACAAAAAGAAATGAACAGGTTTCAAACTCCGGCATAAACGCGGTAAGAAACATTTTCGTATTAAATTCAAATGCAAATTTCAGGAGCTAGAATATTTAATCACAAATGAGGAGAAGATATAGAAGAGACATTGGAACGGGACTAGCTATGAGCTTTTTTGAAGTGGCTGACCAAAGACCTGCAAATAAATCTTTTTCATTCAATTAAGCTTTTCACTTTTTCTTTCCTATTTCTACAAATAGAAATAATTTGTGAACCCTATCGATGTTAATTGAGAAAAAAATCATTTCAGGGGGAAATCTCGCGAATTTGGAATCGAAAATCACGACGACGCCATTGGAAACTTCTCTTCCACTCGATCAGCCGTACCATTTTGATTTTTTCTAAATTAGAAAAAAGATTGTATTTATCTTATTTTTTTTTAAATACGACCACTTTTTGCTTCATATTTCAATATTTTTTTCCAATTTACATAAAAAAATTCTATTTTTTTGATTTGCCTGTATAAAAAAAGATTCTTATGATTTCAATCCGATTGTTCTCCTATCTTCTAACTGTTTTTCATTTGTTTTTGACAGTAAATTTTTTTAGCGTCATGTTTGATGATGTAATACCGAAAGTAAAAAAATTGAAACAAGTTTCATTAAAAAAATTAAAACAAAATGAGCTTTTTTTAAACGAAACTATGACACAACCAAATGAGTAAAAAGAAAATAAAAAAAGCTTTGCTCACAAAAAGATTTACCACTGCGATTACTTCATTTTTCGAAATTTTTTTACAGTCTCAAAATTTTTATTTCATTTGTCTAAGCTCATAAATCAATCTTGGTCCAAAACATTAGTACTCAAAAAGCTTCGAAAAGGGCACTTGTATGAGAATGAATGAAAAGGACTATGTTTCCCTATTTTGAGTTCTCGTTTTTTATCGATTCTCGCATGAGTTGATTCAATTTCGAAATCTTATCAACTGCTCTTTTCTCAACTTCTTCCAAAAAAAAAGGTAATTTTTCATATCCCAGAACCAGAGTTCGTAGGTTTCTTGCTTTGTCGGTCTTTTTTTGGTCTGGCGGCTTTTGAGGCCTGGCGTTCACATCAGACCAGGAGCCTCGCCATCTTTACGCAATAAACTTTTCGGGTCGAGACGCCAGATGACAGGATAGTTTACACTTCGCGACTTTTGCCATTCACTGCGGGGATAGTGTTAATCAGAATTGAAGGATTTTTCTATCGTGAATCTATTACTCGTGAAATGGTCACGAATATTCAACAGCTATCTAGTTTCTGTAATGGCTATTCTTCACTTTGAAGCATTCCAATTCGTTTTATCTCACCAGTCGATATTTATATTAATTTTTTTATGGTTCTCGATCGAGTCGCTGGATAAGTATTGAGCTCTTTTGAGAAGCCACGTAGTTCCCTCTGTTCTCTCGAGAGTTTAATGTTGTTCATCACCGAGTCTTTCGGATAGCGCCCTCCAAGACCAGGAATTCGTGCCTGTTCCGTTTTTTACACACAGGTCGATTTTCGCCCACTGAGACGATGCTAAGCCACAGCTCCTGCCGCCGTTCGAAAACGCAATTAAAATCAAGGAAAGTCGATTGCATATTTATACATTAGATGTAATAAACAGTTTAAAACAAAGGGGGAAATATTCAGAAACAGCTACGACTTTGATTTTTTTGTGATGAAACTTTTTTACAATTTCTGAGCAAATAATGTTGCCGCATTTTACATTTTCACACAACGACGAGAACATCATGCTGTAGGCTCTAACCACGCCTCTTTTGAGCCACGCCCAGTTCGAGCCGCGTCCCTTTTTATAGGAGTCTCATATCTCACGTTTGTCAGATGCTCCGATTATTCCATTCTCTAGTTTGATACTTTTTTTTTGGTTTCTCCCATTTGGGAAGTCATTGTAGCATAGGGTTTGAAAATTTCTACAAACATTTTCTAACAATCTTCGATGGACGGGAAACAGAACTAACCCGGTATCCGCCCACACTACTACTCTCCTAACTATAATCCGATGTCTTTCAGAAAGATCAGATTTCTTTAAAAGGAGGTTACGTCTCAACCGATTGAAATTCATAGAATATTCTGAACACGAGGCTGTAATGACTATATGTCAGATGGTGATTAGAAAGTTAAATAAAATAAGAAAGCTTTTGGTGAACAAGCTTTTGAGTTATTAAAAACCACGAAATGTTTATACAAACAAATATACATTTTGCACTAGCCGTTTTATTATTTCTTTATTTGTTTTGTTAAATTGTTTCATCTTTGAACGTGGATTAATAGTGTCCAAACTCAGATAAGATTCACTTCATTTTTTTTTCCGTCGTATATTTCTTTTCATTTCACTTTCCTTACTTCATATTTACGTGGTTAATTTTGTCATATAAAATACAGAACGCTTTTTTAGATTTCCACATTCTCAAAATAATGTATAGAAATAAGCTGTGCTCTCAAAATAGCTGAAAAAAATAAAAATTTCTTCGTAAAATATTGTGAGCACAGCTGTTTGCAGAAAAAAATCTTATACAAACGTAACTTTGGGCCATCGTTGATGATAAAACGATTTAAGAAGATTTTATTATTGGTTGATACTCGGAGCTACGAAAAAAATATTAAGGAAGCCTTTGAATTCGAGCCCCCCTCGGTGCATACACGTTTCACGATCATTTGCAGAACTCCTTTTTGTCATCATTCTGTGTATGACCATTTTTATAACCTATCCTCACAACATACTTATCCTCGCTGTTCAAACATGGATTGCATAGATATCTATCTCGTTTCCCTTTTTTGGTTTTTGAACTTTTTTCCAACACATTTGAAAAGCTCTTGAAAATAAGAGTGTCGTGACTTGATTGTTTCTCGATTTTTTCCCGTTTTCTTTTCTGTGAAACTAAGGTTAAAAATATATTTTCAGCACACACTCGCCTCTCTTGTGGCCGGCTTCTCCGAATGTTCGTGTAAAATGAGTGAGTTCAATCCAATCAAGTTTTTTTTCTTTCAAACGTTTTTTTTCAGGTGTGCTCAAACTTGTGTTTTAAGCCGTAGGTTTTAGGGGATAGATAGAGTGGGAAAAAAAGAATATTAGGTAAGAATTTTATTTAGAATTTTTTTCCAATTTTTTTAGTTTTTCAACCGTCCATCTTAAACAATTTTTTTCTTACCTGGGAGTTTACCTGCGGTCCCCAGGATTCTTGATTCCTCATTTTTTCATGCAGTTTTATTATCTTAAAAATTTTTTTCTCAACCTGTGCGTTACTTTCTGTCCTCAGGCTACTTACAAAATTGACCTTATGATAAAATTATACAGTAAAAAGTTTGTTAGTTTCTTTTTATGTATAACTTTATCATAAAATCAATTTTTCCCACCTGGGAGTTTGGATATTTATTTTCCCCCCAGGCTTCTCAATTTTTGAATTTTTTTTGTGTTCTTGTTTTTAAAACAGTTTTTCTACCTGGGTGTTTTGATTAATTTTCTAAATTTTTCCCCCCAGGCCTCTCAGTTTTTGAATTTTTTTTTCTTTTAATTTTGTTATTAAAACAGTTTTCTCATCTGGGAGTTTTGATTAATTTTCTGAATTTTTCTCCCCAGACCTCTCAGTTTTTTTGAATGTTTCCTTCTTTTTAATTTTTGTTCTTGAAACAGTTTTTCTTACCTTGGAGTTTTGATTAATTTTTCTGAATTTTTTTCTCCCAAGGGCTCTCAATTTTTGATTTTTGTACTCTATTTTTTTGTAAATTTTTTCTATACAATTGTTTCCTAAAATCAATTTTTCTCACCTGAGTGCTCAAATTAATAGTATTTTTTTCTCTCCAGGCTTCCCAATTTCTCAATTTCTGATTTCTATCTTTTTAAACATTCCTCTTTCTTGCTATTAGTTTTTTTCATGGTTAATAACTTTTTATAAGATTTTTCATCTTAAATGAAATTCAAAGCGTACTATGAGTCAATGAAAAAAACTTAATTTAAAAATATAAAACACGGGCCGGCCACGAAGAAAAAAGAAAGGATGAATGGATAAAAAGAAAGGAATGGACCCACAATGGACTCGATCAAAAGGACAAGAAATTATTATGCAAAGTGAGTTTTTTTTTCTTATTTTCAAATTTTTGTACAGCAGATTCGTGTTTTTCAAACTCTTGCAGTAGTTAAAACACTATAAATTTTTTCCCACTCAAAAAAATGATAATTAAAAAAATATCCGAACAAAAAAATTGATTTTTCACTCAGTTTTTTTGTCATTTCAGTTAAACTTTTCAACGAAGTCAAAAATATTTTTTACTCGGGTCAAAATGTTCGGAATCAGGTGAAATCAACTACCCTAGACTACTGGGCGTGGCGCCTTCTCAGAAATAAATGATGAAATCTTAAAAAAACCTCAAAGTTTCGGAAAATAAAAACTTTTCGTCGTTTTTCGTCGAATTATTCAAAACTTTGAAAAATTATTAAGGGGCCTGGTTGAAGTCGTCAGAAAGGTCGGGCGTTTCATACAAGTCGGTCAGTGAGTCAAAACTTCCGCATATACTCATCCTCATCTTCAGGATCCGAACGCTTTCCGCTCGAGGTCTAAATCGCCTTCCGTCAACCCGGTTCCGCAATTTTCTAGTAGTTCGTTTGGTGAGAAAATAAAACTTTTCGCAATTTTAGCAAAAAAAGATTGCGTTGGTTTTTGGGGAAATTTGAAGCCACAAAATAGATTTGAATACTTTGAAAGCCCTACCCGAATCTTCTTGTGCGCACTGCCAAACAAGAATTCCGAGTTTTAAACCATCTAACGGTTTTTTAATTTGAAAAAGAGAACTTTTTTTGTCTATAATTTTTTTATTGTACTGTTTTTAATGAAAACTTTGAAAATGCCTTGGAAAACGGCGAATTTCCAGAAATGAGCGCCAATTTCTTATTTGTAGTTTTTTATGCTTGTCAAGAAAGTTTCCCAGAAGGATTCTTTAAAAAAAATTTTTTTGTTATGAAATTTACGAATCGACGGCAACAACGTCGCAGTCTTAAACACAAAAAGAGCTTTTGAGCGGGATCGCACTTGATGACGAAAAGTACTTTCAGGGCCCCGATCATTCGCAGCGAATCACCCAGCCAGAAGATGAATATCATAGTACAAGATGGAGCTGATCTGAGGCAACCGACAGAGGAATTTGGAAAATCCAAACTATCCTGGAACAGGACAAACGAAGGAGAGACCGCACAATTTGCGGATGGTTCTGGTCGTGAGAGAGATTTTTAAAGCTATGTTCTAATTAAATTTGACTATTTTTTCAATTGTTCCTTCCTTAATTATTTCTGTCAGTAAACTTTTTAAACTTCATTTTTGGCAATATGAGCGTTGAACACAAAAAAAAAATGCAAATTGGAGCGAATTTCTTCATGAAATTGCGTGAAGACGAGTTGAACCAAGAAACACATAAAAAGGGTATGAAATTCAGTTTTAGCTAATGAAAAAAGTTTTGAATACAAAAGAAATCATGAAAACGAGAAGAAGATTAAAGGAGCTTTTGCTTTGAAATGAAAAAAATTATCTTCCGAGCGCTATAGGCTACTGAAAAAGTAGTCGGTCGAAAATGTAGAAAAAAACCAAAAAAATTAATTTTTTTTTTGTTTTTTTAGAGAAAAAAACGATTTTCTCTCACTTTCCAAAAAGATATATTACACGTACAGAAATTGTTTGAGAGACCGAAAACCCGAAGGAAAAAATTTTTGAGCTTTTCCCGCACATTTTTGTCGAACCTTATCTGAGTATTATTGACGCTTTGCAGATAACTTTTTTTTTGTGGAGTACTCAAACCAAATTATATTTACAGCAGAAGTTCAAACCTGCAATGTTTACCTCATGCACTTGCCTTGGAAGAGCAAAGAAGACTTCGATCCCTGAACTCACTTGAATGCTTGCATTCAAAAGGAAGACAACGAAGGCCGCCCGAAATATGGCTGGTCGACAAGCTACACAACGGAAGACCACCAGATTAGGTTCTGACTAAGCCACTGATCGTGAAAAATGACGGCAATACTCCAAAAAAGCGGTCCCGCGGCTGGACAGGACAAGCGCTGGAAAAGAAGAACAAGCATTTTCGAACTCTGATCTCAGATCGCAAAATTGGTTTCAAGCTCTTAATCGCCCCTCTTCTCTCTTTTTCTCTCTCTCTGTTTTTTTGAAAGTGTAATCTTTTTTTTAAAAAAAACGACGCAGCAGATCAAAATTAAATAGCATTCGGACAAAAAAAAAGTTGAACTTTTTTATGTCTAGCGGTTTGTGAGAATCAAATCACTTTTGTCGTCAAAATACATGTATATTTTTGCTCTTTCATACGAAATCAGCAGGATTCACATTAGCTTTTCTGAAATTCGGTCTGTGATCGAGTATTGAAGAGGCCGGATAAGTATCAAGCTCGTTCTTCCGAGCAGCCTCTTTTCTCTCTGTTCTTTTGAAAATGTAATCTTGTTTATCACCAAGTGTTTCGGAGAACGCCCTTCAGGTCCAGGAATTGGCGCCTGTTCCGTTCTTTACACTCTCTGGCCAACGTTCGCCCACTCCTCGTCTATATCAGCGTTCTATAAGAAAAGCTCAGCTCGAAAGACTGGAAGCTTTTCTTTTCTGAGCTTTCCGTTTTTTCGATGTTTTTCTTTTCTTCCATCTTATTCACATCTTCAGCTTCTTTTTTTAAATCTGAATAACCTTTTGCAAATTTCTCGGCTTCCATTTTTTTATTCTTAATAAGGCATATGTTTCCTATTCTTTCTCGAACTTTTTCATACTTTGCTAAAATTAAAATTTCTTAATTTTTTTGGAGACAGTCTAGCATTACCCTTTCCTCCTATTTCTGAGAAAAATTTTATTGATCAGATTCATCGAATCCCAAACTATCTGAACACAAGAAATGGATCTTCATAACAGAACTCCTAGAAAAAGTACTAAAACTTCCTTATTTAAATTGTAGATCGAAGTGAACTCGTTGGGGTTCACACTGATCTGTGAATAAATTATTATTATTAAAAAAAACGTTCGCTGAAAAGGGAATCATTACAAGCTATCGTTTTCTTTATGAAAAACATTTTACAGATAGTCGAGACACCATGGAAAATGAGTGGAAGCAGAAACATTGGTAGAAAATCGCTCCAGGTGTCCAGACCTTGCAGCGCATCAAATGAGTTTTTGCTAACGATTTTGTGGTTTTAATGTCCCTTATCAAGTTCTGCAAAAGCGAAATTGAATTTAAGCACTTAATCACACCTCTTCTCTCCCTCTCTCTCTCTGTTTTTTTGAAAGTGTAATCTTGTTTATCACCAAGTGTTTCGGAGAACGCCCTCCAAGACCAGGAATTGGCGCTTGCTCCGTTCTTTACACTCTCTAGCCGACGTTCGCCCACTCCCTTTATCTTTTATCTTTCTCGTCTTCCATCTTTACAGTTTCAGCTTTTCTTCTAGATCTGAATCATCTTCTGCGGATTTCCAAGCTCTTATTTATTTATTTTTTCCTTCTTGATAAGGCTTGTTTTTCTATTATTTCTCAACCCCTTTCATTCTTTTCTGTGATGTGACTTTTCTGAACTTTTAGACTCAGTTTATCATAATTAATTTCCAAAATCTTCCCAACATCCTGACAGGATTCGTACGAAAACTCGTATTCCGTGATGATAGGCCATCAATTGATTTATTTTCCAGCAAGCTCATTTCTCATGAGGCTGGCCGCATGCGGCGGTCCTAGGAAATGAGTGAGTTCTTTTTTTTCCACGTAGATGATTTTTCAATCGCTCATTTTTATTTTTGTTTTTCAGGTTTGTTCAATCTCGGATAAGAAGCCATAGGTTTTTAATAGTTCCAGAAGTAGTATTCTGAAAATAGGTTTTAAATTTTTTTTTTGCTTTCATTCTCTTTCTTTCCCGTCGATCATACATATCGACATTTTTTTCTTAAACTGGAAGCTACGGTCTATCGACTGTCTCCAGAACCAAAAAAACTTCTTTGAGAAAAAAATATTTATAGAATCATCTTTACTTTTTTCCTATGAAATCGAATTTGATATATTTTTTTAGTCTGTAAAAATGATGAAAAAAAGTAGCTTAAAACTTGTCTTCTTTTAATTTTTTTCCTTCTACTTGGGACCATGCGCCGCCGAAAAAACGGGTCGCGATCATTTTTTAAATGTGAGTTTTGGATTTTTTTTTTCCTGCTCTTAATATTGCAATACCTACTCCATCAAAATTTTCAATACTTCTGGAGCAACATTACGTATCTTCTTTCAGAAGAGTCTTTGATACTCAAATATTTTTAATTTTCAAGTTACGAAAAAGAGTTTTAATTTAAAAAACCAAAAAAACTTGAGTTTATCAATCCGATAGAATCTTTTGCAGACCGACACAAGATCGAAAGAGAATAGCCCAATTCTCCCCGTCCGCCCGACAGACAAAAGTTTAATTTATAGTGTAATTTCTGGATATTCGGCAAAAGTGCTCATGGAACAAAACGCTATCGTCCACATCGTCAAAATGGGAACAATAAAAAGTTTGTTGGATTCAGAAAGATTATTAGGATGGAAAATACGATTTCAGAACGTTTTTCAAATTCGGAACGTCACTTAACATCTCATTCCTATTTTCCACTTTTAAAGTTGAGAAACATTTTCGTAGTAAATAGGCAAAAGCAAAAAAAAACAAGGTTCAAAAAAATTCTTCAGTGCTACAGTTTTTCGTTGTGAAAAAAATGCAAAAAGAAAAATTTTTCCTAAATTTATTTTTTTCTGAAAAGGAAGGGGTCGGAAAAAAATGAGCTATGATTCTGAAAAAAACCCTAGTTCCTTATTTACATAATATTCTATTTCCAGTCTCAATAAAAAAAAATCGAATCGTGGCCGACATATCTTCGGCGTGATGGTTATCTCTTTCAACCGCGTGAAATCTTCGAAAGGAGAGAAGTGAGTTTTTTTTTCTAGAAGTTAAAAATTGTTTGGAATAGAAAACGAACCCCAACACGGAGTTTGATTTTGAATGCGAAACTTTTACTATTAATAATCTTCCTATTTCGATCGCAATTTCGTTTCAGGAAGAAAAATCTCATTTCTTCAACGCAGTTTGGGAAACGACGTAGCTGCTTTATTTATTATCCATTTTATCTGTCACAAAAATATCTCACCTTTTAACACCATTCCGAAACTTCCATTACAATCTGTGTTTCGAGTCCTTTTTCTCCTCAGAAAACTGAGCTTTCCAGTCGATTTCTCTCTGACAGACCCTTAGTAGTAAATTTTTTCACGAGTTTCTTTTTTCCGAGCTGGGTTTCTTGATTTAACAACAGAAAGGCTTCGAAACTATCGACTTCTGTGCTTGTCTTTTTGATTTCAGCTTCATTTAAGCTCTAGCCATTCATTGTTTTTTTTTGTTGTGTAAAGTTGTTTTTATCTGTTCTAGTCATTATCTCCAGTTGTAGACTTGTATAAATGATAGGTCTCTTTTATTTTAGTTCATGTTCTACTTTTTCAGCGTTCTATTTTCCCTTCGTTCGAAATTCCCAGCAGGACTGCAAATTCACTTTCTATTTTCAGGGTAACTATTTGATTTTTGCGGGTAACTATCTAATTTTTTTAGGATATTTGATTTTTAATCAATATTGATTGTTTCAGATTCTATAGTAAACGGTTTTCGAGAAAGCTTTGTTTTTCAAATGCAAAAAAAAATTTGAAAAGGGAACATTTGGAAACAATTTCTTCACGGATCTTCAAATTAGATATACAGTTTCAAAAAAATACTACTAATCCTAGCCGTGTGCGTCGACAAAAATCTTTCATTTTTCCCAAAAAATGGAAGCTTTGCGGCCTGCAAAAATATTGATCAATAAAAAAAAGCTAAGACGGGATGTATTCAGCCGACAGTCAAAGAGAACCGTCTTGAATGTGGGATCAGGGTGTGATTCTTAAGGTGACCGGAGTTTTGACCGAATTTGCCTATTACAGCCGTTTTTGGGGATAAACACCTGTTTTCAAGGTGTGATCGTTCTGCCAAAAATACCTGCGCAGAGCAATTAAACATATTTTTTTTATAATAAGTCTTACTTAGGTATGCTATGTATGAGGGTCACTTTTTCATAACATCATTTCTATCTCCTAATATCAGACTATCATTTTTTTATTTAAAATTTAGAGTTTTTCTCTCAATCTTATTAGCTGAAATTATACTGAATTTGGGGGCTACCACTTGTCAGGAAACTTTTTTTCAGATGAAGAACACTTTGATGAAAATGATTTTTTCTCATTACAGTTTACAGAGAAACACACTATGAAAAGTAGAATAGCTGACTTTTCTCGCAAGAAAAAAAAAAGATTATCGGCAAAAAACGAGACACGAAAAGGTCCCTCAGCGCCTATACATATGAAGGCTTGAGGCGATTGGCTGCACCTTTGATGTCGGAACGCTGTTGTAAGGTGGCTGTTCCCCGGGATGCCTTGCTCCTGAGCTTTTTGTTCTTCTCCATCTATTTTTATCCGTGGTCCGCTCTTCAGAGTCTAGTTTAAAAACTTTTTTGGCAATCGCAATATTCAAAAAAACAAAATGTTTCTCTTCAACAAGTTGAAATTGAGAACTAAACTACATCACAAACATACAGAGTTGTTTTTTTGTTTATTTTCAACTGAGATGCGTTTTCAATCGTAGCAATTTTTTCATATCTGTCAGATGTATGAAAAATAAACCGAAACTAAAATTTTTGCTGATTATTTCTCGTTTTTCTCAATTTTTCGGAATTTTTTTATTTCTAAAAAGGATGCTTATCAAAAAAAAAAAATTGTTTTTTTGATGCCAAGAAGATTTTGTCAAAAAGCTAAAAGCATTCCAAAATGTAGAAGATTTGAAAAAGGAATATTAAATTTCAGTGTGTTTGTAATGAATACTTGGAAAATCAGGTTTTTTTTTCCCATTTTTTAGTCGTTCTAAGTTTGCACAATCTACTTGAAAGACTATACTCGAACAAAAGCAATGCCGACAATCGTAACTTGAAGTATCCCTCAAAAGGCGACTAGAAGGTCTTCTTCGCAAGACGACAAGAAGCGGGTTGATCAAATAAGTAATAGTGCCCTACTTGATCGCGTTTTCGAAGTAGGGGATTGTAAAAGGTTTATTGGTCATCCTGCATCGGTTACATCAAAAAAAATTTTCAAGTACTTCTTTAACTTGTTTGGTCAATCCGCTACTTGCCGTTTGGCGAAGAAGGCCTTCTGGTCGCCTACTGAGGTATATTTCAAGTTAAAAATGTCGGCATTTTCTGTTCAAAGGTATAGCCTATTCCGCGCCAGCTTGTCACGTTTTTTTTCCGCCAAAAAGACCGTATACCAAATTTGATCAAACTAGACCAACTTCGCTTCACGAAATTCGGTTTTTGTTTTTGTTTTTTCTTGCAATTATGGAGAGTTCCGAGCGTGGCGGTACCGTTTGTGAAAAGTGACAAGCTGGCGCAGAATGACCTATAGTCTTTCAAATATACCGCGCAAACTTGTCATATTAAGATAAACGCAGGTATAGCGCTTTTTTGCGCGCTTTTTCAGTACTTTCCCGTTTCTGCGTCTCCGCTCTGAAACTTTTATCTTTTATCGGAGAGCATACGGTATTTCTGCCAAAAAAAGTTTCAAGCTGCCGCCGAATGGAGGCTATACAAGTATCGTGCTGCGAAAAAGTATTGCTCGGTCAAGATTAATTTCGCACTCTGTTATTTTCAACTCTCTGATGCAGTTTCAGTACACAGAAAAAAAAACACAGCTTCAGAAACTTTCGGGAAGATTGAATTCCTTACAAGAAAGTTGTGACCAAAATCTGTAGAACTCAGAAAAATTTCAGTTTGGATTTTTGTGAATGAACTGAAAAAAACTACTCACGTCAAAGGGCAGAATATATGGTTAGTAACAAAACGGATGAGGCTTTTCTGACCACTTGACTTAATTTTAGTAACTATCTCATTTTATTTCTGTCTTGTTAAATCGACAAAAATCGAGAAATCGACAAAAACCGGCAACTTTTCCGCTAATTGCATTTCATTGGAAAAAAACCATGTTTTTGACCTCAGTTAATATCTTTTAACGCTTCTTCCAGTTGTAAAGCTTGTTGGAAGTTCAGAGACTCCCAAAGTTCACAGGATTAAGCGGCTGTTTTTTACAATATTTCTGTTCGCCCACTTCTCAGCTCTCGTTTTCGAGAGAAGCTCAGTGCAGAGAAACATTTGTTCGATGGAAACTTGACATTTAGCGTTTTGAAATTAAAATTTTGTATGTCCAACGTCTTTTTGAACTACTTCAAGATCCAGCGTTGGTTCTTTGGAAAACCTAATTTTCAAAAAACTTGATCTTTCTCTCATCAATCAGTCCAACTACATTGAACTTTGTTCTATTTTTGGAAATCACCTTTTTTTAATGTCAAAAACTTTTCAGCGTTTTGGAAAGATGACAATATTTCATGAGATCCTTCTTTTTTGTCAAATAAAATTTTCCGTGTATCAATTTGACTAACTTTCTTTATTTTCCAGCAAACTCGTTTCTCATGAGGCTTTTCGCATGCGAGTTGTCCTAGGAAATCAGTAAGTTTTTTTTGGCTTTTTTTCTGATTTATTTCTCATCAAAATTTTTCTTTTTCAGGTCTGTTCAACCTCGGATAAGGAGATCTAGATTTTTTAAAATTTGAAAATTTGTAGAAATTGTGTGGAAACGGTTAGATTTTAAATTTTTTGCGTTATTTTTTTAACCATCGTTCATAAATAGCGGCATTTTTTTTACCTAGGAGAACTGATGTCCTTAGGAATCAAAGTAATATTTAAATAGATTTTTATTTATTCAAAACTTTTCCATGATATGAAATTTAACATGTAGGACATAACTCAGTAGATAAATTTTTTTGATTATTTACCACACTCTGTAAAAACCACAAAATGTGGAGAAACCTTGAATTTAGATATGACGAGCATTACGAGAAACATACGGACCAGAATTGAAAAGCCAAAATTTAATACATAGAAAAAATAAGAGGTCACAGAAACGTCGCAGCAAGAGGAAGGAGAGGAAGTTGTCACTTAAGAGTAGCGAGGCTACTAAAGTGGTCCCTATAAATGCCCCGACATGTCCGATTCGCGTCCCGCTCGCGTTACCAAGGTCCGAGTAGGAACAAAATTCATCATAAAACATTAAATACTCACTTTTTATAAGTTTCCTATTTACAAATTGTTCTTTTCAGATGTAAATAAAAAATGGTACGCTGATATATTCTTGGCGGGATGGTTTTGCACTTGATAACAGGACATTCTCATTTGGAACGTGAGTTTTATTTATTTACTTTTGTTCAGATATAATGAAGAAAGCAAGTTTCCCGGTTTTAAGAGAAAAAAAGATTGGGAAAAACTAAAAATTAAAAAAAAAATGTAGCTTATTGGAAGAAGTTCCTAAAAATTCAAAGGTATCATTTTCAGGTTTGAATTACGGTCCGCTAAATAAAGATGGTCTAAAACGACGTTTACTCTCTTTACGTATGCTGAATATTCTACTTTCTCCATGGAATCAATTTTATCATTTTTTTAAAAAACGTATCACTTCATATTTGAGCTCAGATGTTCAATGACTGCCGGACAATCCTTTTTCTTTGACTATTTATTTGAAGTCCCATTAACTAATTTTATTGTGAACAGTGTTATCGTTACTCCAAATCGGCGATTTGAATTTTTTCGTCATGTTGGATTATCCCAAGTGAGGTTGGTTTTTGTCATATTCCGTTTTTTCCATAGCAAATAAACGTGTGAATATGAATCTTGTCTTTGAGGTTGATTATTATTACGATAACTGGTATTGGAAGCTCAAAAGTTCAACTGATAATTGAAACGTAATAGAAGAGGAAGCTAGGCTTCTTAGCTCCCAGAAGCGATTGAGCCTGTAAACTTTCGTTTTCTCGTTTTTTTATGGGATTTCCGAAAGGGATCACAGTTAAACTCAAAAAAAAGATTGCAGGGAATTTTTTTTTTCATCATTTTTTCATCATTTTTTTCATTTAGTCTTCGTATGTTTAGCTCATAAAGTTAAGCCTTTATTAAGACAAGCTAGGTTTTTTTCGCTCTACTGTCTTTTGTGTTTCATCTCGCTTTTACGAATTTTAATTTTTGAGAAATGCAATGCTTGAGTTCAACCCAATTTCGAATACAAAAACGTTCAAATTAGTCTTTTGAGAACTTCTCAAAAAAACCCCGTCTGATTGTTTCAAATCTCAATGAACTTTTTTTCATGCTTGGGTGAAACAAAGAAGGTCCAACGGAAAAAAACCGTTGAGGATATTCAAGAAACATTTTTCAACAGAATTTCCGTTATCTTTCCTTTTACTTCGATGAAAACGGTGAAATTTTTTTCCGGAAAAATGTACTTTTTATATTTGAAAAAAATTAGCTCAAAATTGGTTCCACAGTTTCAAAAGCTTTACACAGAGCTTATCCCACTTCTCTTGAAGAATCAAAAGTTCACATTCTACGTTTTGTCAAGTTCATAGTTACTGGCGCAGATACTGTTTGCGGGTTTCTTAAGTTGGCGCTAAGAACTTAATCTGAACTTTCAAAAAAAAATTCTGGACCTCTGACTTGGAAATTTGAAGTTCTACTCGTATTTTATCTGTATACAAAAAAACAGTTTGTTAGCCCGTCATTCATTTGTCTGAAGACTTGATCTTTTTAGGGTGATATGAAAAAGCACAAGCAAAAATTCAAACGGCGACTTTTCCGATTTTTTCATATCGCTAGGGAACTTTCCGACGGCCACCTTTCCGACGAATCTTTTTCCGACTTTTTTTCTCGATAAAATCTTCGTTTTAAATGTTCCTATATAAAGTAGGTAGTTGGTTCATGATTAAAACACAAAGACATAGGAAAAAAAAAGTAAATAGATTTCTTAAAAACCGAAAAATATAAAGGAAAAAAGTCGGAAAAAATTTCGTCGGAAAGGTGGCCGTCGGAAAGTTCCCTAGCGATATGAAAAAATCGGAAAAGTCGCCGTTCGAATTTTCGCTGATGTTTTTTTTCATACCACTCTTTTTAGAAACAATTTAACAAGCAGCTGGACTAAAAGGTTCACTTTTCAAGAAGTAGAAGAAAAAATAGGCAAACATAAGAAAAAGCAATGAAAGTGCACGGTGAAATTTTAATTATGACAATTGTATGAACGGAAAGACTTTAATAGCGATTCTGTAAAGTATGTGTAAATTGGGGAGAGCCAGGTATCGTGAAGGTTACCAATTGCTTGACCCCGTTCTTTCTAAAAATAAATCGAAATTGAAGTTTTTTCATGGAACTGGGAACCTCATGTTGAATATAATGACAAAAACGTCCGTCACAAGTTGAGGTTTTTGCGCAAACGATTCCCATCCTTCAGTGCTAGTGAGGTCGTCAAAGCTCTCGGCGATAAGCTTAAATCAAAAAATCGAAAAATCCTGGATATGTAAATTAAGTAATAAAAAAAAACTGAGAATAATAGGTTTCTACATTTCTGGGAAAAATTTGTAATTTTCGAGTGAGCTTTATTTGCTATCCTTTTTACGTCTGAAAAAATAAAAATTTTAATCATTTTATTTTCAGAAACTTTTCTACAAAAATGGTACCTGAAGAGCTTTAGAGCGTAGAAGACTGCAATCGTAAAAATCGGCCAGCACAGCCAAAAAGCAAGCATTTCCGTAGGTCAAGCCTTGGACGAGCCGATTTTGGCACTCCGTTTTCAGTTCGTTCACTTGGTACTTTTCGGCCATGGCGAGCAATTTTTTCACCATCGGCTCTTCAGAAGGGAGCTTTGCGCGATAAATGTAATCTACGAACTGCTGTACGACGGCAAACTCTACGTCTTCCATTTCCAAAACCGACTGAAAAAAACCTCAGGATAGTTCTTTGAGAAAATGGATAAGTTTTCTAATTTCTAAAAAAAAAAAAACTGAATATGGCTTCAATCGAGCTCACCGCTTGAACCTCTTTCGAATTTTCGTGCGAGAGCATTGCCCGAAGTACTGGAGACCTGAGAAACATAGATTAAAATACGTCAAGAACGGAATTTTTTTCAGGAGGAAGGTCATTTTAATTGCGGCTGGGACTTTTCTAAAAAATTGGCTAGAAATCTCTTCCACGTACCCGGAAAAGATACTGATAGTTCCCCCCCTAGAAAGTTGGGCAAGTTAAGGTTGACTCTCAAAATCTTTTTTTGGTACATCAGTAATCATTCTGCTCGATTTTCAGGAAATTTCCTTGCGCAAAGTAAAATGACTATCTTTTTCAGAGTTTTTTTTTCAATGGAAACTATCAGTTTTCCCGGTAGTGAATACTCTGATATTCAAAAAATAAAAAAAAAATAAAAATAAAAATAAAAACCTGGCAGCCAGTACGGCCTTGTGAACTTCTATCGATTCTCCTTCGGCTCTTAGACTGAAGTCTGTGTGCAGCTTCTCAGTGAGCATAGTATTAAGCACCGGATTTGTTGGAAAATTCTGAAATTGATAAATCAGATATATATATATTCATTACTTTCCAAAGTTGACCAATGAGAGAATTCCTGGCTTGCTTACTCACTCGTTAAAATCAATGTAAGAGAGCTGCTTTCAGTAAATCAGGAACTTCTCTCACGATCATTTTTGAAATAAAAAGTTTCTCAGAATCAACTTTTAAAAAGAACCTGCTTACTGAAAGACATGTTGAAGGAGAAGCAGATGGCTGCAAAAGATCTTCAAATCTTTTTCTAGCTTCCAATAGGGATGAACATGTTTGAATGATACATTTGATTGGAAATAGATAGAAAAAAACGCTTATAAAACTTTTCAAAGAAATTTTTTCGAAAGATCAACAAATTAAATGTCCTTTTTTGAAAAACAACAAAAAGCCGACGTTTCGTCTCAAATAAAAAAAAAAGTGCAAGGGAACCGATGTCGAGAAGATTTTTGTTGGCAATCTGAGGTTTTTGTCTGGCGAGACGCGTTATGCTGACGGCTGTTCCGCAACACAACTGTTCGCTGAAATTGCTGTTAATCAAAACAGAACAGATTCTCTCCGCTTAACCCAAAAATTTCTCTTTTCCCGCTTTTTCCATCGAAAATAATTCAGTTTTTCAAACGCTTCAAAGCCAAAGTTTAGAGCCGAGCTCTTCAAAATGAGCGTTTAATCGGCAATCGGACGGACTCCTAATGTCAGGTCATTTCGATATATTTGAAAAAGCGAAATATTAATAAAGTTCATGTTTCAAGTGCGTGGAAAAAAAGATCTCTTACTTTCTATAATTCTGTTAGATTTTTGCGAGAGATGAGAATATTACTGTCCTTTTTTCATTTCTCGAGAGAGAAACTGGAGAAGCATTTTTTTGATGCATTTTTGCTGAAGCGCTAACCTTTCAGGGTGGTTTTTTAATTAACAAACAACTTATAAGTGAATAAAAATTTTATGAAAAAGGGAAGAAAAAAATTTTCATGTTTGCCCAATAACTTTGATTACCATTTTTGAATGCTTTCGCGGCCACAGTTAGAGAAAGATTTAAAAAGTACCTGAAAAAAGCGTTTCCTTGTAATTTAACTGCTATCAGTGTGAAAAAAAGATATTTGTAGAGTTAATTAAAAATCTGAATGAAGAGAAAACTAGATTTCCCTGCCAACTTTCTCTCTACCAACTTGCCTCTCTCTGCCTCACGATAGAACAGGCCAAGTCGCGTAAGCCGCCGCGAGTCGGATGAACGATTTACTGGGGTCGGACGATGTTTTCGTTGATTTGCTAACGCAACCAATCAAGATCCTTAGCCGGAAGGCCTGGACTGCTGCCTCCACGCGGCGCCTTCTGGGTGAGACTCAGTCTCAGCGGAATGCGGTCCATTTTTGGTAAACGCCGGCCTCAGGGCTGGCAAAAAATTAAAGCTTGGTGTGCTCCTAAAACCAGAAGACTCTCTTGGCAAACAACAAAAAGGAGTTCGATTGGAAAACATTGAACTTCATAGGACCTAATGGATCGCTGAAAACACGAGCCATTGACTTTCATTCCATGAGTTCAATAATATTTCACAAACCCTTATTTATTCCTTCTGACTTGAACGTAAGTCTTGGGCAATTAGGGGGTCGCAGAACCGAATATTCTTCCCTCACTTGAACGTAGGCTTTTCAACTTCCCGCTTTGCTGCCTAAGAGGTGTCATAAAGAAATCAGGGTCAAATAGAGTTATTTTCTGGAAAATGTTGACTTTTTTCTGTTTGCCAAGATCGTCTCCTGGTTTTAGGAGAAGGAGAAAACCAAGCTTCAATTTTTTCCAGTCCTGAGGCCCGTGTTCACCGAAAAAAGACGGACAGTATTCAAACGGCAGAAATACGTACGATTTTTTCAAAAATAAGTGAGCCGTTTTGAGATTCCAGGAAAAACACCCAATATTTTTGTGGACGTTGGTTGTTACGTCAATTGAAACTACTAAAGACGCAAAAAAAAAAAACGGATTGTGTAAACGTTTATTTGAAAAGAAAATGGCATAAAACATAAAAAGAACCAATGAAAAATAGGAAGAATGCAGACATTTATTAACAAGAAGAACGAGTAAAATTTGATGAAATATAGAAAAATGAGGTGAAGCTTTGTTACAACTACGACTAAGAACTCGGAAACATATTTCTGCTGCTTTTCAAATTTTCTACTGATTTGAACTCGTGTTTCCTTCGAATCTTTTCTCGACCTAGTGAAGAAGTTTTTTTTTCGTATTTTTCAAGGGTCATCCAGGAACTTTTTCTTTCTTCGTTGCTATTGTCCAGGCTTCTGTGTTCCGTTGGATGCGTTCAACACATGTTCTCTGAAAGATTTCTACTCTTAAAAAAAACTGAAAACCATTCGGTTAATAGTGTTTTTTTGGCGTATCGATTCCCTTTTTCCCATTTTTTTAATATAGGCCATCTATTTTTTTGAACGAAATAATTTTTTTCAGTCGAACTGCGAGATTTTTTTAAAGAATTGATTACAAAATTGTGAATTTTTTTGAATATTTGAAAAAAACATTTAATATTTGAATAAATTCGAAAAAAAGCGACAGAACTTTCCATTTCCAATGAAGCAAAAAAATTAAATTAAAAAGTTCAATTATTTTTTTCTCAAAAATTTTTTTGAATTTAGTTTGTCAAATTCCGAAGTTCTTATCGTTTAATAAATGTCAAAAGATCAGTTTTCATTTAGCTAGCACAGCCATACAAAAAATAAGAAATACCTCATTGCACCTGTCTGCTCTTTTAGGTGTAACAGCTCTTGTTGTTTCGGACTGGTTCCCGGGTGACACATCAACAAGGCTGACGGGCTTGACATGACACTTTTACGATCTTCCTTTCCGCAAGTTTTTCAAGGAAGATCAATTTTCAATTCATAAAGAGAGTTATAATTTTGAAAAGATATTAAACTTTAGAACTTTAGAAATCAAGAAATCAAGAAGCTTTCACAAAAAGAAGCTTTTAGGGGGATAAAATCAAAATGAATCTTTTTGGTTTTTTTGAAAAAGAAATAAAAAAATTAAATATTTTTATGGCCTGGGGGAAGCCGGAAGAGCTTATCTCCCAGGTGAGAAAAAAATGCCGATGAATATGATCAGCGGATTGAAAAAAATAGAACTAATAAATGGACTTTTTTTAATGTAATTCGAAAATTTTCTAATCTAATCCAATAAAAAAATCGTTACTACATCTTGAAAAATTGATCTTTCACTTCAATGACTCGCTTTTGGGAGAACCTGAAAAAAAGGGATATTATAGCAAACAAAACAGGTACTGGGAAGAAGTAAAGAAAAAGACGAAAAAAATTAAATTAAAAAAAGTCGGAAATCGTGAAACTGCAGGAATATATGTTTTGAAAACATAAAAACTAATATTTAAAAGGACTAATTCGTTGAAAACCGTGAAACTTTCAAACAAAAAAGAACAATAGTATACCGAGTTGGTTTGAAAGCATCTTATTCTTACCTTATTTAGGTCTAGTGTCACGGACTTCAGATATTAATACAGCAAAGAAGGAGGTTTTCTTACGGAAAAAAATAGTGAAGTAAGGAAAACCTTTACTTGTTTCATTTAAACGTCAAACAGAGGACAGCTTTCTTTCCAGAACAAATTTCGAACCGATTTAAGCGAAGAATTGTGGTCTCAAAATGTTCGTTTTGCAAAAATCAATAAACGCATTTTTCATTGAAATCATTGATTAATCGTCCTATACTTTTAGAGGAGTTGGAAAAAAACCAAGTTTATAAGAAAACTAAAAATTGGAAAGAAAAACCACTTTATGCGCAAAAATAAATAAAATAAAAAGATCAAAGTTTTTCGTTCAAAATGAAAAAAAAGAGCGCAGAAGGAGACGACCGCTCTGTGGAAAGAAAGAACGACTGAATGACCACGAGAGCATTTTTGTCGTGTGCTCGAGGTAAGAACGCCCATTTTTAATAAGACCGCCTACCTGGGAGGCGGAGTTTGCTCAAGAGGTCCTCCTATAATATAATAAATTCATCGCGTCTCTTTTCTTCGTTCAGGATACAAGAAATGAAAGTGAGGATGTTTTAAGAACTCTTGGAATCCGCTCAATTATTTTTTACATTTTTTAAGTTCAGTGAAGAGTTTCAAGAACTCTCACAGATAACTAGCAAAAATATCTCGTTAAAGTAAGATTATATTGAGAATCTCCAAATTTTCAACACTTTTCCAGACTTTCTCCAAAAAGTTGGAGTGAGCAAAAGACACCGTTATTTCTAGTAAAAAGTGGTCAAAGGTCCTAGAAAGCTTCTAAGAAAAGTATCGGACAGTTGCTCAATTTTAAGACCTATGAAAAGAATTAACGCGTGGCCCTGACGCCTTTTCAGCAGCCGTTAACTACGAATATCAAAATACGGTACGGTTTGAAGCCGCCATTCCGTCAGAACTAAAGATTCCATATTCTTTTTCAGAACATTATCTGTTGACAATTTATTGCTCAAGAATATACATTTAGAAGAGTATTTGTTTCGAGAACAAAAAAGTTACAGCATTTGGAGAATTCGTTCCATATTTATGCCCGTCCCTGTAAGTGCCTGAAAGAAAAACTTTCTTCTAATTTCAGTGCGGATAAACGAAGTCATACAGTTTCTGGGAAACATTCACCTTCATACATTTTGAACAAAATTTTGATACCATTAACAACAGAAGTTTTGTTTTTTTCTCAAAGTTACATCGATCTAAACGTATTAATCTTCACAAAACTCGAGAGCTTCGTTCGAAGAGACATTCAGAAGCGACAAAAGTGTTTCAACTACTCTATCAAAACAAAAAAGACATGCTCATTTGCCATTCTCCATCAAAAGACCAGGAGACGATCTTGGCAAACAGAAAGAAAGGCAACATTCTCTAGAAAATAACTCTACTTGACCCTGATTTCTTTATGACACCTCTTAGGCAGCAAAGCGGGAAGTTGAAAAGCCCACGTTCAAGTGAGGGAAGAATATTCGGTTCTGCGACACCTCCAAGTGGCTAAGACAGACTATTTACGTTTCTACAAGTACCTGAGCACTGTTGTTATTAGTTCACGGCAAGAGGAATAAATAAGAATTTATGTTGATCCAATTTCCAAACGCTTTGAATTTCGTCTATTCTTAATCGACTTCTGTTCTTTGAGATAAAGTTTTCCAGCAAAAAAAAATTCACAAACGTCCAGCCTTTCAAAACGCAGAGACTGATTCAAAAAATTTTGCAGCAGTCTGAGCTTTCTGTCTGAAACTAGAAGAGAACTCCCACTTGAGGAATCAATGAGGCCTGCCAACCCTCAGTTGATGAGCAGACCATAAAAGTTCTAACGGTTTTGACAAAGGCAACTTAATTGTTGTCACAAATAGTTCTACTTGAGCGTGAATGTGTGACGGCAAAAAAAACTTTCAAATAGGAACTCAAAGTTCAATTAGAAAGGAATAAAATACGTTAATTTATTAACGTTTTTGCATACTTCTGCTACCACAATTAAGATTTCTCAGGGAAAGATTACAAAAGTAAAGAAAATTGTATGTATCTATGCAGTTTGATTGCTGTCAGTGTAGAAAAAAGATATTTGTAGAGTTCATTGAAATTTGAATGAAGAGAAAACTAGATTTCCCTGCCAACCTTCTCTCTACCAACTTGCCTCGCTCATCCTAACGAGAGAAGAGGTCAAGTCGCGTAAGCCGCCGCGAGTCGGGTGAACGATTTACCGGGATCGGACGATGTTTTCGTTGATTTGCTAACGCAACCAATCAAGATCCTTAGCCGGAAGGCCTGGACTGCTGCCTCCACGCGGCGCCTTCTGGGTGAGACTTAGTCTCAGCAGAATGCAGTCAATTTGTGGTAAACGCCGGCCTCAGGGCTGGCAAAAACTAGAGAAATCAATGAGGCCTGCCGACTCCGCAAACCATGAAAGTCGAGACGGTTTTTATAAAGGAGAGATAATTCTACTTGAGAGTAAAGAGCAAAGCAATATCATGAGGAGTTGGGCTTCGGTTTGAGGTTTCGTGGCTTTTTCTGCAGACAGGTATGGATTTTCATCGGATACTGTCGATGAAGTGTTGGTTTTTACTTTTGTTAAGACTGATAGAAACAGCACCTAAAAATTAATATAGTTCAATTTATTATATAACCGTGGTATGTGCCTGTCCAGTTCAATGAGTCACAATTTCTTTCCGCGCCACGACCAAATCACAGGTTTAAAAAAAGAATTCTACACTTTTGACGCGCAATGTATTTCTAGAAGCCAGTCCAATGATTATCAGTGATATGAGGATAGGACCTTTGCTAATCGACTTGGGGCACCGACGCCGCTCAAGCGCTACCAAGGCGTAAAGAGAAAAAAAAAGATGAAGCATAATTCATTAAATTCGGAAATCAGCTTTGAAGCCATGCAGACTTTGAGCTAAGATAAACTCGAATCTGAAAACCAATTTTATTCTTTTTCAGCGCGACATTGGATTCATTTGAACTGCGGAACGAGTTCACTGCTGGTAAGTTTGCTCTGAAACCGTTTGGCGCCAAATCTGAAATCGATTGCGGGCTGAGAGATTCGTCATTGCGCCGTGGGTTCTACACAGCGCCTAATAGTTTTTTTTTTACTTTTTTGGTCTTTATAATCAATATTTAATTAATTTCACACCTATTTGTTCCGATATAATGAGTAATTTGAATAAAAGTTTCAGAGAATTTAAGCCTTGGCTCATGGCAATTTTTGAAGAAACGCTTCGATGAACTAAATCTTTCGTGATCTTTTCTGAATTCCAGAAAATTCATCAACTTGACATGGTATAATCAGGCCTAAAAAAAGTGAAAACTCCTGATGTAGTTCGAACTTCTAAAGCAAAAAAATAAAATTATCTGCTAAGAATAGGGTACTAAGAAAGAACCTGACGAAAATGTACCAAAACAGCTCAAAAACTGACTTTTTCGGCTATCATTTTTGAAGCGGACCAAATTCTTATTTTTAGACTGCATATCTATATATCATTAATAAAACGAGGAAGAATCTTTTTCAACGAAAAAAATTGAGAGAATCAATTTCGGAGCTTCTCCTGTACATTTTTCGACGGACTGTTTCTCGGTACCCATTGGAGCTTAGCAGGTAATTCTTTTTTTATTTTCGAGTACTCATAGCTAGACTATCTACCATGAAAGTTTGGACCAGATATGCTATGTTCACCTCACTTTTCTTGTAAGTCTATTCTTTTGAACCTTTTCAAAAATCTTGACTGCAAGGAATCGAAAAGTACAGAGCTGTTTTTTGCAAAACTTTTTGTTTTGAAAATACGCAATAACAGAAAAAAAATCTTTTGCAATGAACGTTAATCAGTCGCTGTACAGCTATAAGGCCGAAAAATTCTTTTATGCCCGGAGCTCTAAAAAGTCTCGTGAAAAAGTCGTGAAAAAATTTCTGTTTTTCGATACCTTCATCTGAACGATAAATTTTTGAATATCATCTAGAACACTTGAAAAAACCTTTCCGTCCTATGAACAATTCGGTCGAATGAACTCGCTGTTCCGGCTTTTAATAGCATAATGAAAAGCAATGAGACGTGAAGGAAACCGATAAAAAGCTGTCCACGTTATGACTGGCGCTACGGTATCATTAACGACGCTCCATTTTCGAAAATCTTTGAAAGTTTTAACCTTTTGAAAAAGAGTTTTCTGAGTAGTTTAGTGAGGGAAAAGGTTCGTACTTTACAGCCAAGTTTCTTCGGAAGTTTTGCGTTTGGACTTTTATTTTTTGCGGTTTTTTGAAGCCCAGGAAAAACGAGGATGATCCAAAAACTTCTAGAGCTCGAAAAAATTCATCTGATAGCAATGAAACTATGATTTTTCTCGTTATAATTCGTTTCCAGAAAAAAATAATCTTGGCTTTTTTTAATTCGAACTCTTCGGATTGTTAAGGATCTTACAAGTTTCATACGCATGGTAGTTTTTAATTATGTATTTATCATTTGAATGTAACGAATAAAACAAACCATAAAAAAATTTTGAATTGATAGAACCGACGGAGTTTTTTTTATAGTAATGATTCGTTGGCAAAAAAGAAACCTGCCAACTTTGATTGGTCGATTTAATGGTTTAAATTGGGAAGTTTGATAGCTTCTACGTTGCAGCGGCATTTTTGAAGCACCGAAATATCAAAACTATCTTTCACAGAGCTTCAAGCCTCGACGCCCCAACTTTGAGCATCCTTTTCACTTCTGCAAAAAGAGCTCACTAGGGAACTACTCGGACTCGGGTACGCGTTCCGAGTTGAAACTTTGATGGCTTATAGACGCGGGTAAGAGTACTTGGAAAAAAAGAGAGATCATCTGCTTAACCCCATAGGCTTCTGAGAAAAAGCTTTTTGAAAATGAACAGTTTGGGCTTGGAAATTATCAAATTATTGCTTTTCTCCTTCTTTTGGCTGGATAATAGTTTTTCAGGGTTTATCATAGCCGGATCATTCAGGGCGATTGTATATGGCAAAAACATATAAAATGAGGTAAAAAGCAGTGTTTTGAAAACTTTCCGGCTTAATTTTCACATTTTCTACTAATTTTTTCTCAGTTCTTTATTGGGTTTGGCAGATTTTCTTTTTTTTTTCAGGTATTCTCACTTAGGTCTATAAACCACTAAGGTTTGAACTCGATCCACGTACCCGAGTCCGAGTAGTTCCCTAGTCAGATCGAGAGAACCCTTATGTTTTAAGTGTCGGCTCGACCTTTGTTCCCATTGTCCGGATTCCATGACATCACTTTGTTTTTACCTCTCCGGCCGAGCGCGCTTGAAATAACAAGAAAAAATGGTTTTCACGCCGTCTTCTCCTACACAACCCGCGGCGTCCCTTCAATCGATAGGGCTCCAAAGATCCGCTCTGCGTAGGTTTCGTCGCTCCCACGTCGCTGAATCTTTTCCTTTTTCGTTCATTTTTCTTTGGCTCTCAAACCATGGCTTCCCAATCTGAGAGAACCTCTCGATTATCTTCTCCGCATAAGCAATAATTCAGATTCGCGGTTTAATCAAAATCCGCAAATTAATTTTTCTAAACGTTTCAAGAGTCTTTACTATAGAAGTTTTTGAGACCCACATCGTTTAGGTATGAATTTTAGGACAAGTAGCCCTAAGGAAGCGTTTACAAAAAAAACATGTTTTTCGGCTAACAGAAGCGCCATGAAATACCGAGTTAAAGATAGTCGGAAGTGTGCGGAAACGGCATAAAAATAACTGATGGGTTATGAATTATCCTGCTGAGAATGATTCAAATAAATCAGAAGTGTGATGGGGTTGGAAAAAATTTGAAAGATTATTCACCCTCGACTAACATTTTATAATACCGATCTTTTCTGTTCAACAATCTTGGGGTTGAAAGTTTCTCAAAATTGACTGGGTTTTATCAAAAATCTCATTTTTCGCCTTAGATTCCTTTGCATACTCTGATTCTCACATCCTCCCAATTCTCGTTGTCCCTCGCTTTTCGTGATTTCAAACGCATGGTGTAGAGGTTGAACCGCGCCAAAGGGTGGGCGTGGCCTAATTCGAAAGGCCGACGGTTCGCGCCAAAATGACCATGTTTTGTTCATTCTTCACCCGCTCAGACTCGCCTTTCCTTTTTCTTTTGTTCTCCGAACTTTCTAACTTTGTTTTTTTCCAGAAACTTGACAATCGCACAGCGCTTCGAACGAAATGAATGGGAGCATGAGAGCAGGTATAGTCTTTTTTTAAAATTCATATTAAAAAGGATTCTATTTATTTTTGTAAAATTTAGGAACCTTGAAACCTTTTTTTCACAGAAAGAAAAAAATTTTGAGACTGAAAATTTGAATGATTCTAAACTCTACACAAGTTCATCCAATAACTTTCAAAAATACGTTTCATATTGCTTGACTTTAATTTTTCGTTTTCAGTTCTCAGAAGGCATCCGGAAACGGTCGAGGCTCGTCTTCTGGACGTCATCCTGTGGTCTTGTGGCAACGACCCGATGGCTCTGCACGTCTCCAACGTTCATCGCATCCAGAACATCATTGACAACCTGCCGATCGTTGCCTACCACAACGACTTCACTGACACCGAGCTTCCCGAGTACGAGCTCCCTCTCAGAGTCGACCTTCGTGGCTCCACTCCTCGCAGGCACTACGTCGAGAGCCGTAACAATCCTTATGACACCATCACTTTCGAGGTCGCCACTCAGATCTACAACGGTGTCGAGCTCAGATACCCCAACAGTCCTTTGCTGTTCACCTCGAAGGTCCAGCCGATGTCCATCGAGTCTCTCACCGTGCGTCTGAAGACCACTCCCATCTAAATCTGAGATCCATTCCCATCTGAATCTCACCTGTTAATTCTTAGTTGCCATCACATTCTGTTGCGTTTCTGATTCCGTTTTATTTTTAAATTTTTTCCTTTTGATGTTGATGGTCATAAATTTTTGTAACGGAAGAGTTGGGTCTTTTTTAAACCGCATTGAAATCAAAAATATCTGCTTGCCGTGGATGAGCTCAAACATATGAAATCAAAAAAAGCAAAAAAAGCTCCAGAATTTCTTCGTGCTGAATCAAATCTCCCTCGGATGAAAGCCGTAGTGTAGTAATTCAAATAACTATTAGTAGACTTAAGCGTTTCTAATCGCTTTTTATTGACCACAAAATTTTCTTTACAATTTGGCAATATTATGATTACTTCATCTCCCCGAACTTCTGCTTGAAGTCAACAGAATCGTATTTATTGCTCCGGTGATTCATGACGTGGCAGTTGTTTACTCCATAAGGCTCTCTAAACCGCGACGCGACCGTGTTGCGCCCAGCTCTGGTGCACAGGCGACGCCGTGGGCGCACGGGTCAACGGAAGAACGCTGTCCTCTGCGTCTCTTGTAACCAGCGTCGAACTTGTAATCAATAATGGTCAGCAGATTTTTTTCTTGCTGCATCTGTGCTCTGCCTGTCCGCTTCTCTTCTTGGCACGGAAGACAAAGACGCTCTGTTTGCATTGTGAACAGCTGGACATTGAGCTGAACTTGAACACTTCCAAGGGAGTGTACAGCCTGAAACCATTGCCAAAACCAAATTTCTTCGAAATGAGTTATCAAAATTAGAGAAGCTCAAAATTTCAAAAATTTTTTTAGAAAAATCGTTGAAAATTATTCAATGCGGTCTTTGAAACTCGCTTCACATCGAATTCTTCCAAAAAAAAAATTGAAGCAATATATACAGCTGTTAAAAATATAAAGCTCAAACTTTTTGCATTTTTTGTTGCTCTGCTTCGATCTATAAGTAAGTGAAAGATAATGGGACACCCAGAGACCGGCATAACCCTGAAGTAAAGAGAGCGGATTACGGTAGCAATAAATGGGCCCCGCCCTCCCGACAATTGGATCGGTTGACAACTCCGAAACCTGCAAACAACTTGAATTTTTGACGTCATAAACATTTTTTTAGCTAAAAAATACTTTGGAAAAATTAAAGTACTAATTTTTTGAAAAAAAATTTAACTTTAAAAAAAGAAATTCTTTTTACAGCCAGTCAACGAAAATTATAGACTGAATTTTTTTCAAAAATTTTTTGCTTTGTTCCGTTGAAAAAAAAAGCGTGTCAGAGTTGAACTTGCAAAACCAAAGTGGAAGACAAGAATACACGCGTTGCGCCATTGCACATGGCCGTCCTGTCGTGGGAAACTTGCCCTTTCCAGCAGTGGTTGCGGTTTTTTTAAATTTCTGGTGGATTCTAGGATCATGAATGAATTGAAAAAAATAATACAATAGAAATCGAAAATAAAAAAACTCTTTTTTTCATATAGATCATCATCAAAAATTTCAATACTACTTTTTAAAATCAGAATTCGGGATCCATCGACTGTGTGACCTCCGAGACGCCAATCTTCTCATAAAATCCACCAAATTCTTCAATTATTTAGAATTGAATTACCGGGACTGTCAAAACATGAAAAAGTTTCCCACGCGCCGAAAATCCCTTGAGGCGAGCAGTTGTTCGTAAATTGAGGCGAGATTATCGTTCTTCCCGTTTTCGCAGTGTGTGGTCGGAACTCTACATAACCATTCTTTCTCACTATTAGTGAAAACGGGATTGGAAAACAGAAAAAAATTATTGGCAAAATACTGAGAAAAAAAACTACAAAAAAAGAAAAATTTTGACATTAACTGCGCTTTCAATAAATTTAACGCAGCCTCTGAAATTGAAGTGGTTCAGTGTTTCTGAAGGTGCTTGAGAAGTTTTCTAAAATTTCTATTAAAAATGATACTTTTTGAATAAAAAAAGTTCATTATTTTTTTGAGGATTTGAATGAAATTATTCTGAAAATGATGCAAGTGATATGATATCACGCCGCGTCGTTGACTCATCGATTCCCTCGGCTTTTTAGGACAAACAAACATTTCTAAAAGCTTAAAGAGCATTCAAAATGGATTAAAGCGTTTTTCAAAACGATCCGCATGGTTTTGCTACTGTCAACAATCCAAATACGTCTTTCCATTATTTTTCCCAAGCTAACCTTGTTATCGTTAACGTTTCTGAAAGGTTTTTAATATAATTTAGGGAAACTTTCGATATAAAATAGCTCGTGATTTTCGTTACGAAGCCAAACGTAAGCTCTCTTCAAACGAAGAAATTTTTTTTCGTTTATTCTTTTCATTTCTTTATGTTTTAGAAGGAAATTCTGCAGTTCTTTTACATTTTTCGACAAATTTTTTCGATGTTTTCCAATTTTTTCGTCTTTTTGACAAATATTCGAGAATTTTCAGACGCGATGAGCACCCAAACACCCGAGAGGCCGATGCAAGTCGAACGGACCGTGGATGTGCGGCTGGTCGATGCGATTACCTGGTGGTCGAGCAGCAAACAGGGCGTTCTCTACGCCGCGAACGCCAGAAGACTCGAAATCCTTCTGAAAAAACTGCCAATCGTCTCTTACCATCATGATTTGGCCAACTTAGAATTAGGTCCAGATGAAATCGCTGTCAACAAGGAAGGCTTGACGCCGGAAAATCTCACGAACAAAAAAGAAATGGCCGCAATGATTTTGAGGCCGTATGGGAACTTGGAGAACTTCTTGAAGGCGAAATACAACGTCGCACTGATCTACGTCAACAGCCCGCTCCTGGTCACTGAGCGTAGTCGACCTTTCTCCATCGAGGAGTTCAGCGTCAAACTCAAGGCAGCTCCGATCAACTACTTCTTCCCTGTGGTCACCGAGGAAGTCAAGGCCGAGCCAGAATCGGACTTCGTCATGCTCTGAATCGATTCATCTTCTATGCGAAAATTGTACTTTTCTCTTTTTTTGATCATTTAAATGCTGATAAATATTTATGTTGGAAAATAATTGAAATTTTCAAAAGAAAAAGAAGATATTGAAAAAAGACAAAAGTATATTAAAGAAACCTTAATTGTTTTTTTACAGCTTCCAATGGTTGAAGCCGATGACTTTTGTACACATAAAAAGATAAAAAAATCTGGCTAAATATATGACTTTCCAAAGTTTTTTTCACAATTTTGCCTTTTTGGTCCTTTCCAAGTGTTATTTTGACAAAAAATGTATTTTTTATTTCGAAATATCTCGAGATATTTTTTTGAACCGAAATCCTATCTTGTGCATCCCCGATTGCCACCAAGCAAACTTTCTAACATTTCGAACTTCAATCTAAATTTTCGAAAAGTTTTCGATGAGGATCTGCAAAATGAAACTGGTACTTGTAATTTTTTTTGAAGTTTTATTAGCCAGTCCAGAAAAAAAAAACTCTGGCAAATTGCATTTTTCCCAGAAGGCCACCTGCACCCATTCCACTGCTCCGCAAAAACCACACGTTCTTCATGGTTTTTAAACAACTTCCACATCAGTTCCATTCTCTTCTCGGAAATGAAAAGTTGAGAACGAACATAACTAAGTCAAGTTTTTATTCAGGTAAAAGAAAATGACAAATTAAAGTTCAAGGATACGTTTGTTTATAAATACAAAAAAACAACCATCTTTTTTTCATTAAAAAAGAGAAAAATTTCAATAACTGGAACCACTGAAAGAAGGAGAGGTTGCGAACATGATTCGCTGTTTATTTTTCTTCCTCAAGGCAGTTTTGTTCAACAGATGTTCGGTTTTCCTGCAAACATGTAATTTTCAAAATTACTCACATAAAAAAGCACCAGTACGAGAAGAAAAATGACTTCTTTTTCCTACAAGACACGCAAAAATAATGGGAAAAAATGGAAGATTTGAGCTTCAAGAGTGAGTTTTTTCAATCATTCGGTTCTTTTCGTGTAGCTTTTCGATTAAAATTTTAAAATCTGAAAACTGAAAATGTTTCGAAATCTCTAGTCGAAAACTTATAATTGTTCGATATGGAAGATTTTGAGATTTCCGAGTTTTTGTGCCCCATCCACGTATATTCCAGCTTCTCTTTGCGTATTTATCATTTCTAAAAGTTGTTTTCAGTGGACCATAAGGACGATCTACTTCCTTGACAACATTAAATCAAGATATTTCCAAGAAGAACTCTCTCATTATCGCAGCAAACATCAACTGGCTAATTAAAACGCAACCAATTAAGGTAAAAAAAAAAACGGAAAGTGCATTTGTATGATAAGTCCATCACCAGTTAATGAGGACAAATTTGATAGCTTTAATCAGCGACAAAACGGACTTGAAAGCAACTTTCATAATTAAGAACTTCAAAAAAAGGCGGGAATTTTAAATCGAAGTTTCTTTCAGATTTATACTGATCTGTTAATTATCTATTGTTTTCAAGGCGAATTAATTTTATTGTGAGATTATGAACTTGTATTTTCGTTGCATGAAATACGGTTAAGTACTGCTCTCCAACTTGGAAGAAAAAAAAAATTTCAAAAAGACTCAAGTAAGCGCTTAGAACTTTAGATTTGCTCACTTTTCGACTCCCGGCCAAACTGAGACACTTTTTTTGACAGAGCAAGAAAATCTTGAATGAACTCTGAGCCAGAAAATTTACTTCCGTATGTTATTCATCTCACGAGAGGAGTTCTTTTTGATGGCTGATTGAACTTTTGATAAAAGTTTGTCCTATAGTACTATAGAAACTCCTAATTTTTGAACATGCTTAAAATTCATTAAAATTTTTTTCCCTTTAAATTATGAAGCCGCAAGTTTGCACGCTGTATGAGTGGTGCTAGGCAAGAGGGAATCTGGCCTGCGTACATGTCCTGTGCCCCAGTTGGCAGCGTGGTGTAGTGGCTCGCGCCCTCGCGTCGTGGATACCATCATCAGGGTTTGGATCCTTTTAAAAAAATTAGTTTTTGCCGAAAATTCTTGGAAGGAATTTATTGAAACTATTTACCGGGCCAAGCCAACGCAGGCCATTAAAAACTTTTTTTTCAAACGGGGTCTATTGATCAGCCCATGAAATAGGCATTGGTTGAAAATTTTGTTAAATACGCTCAAGTTGAAAAGTTATGAGATTTCGAACAGAAAATCTCGGTCGGTTTCAACAAGGCCGACAAATTCCATTCAAAGAAATTTTGGCAGAAACGAGCTTTTTTCAAAAAGATCCAAGTCCTGCGATAGTCTCCGCGGTGCGTGCAAACGTTTTCGAAAATCAATTCGCAATTCGTAGTAAAAAACAGTACAGTAGACTATATGCTTTTTCGTGTCGACCCTATGAAAACTCATAAAAACGGCTGACCATCGTTTTAATATGGGCGTGCCTTTATTGAATCAATATTGCCCTCTGTGCATCTGTGTCCGGAGGCGGCAATTCTTTTCCTGACTTTTCCCGTTTCTTCCAATGCGCACCTCATCTTCTGATTTAAACCTCAACTCTACGTTCGAAGTTTTTTTTAGAAATATCGAAAAATCTCTTGGAACCCTTCTGACGTTGAAAAGATAGTCTGAAAGCTTTGGACAAGAAACACCCGATTTTCGAAAACATAGCGCACCGGTTTAATGGGACGTGCGGAAAAAGCTCTTACTGTTCAAAAACATGAAGACTCTTTGAATCGAACCTCAATATCTTTACCTTATAGATAGTTTCAGCCATTTTTCAGATAAAAGATTTTAAAAAAGCAATAATAACATTTTTCTGATGAAGCGAGATTACAAAGTACACTTGAGCGACGCTATAATGAAGCATTTCGGAATAAATATTTCTGACTAATTTTCCTTGGTTTGAGTTGAAAATAACCCTTCGAAAATTGTTGCAACCATATTCAGAGTCTCGGTTAAAAATCTTTTTTTTTATTTCTTTAATTAGTCAAATTACTACTTGATGATTTTTACTTTAAACTTATCAATTTCTTTTGCAGCTCTCAAGATGCCAACTCTGGATATTTCAAAGCTATACGGGATCCGCGTCAGAAACGGTTTTTTAAATTTTCGATTCTTTAATTTCTGATTTTTTTTATTCTTCAGATGACGAAACTTTGGAGCCGACTTCGAAAACAATGCGGTTGATCGACGCAATCGAAATGGCCATTGGACCGAACGCCTTCTTGGACCTGACCAAAGCCGCAGAAATCGCACATTTCGTTCAAAAACTACCGATCCTTCATTTTTTCGACATCATATCGGAACGGAAACTTCCAGAAAAAGAACTCCCACTTTCTGTCAGTTTCCGTCACACTCCTCAGAACGTTCTGGTCAAGAAATGCGATTATTATCCCACTGCTCGAGGAGACAAAACCCTGGCTGAGCATTACAGGTCACACGACCTGCACCGACTTTCTTATCCAACTTCCCTCGTCGTTTTCACAAAAACCATGACCCCAATTCCTATCGAAATTTTGTACATTCATTTCTGCGCCGTCCCTCGGCTCGGCTTTCATGATTTTTGGCCTCCAGTTGTTGCCGCTCCAGTCAATCAGGACGTTGAAAGGCCTGGTCGAGTGGCCGTGGTGCCTCTACCTGTAAGACCTGTACCTGTCAGAGGACCTGTTGTGTTTGAACCTGCTCAAAGTGCTTATGTACCTGGTCGCCATCCCAACTGAAAATCCTGAAAGTTTATACTCTTGTTTTTTTCTTGATTCGACGGTGAATTTTTCTTTTTTTATTAAAAAAAATGTGGGATTTATTTGCGAAAGATATTTTTCTCTCTAACTTTTTTTTGTGATAATGTGTAATTTTTATTGGTTTTAAAATGTTTTCCATTATTAACACATTGTATCTCAAAAACGTTGCTATCTGAAATTTTTCCGTTGGGATATGTGTTAAAAAAATGGGTGAAAAAAACCAAAAAGAAGTAAGCAATGAGAGTTGTGAAGCGTCCCCGCACCCCCCCCGCTTTCATTTTTTTATGAAAAAAATGCAGAATGTTACTTTTTCTTGAAGTCAAATTGGTGTGTATTATTGCATGAATGACTATTGGAGATTCATAAAGTTAGCCGAAACGACTATTGTTGTACCTCATTAGAATTTTAGGCGTTCCAATCTCGAAAAATGTTTTTCACCGAGCAACATTCGGTTTCAAATGTTTTTCTTAGAATAGATATTTTTAGGCTTTTTCAATTTTTCATTTTAAGTTTAAAGATTTTTTTCTCGATTTTTTGCGGTGTTTTCACAGACTTCGGCAATAATTCCATTGCAGCCCGTTGGGAGAATGGAGAGTAGAGTCAGTACTCATCGAGAAATAGGCCACGCCCCTTCACACGGCTATTGGCTGGAAATTTAAATTAGTATTCTCCGAAGTGATTCGGAGTGATTTGAAGTTAGAATGCTCACGAAGAAAGTTTAAAAAAAAAGCAGCTTCATGACTTTATTAAACTTTGAAAAAAGGTACCTGAGATCAACTGTATCTGAAGTGGAACAATTTTTTTTCAATAACATTCTCTTTTGCAATTGACGTCGTTTTTTTTAACTTTGGAGCGCCATACCTCGGCTCAAAAACGAAAGTATATATAAATTTCATTCATAAATTGATTACAGGAGACCTCAAATTACCTTTTCGCAGAGTTTCAACATATTATCAAGCTCTGTTGCTTTCAAACTTCATTGTCAGAAAAAAGTGTAAGAAAGTTAATAATCCCGAAAATTCGGTTTCCCTGATCGACGCCACAATTTAAATCGATGACTGCCAAAAAATTTAGCTGCCGTTCGAGTGTCGTAGCCACGCGCTCCTTTTCTTTTGTCTCACGCTCCGTCTTTTTCGCCAAAATCGGCTTTTGTGTCGTGACCTGAGGAGTATAAACAAAGCCATTCTGTTCAGACGTTGAAACATCCGAACTTCTTTGTCTCAAAGTGAGGAAACACTTCTGTTTAGACGGTTTGTCGGACAAAAAAATAAGCAATCACGTGAGAATCGAGAAAAGTTGCACAATTCAATTATTTTGTATCGACTTGGAAAGCGATGTCAAAATGTATAAAAAACTATTTTTTTAGATCACACGTGAACTTGAATTTGTTTGTGCAGCTCTAATTCAATTTTTTTTTCACAAGCATGGAACGATATGAAATCGTACAATTCTTCTATGCATTTGCATAAATCAAATTTTCGTGAGAAGATTCTGAGAACACGCTGCGAAACAGATAAATTGAATGAAATGGAACTCTCGGATATTCCAGTACACGTTGAAAGATTTTTTTGTTCCTTTTTTTAAGTAACGATTTTTATAAACTGTTTTCATCTGATAAGGTATAGGTGAAATGTGAGAATTAATTTCTTCTTCAAAAAATTTTTTTTATTTTTCCCAGATCACAAGAATGCTTTCGGTTGTGACAAAGAATCTGATTTAATGTTTCCAAATAAAAATTATAGGCTTCCAAAATTTGCGCTTTGCTCAAAGTGAGTTTGATAAAAAAAAAATTCTCTACCGTCGATTTCAACGGGTGCGAGACTGTTAAACCTGTTTCAAGCGACCTTTTGATGATGGTATTTTTGCTCGAGAGAAAATACATTAGTTTCCATTTCCATTTCGTCTATCTGCGGCCTCTTTTTTTTGTCAACGCTGACATGAAAAAAAATAGCTCAAAAAAAGAGGAAGCAAAAAAAAGGAAAAAGGAAGAGAAGTAAGACTGCTCTCAAAATGAATGCAAAATAGCCTGCTCTTGGCTGGCTTGAGGCACGAAAGCACGTGAAACTGTCCGCGTCTTCCAACAACCAGGGAATATTTCCTTTTTATTCTGTCAAGTCCCTTTATCTGATAATTCAAATAAAAAATGACAAAATAGAGGCTCAAGATCATACTGAAAAATGAAATATTCCGAGGGTCCTTATCATGGCCGACTCAAACTCCTTTCCCGGACTTTTGGTACTTTTTCTTTTATTTCTGAAGATCTGAGAATCTTCATTGTGGCCGAATTTGAGCTTTTTTCTTTTTTTCTCCTTTTTTTCGCTTCAAATCACTCACCAATATGAGTCAGTCGTGAATCACTCACGATAAAAATCTCAACTAAAAGCTTTTCCATAGGTCATGAGACTGTTGTTTTGGAACCTTTATGATTTGTTCTTTTGGCCCCAAATTGTTCAAAAAATTTAGAGCTAGCTTTTAGTTACTCATGAATTAAGTATGAGCTCAAAGCTTCTGTGCCCACTCGATATCGAAACTTCTAGAGTTTTCATAAGGGCCGATTTTTTGCTCTTTATGATACTGTTATATTTATTTTCCTTCTCCTCTTTGCTCTAAATCAGTCAAAAACTAAGGCGAATCACTCATGCCAATCACTCTGAATCACTAATGATTTCAAGAAGCCCAAAGTTCCTGAGCCCACTTCATATAGAAGCTTCTAGAGCATATACTATAATCGATTTTCCTCAGAGGCTTTCAGAGCACCTCCTCCTTGTTTTTTGCGCCAAATCACTCGATAATTCGACACCTCCTCAGGCCTCGCCTTTGGGCAGCGGACCACTGTCTTGGCATCGAAAGACCATTACGCGCCAGAGAGCGCAGGCGTGATACAGTTGCACGCATGGGCGTCGATGAATTTATAAGTTTAGCGGATTGTTTTGGTCGACACATCCGTTCGACGGTCAGGCGCCGAGTGGTCTGTCGCCAAAGCGCTTTCTCATTTTTCTTTCTTTTTTCACAGTTTTTTTTTCATCTTTCTTAGATTTTTTGTGTTAAAAATTTCCTTGAACATTCCTTTTAACGTATAGGAATTTCATTAGTAAAAAAATAGTGATTAAGTTTTATTAATAAACAAAAAGCCGATTTTAGGTAACGGCATAAAAGAACTATTTATTTTTTGGGTATTTTATAACAATAATTTACTTTATAATTTGCGATTTAATAATAGTTCCATTCATTTTTTTTTTCGGAGTTCAACGCGTTGGGATCAACTATAATCAGTTTACTGTTGACTATTGCATCGATCGAGGCTTTTAATTTAAAAAAAAACCGTGGCTTTAGCGAAATAAAGTTTTTGTTCGCAGGATGTTTTTTCTCGCTTACCTTTGATGTTTAGAATCGATAAGAATCTTTCAAGTCTGTTTGGAGATTTCAATTTAAAGGAAACAAAAGAAAAGATCGAAAAAACATTTCGCGGAAAGGTTTCAGGCTAAAAATAACTTTCCTGTTTCTTGCTCAGGATCATTGATTCGCTGCTGACTTTTATTTGCGAAAATCATTCATTTATTTTCAGAAAAGCTCAAAACGATGGCTCCTCAGTTGAGGAACCTCAACGAAGAGCTGCCGGAGTTTCTCCGACTGCACAAAAAGAAAAACATTGCATTCATCACTGTCAGTTTTATTCAAACTTCTAGCCACATTTTTTTTTCTATTCAAACTTTTTCATATTCTATTTTAGACTGGCGGGGCTCAAGTTCCTTTGGATAGAAACATGGTCAACTATATGGAGACCCGCTGCAGAGGCGCGGATGGCGCCGCTTTCGCTGAGTTTGTTTCTGTCATTTCAAAAAGCTTTGAAGGATGTTTTCCCAGGTACTTTCTCAAGAAGGACTACGCCGTGATCTTCTTGCACCGTGAAGATTCGCCGCTGCCATTCTCGCCCCGACGCGGCAGCCTCTACGAAACTTTCGAGCTTCCCAACAAGATTGTTAGTTGACAAAAACGTTCTCCCTTTGATCGATCACGTCTTCTTTTTTCACACGTTTTTGTACCGCTTAAGCAGCGTCGATCAGCCGAGTTTTGGCGGAAGATTTTGAAGCCGTTGTTTCCCATTACCATTTTTCAAAATTATTTTTGGTCACGGCAAAGATTGAACTTGCGGCCCTTCAAACCTATGCCAGGCACAAAACTTGTTGCGCCTAGTTTTGAAAACTCGACGCCGCTTTGTTTTGAAAATGAGCTTTTTTCAGGTCATCAAGCGCTGCGTCGCCCTTAAAGAAGCGGAGAAAAGCGATGAGGATTACTCTAGTTTGCTCTTCAACGTCTCCTACAGATCGTTCAAAGACTACTTCGAGACGCTCGGCAAGGTTCGTTCTAAAAAAATAAAAAAACAAAAAAATTTTTTTCTCTAGCGCTTCAAAAGAGCTTTTTCGAAAATGCGAGAGATTTGATTCTTTTTTTCAAAAAAATGCACTGCAAAAATTATTTTTATAACATATCGCTTTTTCCGATAATTCTCAAAAAGATAGCCATGTTACTGCATAATGTACCAGACCCAAGGGCAATCAGCTTTCACAATTTCAGAAAAAAATATCAAGAGTTATAATTAGCCATTTCGAGGCTTAAAGATTTTTTTGTTTCCCCAACCAAAAGATGTGCAAATTCAAACTATCGAATAGGAATTATCGTTAGATATTTTTGAGCAATTCTTAGAAAGTTTTTCCAGTTTATAATAATGGCTTTTTAAATAGTAAAAAAACTTAACATTATTTGAGCATTTTTTTCGACAATTTTTTTCTTTTTTTACTCTATAGCTTTCAGCAAAAAAAGCTTTCGTTTTTTTATTTACTTAGCTTGCTCTGAATAAAATTCCTTATATGGCTTTTGAGTGGCTTACTGATCAGCAAGCGGATGTAGAAAATCTATCCGTTCTTGAGAAAAAAACAACGTAAATTTTTGAATAGGACTTTTTCAACAAAAAAAATGAACAGTTATTTTTTTCAGATGGGTTTGCTCCTGGACGCTCAAAATCGTCGTGTTCTGACTCTCTTCGCGGCGGCTTCGGAAGATGATCATCTTCCTGAAAAAGCAAAGCCTCTGTTCAAGGTCCTCGAGGACAACGAGCTCAATCCTGAAGTTCGCGTTGCTCCGGACGCAATCAATTACTTCATCGGCCTTGCTCCACACGCCATGTTTGTCGCGTATCAGGTACTTTCATTTCATCATCGATCCAAGAACTGTCTTTTTGTAAACAATCTTCAAATTTAACAAAAATTCACTTTCAGGTGTACGCCTCGAAGGAACAAGAAAAAGAGTGCGTCTCGACTTTGTTGGATTCCGAGGAATACATTGATTGTGTGAGTTATATTCTTTGTTTAGACATAAGCTTATAAGAACGATGAAAGAACAAGAAGCATGAATAATAAGTATATTATGAACTGGGCGAGTCTCGAAGAAGCTGCTCAAATTTTTTAGAAAATGACAGTTTTTCTTTGAACTTTCATAATTAAAAATGAGACATCCTTTATTTCTTAAATTTACTTGAAGAATATAGTCGTTGAAATTAGAATTTCAATTGTTGAACTTTTCTTGACTTTAAAAGGTGTTTGAACATTGCTGAAGCGTACTTCACAACATCCCGATTTCAAAACTAGAAAAAAACTCTTCCAGTATACCTGGTTTTTAAGTCAAAAGGCTTCAAAAACTGGAAAAAAGCTCTTCTCTGTCATAATTTTCGCATTAAACGTTCACTAGTTAGTAGATCCATTTTTCTTTTCAGCCATTGAAACGTTCTATTGCAGATTGTCTCGTGCAACGTCGAAAAGAAGGATAAGAAAGCGAATTTGTGGCTTCATGGGAGGTATCTTAACAGACGCGTCAACAAAGAGCATGAGGAAATCGAAGAATCCATTGTCTATCAACTCACAATCATCCACGACGACTACATCAATTACGGAACTTACATTATCAAATAATTTGAACACTTGTACAGTCACCATGTTAATTTAACTCACGAATGTTGCTTTAATTTTTTTCTTTTCGAGTTCTTTCATTATAATAACCATTCACTTCGTTTCTTTCTTTGTTGAAAGTATTCCTATTTGTTTTGTATTCGATAAATCGATTCTTCAACCTCTCACTTAATTACAAAAAATATTTGATGCTTTTGAGAACTTTTTGGTGGAAGTATTAAATTTATGCAACAGTTTTTAACAATACTTCAAAGTTCACAAAAATAGGAAAGATTTCAGGCAAGCCAGGTCAAAACAGCATTTGCTCTGATGTTGTCCTTCTTTCTCTTTCAGAAAATCCAGTCACCATCTATCGAAAATTTCTGAAGGCAACTGTTGGAGGTCTTGGCTTTCGCCATACAGTGATTAGCTATCACGAATGACTCGGCCACAGCGGCTGTCCCCCTTCTGAACTCCTCCTATGAATCCGCTGCTTGTGTTGGATTTCGATGCCCTGCGCTGCGCGATAGAGCGCTATAATTTTTTGCACACTTAAAGAGAGACACTGGTAATAGCCAATAACTCAGTTTCCAGAGGCTGAGGCCACTTCAAAGTCTTCAAAATTTGGCCGATGCTAAACGCCCAAACTGAGAGACTTTTGGAAAAAAGTAGAGGTAATAGGACACATTTGTTAATTCTGTCTTTTCAAATAGAGACGACTTCTGTTGATCAAATTTTGATCATCAAGAAGCAGTCGTTGCAAAAAAAAGATGTAGCAAATCACGATTTGAAATCAAACTTCCATCTCAAGTAAAAAGTTAGTCATCTGCCGTTACTGGTCGCTGGACGACAAAGAGTGGTAAAAGCTTTTAAAGGTTAGTGAAAGCAAATGCCAAGAATGGTTGCAAAGCTACGGCTGACTCATTATGGAGCTGCCACCGTAAAGTGCTGACATTTGTCACCTCTTTTCCTATCTGCAGCTTCAACTGGATGAGAAGAAAATTCGAACAAGATCGGTGTTGACCTCATACTGTTCCTTGCGGTCAGAGTCCTTCTGTGAGGACGGGATCGAGTTTCTGCGTGAACGATGGCAGAAAGAAAGAACAAAAAATAAAAAAAGCACCAAAAATTAATCTAGTAGAAAAAGCAAGCTTCGTTTTCCTTGATTCCAAACAATTATTTCAAAAAAGGAAGTGTCAAGCCGAAAACTTCATCTCAAGAAATCTTCCATATACACTTTATTGAGATTAAGAGAAACTTGAAATGAACTGAAAGACAAACAAAGTTATGGCAGTAATAAGCTAGAAAATGTAAAAAGCATAGATAAAAGGAGAACATTGAAATTGTAGAAGAAATTATGAATTATACAGGAAGACTGTGTGTGTAGTGAGCGTGCTGATGTTCTTCCTCGCGATATCTTTCCTCGTCGCTCATCGATTCGAACTCCCGAGTTTCTTGAACAAATCTGCAATGATAACTTGTTTTGATGTTTTGAATAATTTAATGTTTACCTAGTCGAATGAGTGCGTTTGACTTCTTTTTCCACTATTTCTTGCTCGTCATCGCTCAGGCAGTAGGTTTTTTCTCTTAAATAGTAGGAAAATAGAAGAAAATACAATTTTTGAAATTTTTGTGTTGGTTCGCGTTAAACAAGTTTAAGTGGTTTATATTGCTTTCTTGATTTTTGCAAGTCGTGACACAAGGTTACGAGCTAAATTCGCTATATTATTTGACCTTTTCTAAACTAGTCATGAGAAATGTTTTAAATTTTCCCTTGCTACATTTAAACGAGGGACTTGAATTCAATTTTTTTTTAAATTTTTTGATCAGGTTCGCCTTTGAAATGTTTGAAAATGAACCTTGTCTCGATTTCATCGAACCCGTCGAGCGGCTCAACTCGTCCCATGTCCCTTTCATAGGCAAAGTTCCGATAACTGGATCTATCGGACCAATAAGCGCGGTCGTCGTTGTCCAGGTAACCATGGACATGTCCTCTTTCGAATCGGTCGTTGTTGGCATAATGAGTTTCTTTTCTGTAATGAACCATTTAGGAGAAGACTTTGAACTCTCACGGTATCGTGCGGGAATACTTCTCATGGATTCTTCCTTCCTGAACCGAGTATCCACCGCCTCCACCAGAAATCGTGCAGTCTTCATGTCGGCGACTGAGAACACGAAATAAAAACACATTTATTTCAGAATCAGAGAACCTGGATTCATTTTCGCGGGTTCTGGAGCGATAATGGCTAGAACGACCATTCTTTTCACACTCTTCTTGTCGCCCTCCTACTACGATCTGGAAAAAAAGCTTCAGGATGATTTCCCATAGAACTACCAGAAGTGGTTTTTAGGATAGAAAAAAAGAAAAAAATATTTTTTTCTACACATATAAAAAGCAATATATAAAGAAGTTAATTTTAATTTGCGGTTGAAAAGTTCTTGAAGTTTAGCCAAAACCATCCTTGATAAACCAGATAAAAACCTTGCGAGTTTCTACTTTCTAGTTATTGATGAAGGTTCACACAACGTCTAATAAAAACCCTTAAAACCCTTAAAAAAAAGGACCAATTTCGGGTCTCCATGCCATGAAAAGTAGGAATATGTGTAGATTGAGATTTTCAGAATATTCTTCTGGTACATCAAGAAGCGTTATGGGCGAATTTCAAGGCTCTCCTGACCGCTAAGTTAATTGACCTCACCTGTTAGCTTCTCTTGATGAAACAATTCGATGAAAATTATCAGATTTTTGGGGTTTCCTTTCAAATCAAATAACCCTTAACCATCAAATACAGCTATGGGCTCTGACACCATTAGTTGAAACTTTAAGCTTGGAGAAAACTTCAGAATTAGGATTACCTGTGAAAAAAATTTAAAAAGCTGGACTAATTTGGGATTTACACACAGCGAATTCCAATTCCAATTTTAATTTTTTTTTTCAATTTTTTATTTTCGAGATCTCTTTTTCATAGTCTAAACCCTACCATTGATTGGGTTATTAGTTACAACAAACAAACGAACGGCAGGTTGGCACTTGTGGAGATCATCCTCGGTCCCCGTTGCCACACATTGTACGGAAACCTTCTCGGTGCCCACGCATTGGCTATCTTTCCCCACTTCCTTCTCCACACTAAAACAGAACTCTTCTTTTTTTGTTTCCCAAGTTCAGAAACAAAGAGAAAAAGTACGAGAGCTTCAGACGGGCCACTTCATGACTCACATTCGCAGTTTGTTTGGATAGCATTTGTAGTTTTTTGCGCACAAATTGGGAAAAAAAGCACCGAGGAGGTGTCTATATGAATGTTTTGCAAACCAAGTCGTAGTTGTGGTGGTTTTGCGGCGTCTGAACCATGCGGCGAGGCAAAGTGCCAAGAGACAGCAAAGGAGAAGGAGGAGAAGGAGTAGGAGCAGCAGCCAGAGCCACCAAGGCCACGCACTTCTTCCTGGAAATTGATAAAAAGGTTCAGAAAAGGTAAGAAGGTTTTTCAAAAGCTCGACGAAAAGAATATTTTTGACACTAAGTTCAAAGGTTTTTTCATTTGAAAATTCTCTTTGAAACCGCAAAGTCAGTGTAAATTCTTATTAAGTAGGGTTTGATTTGTCTTTCGATATTTTGTTTTTTTCTTTTTGATAATAGGTATTTTTATTTGAAGTTTCTGAAAATTGCATATGAAAAAAACTTGTAAAAGTGGAACAACATAAAAATCTTCTCGATTTTTTTTTACTAAGAAGTGGTTTGTTTTCTGGGAAAATCCTGACCTTCTAAGAGTCAAACGAAAATTTCGAGAGCAACGCTTTATTATTGCTCACCATAACCAGCAACAGCCCCGGGGGCACTTCCAATGACGCCTACAGGGGTTGCAGGGTAATTCAGAATAAGAGGAGGTCCAGGAGAAACGTAACTTCCCAGAGCCATCGCCATTACTGGTTGTCTTTGGCAAGATCTCTGCGGAATTCAAAGTTTAATATACTTTTCTCAATAGACGGACCTCAGTACACCCAGAGCAGCTGTATTTTTTCACTTGACAGTGAAATTGGATTTGCTGAAAGTAATCATTATATTTTTGCTTTGAGAGTTAAGTAACCGTGGATTTGGCCACAAACCAAACGAGAGTTCTTTTGATGGCCCCCGGTTTGTTGTACAATTCTGTCTCGATTGATTTCGTCACGCACTGTCCACACTGGACGCACCTGAATTCCACCGAATTTTATAACTTCAACTCCTGATTCTCGAGGTTAAAAATAGAGCAAACATTGCAAAACTCTCTCCCGAAATACCACATGCGGACAAATGACCAATACAAACATGGGAAGAAACGCGGCTGGCGTCAGGAATTACTTTAGCAAAAGCCATTTTATTGTATTTACATTTATAGAAAAAATTGCTTGCGAAACCGTCGTCAGAAAGGAGGAAACGAACGAAAGTGAGGCAAAGAAGAAGACGAAGAAAAATTTGGACGGTTTCGCCTTTTGTAAAAGGAGAAATTGAAAAAAGTCATTTTTCGCATTGTAAGTCATTTCTTTGTTCGTCATTTTTCTGATATATGCTCTATAAAAAAAGTCTTTTTTTCTTACTGTTCTGACGTTTTTCGGACAATAATAATTCGAAACCAAATCAAGAATTTCTTCCCAAACTAACCCATAAGCTGAAATAAATTCCTGTCCATCCATATCACAATGGTCGATCATGTAGTCGAAATTGACTGTGTCTTCCAGGTAGATCTCAAAAGTGTACGGTTGTCCGATGGCGTAGCTACCGAGTGGAGGGAAAGAAGGCTGTAGAAGACCATCGGAAATGTCCAAGTGTCCTGGAAATCCCTAGTGAAATTTTAAGTGAAACAAGAGTCGATCAAAGGAAAAAATGAGAGTTTTTGAGCGGTTTCTAGGGAACTGATCAACTTCTGCTTTTAACATTGAAGATTCGCAATTTCCAGCTCAACGATGGTACTAAAAAAATGCAGGTTGGTGAAGTTTTACAGGCAAAAAATGATGAGAAGTCTCCCATAACCTTCCCTTCTTTTCTATTAAAAATTATTCTGAAAAGGCTCCAAGTGTTAGTACCAACCTTCAAAATGGTTACACTACCATTTCACAATTGAAGCCCCTGAGAATTTTGCAATTCAGGTGTGATCGCTTCCAAAAATAAAAAAAGCAGAAAAGGCTAAAATTCAGAAATCGCAAGGATATCAGTTTGAACGTCGTCAGTATTTTAAACTCCAAATTTTCTTTCGTAGAGATGTCTCGACTTAATTTTCAGTTTTTTACGCCGTTGGTTTTGGGCGTTTATGTGTGCCAATCGCAAGCAAATCTTCTCCGATGAAAAGAGGTCTTAGTTATCAAATGCCTAATAAAGTAGAAATCAAGTCGCAAAAAACTTTAGTTCAAGATCACTCTATATGAAATTCGAAGTTTTGTAGAGCTCCTAAATTCTATCACTATTTCGAAAGCTTTTTTGCCAAGTAACGTACAATCTGCGAGTCTTGAAGCTCAGTTATAGTCGCATCAACTCGAGATTAACTATCCAAAGAAAAAAGTTTGAAAATGTTTTAAGCTCCATTCTAGATATAAACTAGTTTATAAACTTCAAAAATCTCCCCTTCTTCAATGATCGTTTAGAAAACCTGGATGGACTCGGATCTGCGGGTCGATGGCGGAAACAAAGACGAGAGCCGAGCAAAAGAAGAAGCCGACCCGAGGATCCAGCATCAGACTCACGCTTGTACAATATGGCAAGGCGCGGACGTTTGTACACGCTACTATTGTATTGGCGGCCTCAACTATAACGCCTGCGGGCCTCGGAGAACTGACTCATTCGCCTTGGACGCCGACATTCCGAAATTCGGGAGAAGCTCACGACACCCTTTTCCCATTAACAGCCTTCTCTGACTCAGATTGATTCAGGGATTTTTTGCAGTAGCAATACTTGATTTGCATGGAATCTGCCAAAATGCTGGAAAAGTCGTAGACAGTAAACTTTTCAACTTTTTAAAACACGAAAAGAGGTATTCCAAAAAGAATGTGAAGAGTTTTTTTTTTATGGGAAGAGGTGGGCTTGGCATTTTTTGCTGCAGTGATTGTACAAAAATCTAAATCTTAGAAATTCAGGAATTTTGGGTGAAAACTATTGTAGAAGTTATAGGTTCAAATTAATGTCAAAAGCGTCATCTTTTGTATTGGCGTGGCACCATGAAAATTAGGCATAATTGCTAAATAAACTCGAAAAAAGTGTAAAAGCTGAAAATTAAATTTTTATTCAAGATGCGTACCATCGATTTGTTAAAACGCCCATTTCATTCTGCGGATCTTTTGGAAAATATCAAATTTCGTTTTTAAAAAGAGAAGAAAACGCATGGTTCCGCTTTATTTTCAGTTCTTCTCGAACGGAAGAATAAAAAGGATATTGAATAATTATTAAAACTCTTTCAGCCTGTCCAGGCAGGGTTTATTCGCAAGAAAGGTAGTTTTTCGAATTTTCCCGAGATCAGAATTTAATTCATTTCACACGATTTCTTTCAATTGAAACTTTATTATCGATTAGAAGTTGTCATGACATAATGTTCACAACAGAATACATAGAAAAAATTCGAGAAATAAAACTTATCAGTTGGAAAAATTACAAAGTTTTCAGAGTAACAACCGTTTCCGTTGAGCTACGGGGAGTCAAAACTGTCTTTCTTATGTATATTCGAACAGAAAAAAAGTAAAACTGATCAGCAGGGGAATAAAAATGAAATTGATTACATTGCACGCGATATGAACAACAAAGTTATGGAAAACTAATGGCACGAAAAAAAAAATGAACTTCGGAGTTTGAATCAAGGATTTGTAAGATAATCAGATTGCGCTAAAATCCGTATGAAATTAAAAGCAAAACAATGTCAAGGACAACAAAACTAATGTGAAATAAAATGAAGAGGAATGTGAAGAAAATGGTCATTTGGAACAGGTTACTGCATCATGAGAGCTTCAAGATTCTTTTCCAAGATACTTTCTCGGACATCTTTGAAAACCCTCCGGATGTTGTCAGTGTTAACGGCGGTGGTGAAATGATAGAAGAAGGGACGGGCTCGATCTTTCCGAGAAGCTTCGAATTTGTCCACCAGGAAAAACTGCACGTCTCGGACCTGGAAAATGTCAATTTTCACTGAAATCGATCAAATTGATGGTTTGAGAAGTTGGATATTTTTTTTAATCTTTCATGGAATCAATAATAGAACTACAAAAATTTATGGGAAGTCCTTTAAAATGAGCTTTAGAAAAATTGTTGAAACGGAATATCACCTTATTATTTCTGTTTGGACCGTAAATTCGTAATTCATAATATAAATTGCCGGTGTTTTTTTCGACTTTTTCTTGTTTTTTTGAAATTGTTCATTGATTTTTTTCAAAGACGGTCACTCTAAAAAAATTGTGCTTCCGAAAAAAAAAAAAAAAATCATTCTTCATTGAATTATAAAAAAATAATCCCTTTTTCATTGAAAATTTTTTTGAATAATTGAGATGATATCTCTTTAGAAATCATAAAAATTGGATGCTGCTGAAGTGAGTAAACACCAAACATCAAGCAAATACAAATGAACGTGAGGCTAAAAATAAGAGCTCACCGATAAGTGGTCGCCCGTGAAGTCGTCGAGGTATTGCCGAATGTCGGATTTGGGAACTTTTTCTGCAAACACGCGGTTTTGTTTGGATTTTCATTATCAATACCTTCTAACAAGTCGCATTTGTTCATGAACAAAATGATTGAAACGCTGGAAAATGCGCGGTTGTTGACGATCGTTTCGAAAACAGCCCTCGATTCGACTATTCTATTCGTCCTTCGGTCCTCCAAAATGACCTTTAAAACCAAGAAAAAAAAATTATTGGGTTTGAAATTGTCCAGACCTGGTCGTATTCGTTGCTGGCAACCATGAATAAGATGCTGGTGATGTCCGCAAAGCACTGGAACCACTTCTGCCTCTGCGACCTCTGGCCTCCCACATCGATGAATCTGCAACAGTGAGATGATTTAAAACTTTCCAAATCGGAAAATACCTGAATGGAATTTTGTTGATCTCGAAAATGTGCTCTGAAATGCCTCTGGTAGCTTTACGGCAGAATAAAATATCCCGATTCGTTGGATGGAAGTCAGGCATGGCTATCCGGCCCAAGTTATCAAAGAAGAATTGACAAGAATCGCTCTGAAAATGAATTATTCAATCGCGAAAGGTTTTTGAGTAAGCTCACTATTTGAAAAAGATTCCTCTGCTCATAGGTTTTTCTGATTGAAGCGTCCTCCCAGAAATCTCTGATTATTGGCGTAACTTCCACGAAAGTTGTGAAATCGATTCCTTTCATGAAATCAGTTCCCGTGAATCTAAAATTCCATTATTTTTTTCTAACTTCTTTGTTTAAATTTCGCTACCTCAAGATTTTATTAACGTTGTGGGCTTTTTCCGGATTTTCCCACTTGATGTTCAATTTTTGCCTTGCATCCAGTAAAACTCGCATTGCGGATATAACGTTCTGCAAACACAAAAAAAAAATGAAAAAAGCGAGAAAATTCATTAAGAACTTGATAAATTTGTTGTCGGTAGGCTCTGACTTCATCTGCTGTGAACTCCCCAGCGCCGTGGATGATTTGCATTTGCTTGACAAAAGTGGATTTTCCAGATTCTCCAGAGCCAAGAAGTAATAGTTTAATCTGAAAATTATTAGAATCCATCAGATGCAAATAACGATCCCAAACAAGAAATTGAAAAAAGTTGAGACTTCATTCAAAAATTTTTAACTTTCCGAGCTATCGTGAAATTTTGTGAAGCTCGGTTTCATACACTAATTTGTGGAAAGAGCCCGCCATCCTATCCAAAATGAGTTCAGATTTCTCAGGGCAACCAGTTGGATTTCGAGAAAATAAACCCAAGCCCAACTTTCTTTCGAATTAAAAAAAATTTCACCCATTATTCAAATTTGAATCTTAAAAGTCATCTCTATCTCCATATTCCTTTTTCTCAAAATGTGATTTTCTGTATGATTTCGGTCCCAATTTTGACAATTCATTTTTTCTCAACTTTACCTGCCTCCGAAGAATTTTCCGCTCTTTGTGAAGCTCCTTCTCAATCGCTTTGGTTCGCTCATCGCTTTCTGCACAGCAGCAAGCGAACATTGCAAATATCCTGAAAACTCAAAATGATCATGGAAAAACGCAATAAGCCTTTCACTTTTGTGTTCTCAAACCAGAATTGTCAAGGAGAGTGGGTACAATGATGAGTCAACTCAAACAATAAAATAATATTTGCACACTCAACAAAAGAAGTTAAGAAACAAAAAGCAGTATAATGAGATGTTTCAGTGGGGTGGCCTTTTATATGGAGACTCCGGAAGTTCTCAAGATTTTTCGAACTTCATTGGAAAGTTCCAGGGAGTTTTTTTTTGAACGCAGACCTCCGGGAAAAGGAAGTTCCCATGAACTATCGGGCTCAAAACAAAAAATATGAGAATTCGCACTGAATGGAACTAAAAAACGATGAATAAGTCTTAGTTCATTGTAATTTACAAGAAAAAAAAAGAATGAGAATCTCTCATGGACTTTTGAATTTGATAGAAAAACTATGTGAAGCTGGTAGAATTAGTAGTCATCTGTCGAGGGCATACATTTTGATTTGAACATTTCGATAATCTGTTATCTGATCAGAAACTTAGTTAGTGAGAAAAACTCTAAAGACTGCAAGCCCTGGAAAAGCTTGAGAAACGACTGAGAGCTCAAAAGACCGAGCGAATCGTGCAAAATTGTGAGTACAATGTTCATGGGACGTCACAAAGGAGGGTTACAAATAAACTTGTATTCGATGTACTTTGTAGGGCATAAACACTTCAGGAAAATCGTAGGATATTAAGATTTTTGGAAAATTTCTATTCTTGGATGTCCTGCCGTGGAAGATTGTGACGATCCTCAAAAAGTTAGGGAAAAAAATAGCCTTGGAATCTAGTAAAAAGCCGCTTTTGAAAAAATTAATCAATTAGTTTTTGGTTTTTTTGGGTAAAATGCGCCCGTGGTGATGAGAAAAAAAGGTCACTTTTTTTCACAAATGATGAAAAAAACAAGCTGTTTTTTTGCAGAAGTTATGAACAGAGTACAAGTAAACAAACTGCTATCGTTAAAAAAGATGATATGAAACGTACAATCGTCATTTTTTGCGACAAATGGAAAAATTACTTATGAAAACGTTTTCTATGTCATGAAAATTGCAAATAGAAGCATCAAATACTAAATGAGAAATCCAACGATACCGTTTTTGATAGAAAATATACATTTCCGTAGAAAAATCAAGTTTATTCCAAAATAACAGGAGGTTATGAGACTACACGAAGTTCTTTTCTAGAGCTTGTTGTGCAAATTCACTTTCTTTTTTCAAGAAAAAATTTTATTCAAGAATAATTTTTTGTTTTTATAGATTCAAAAAACCGTCTCCGTTGAGATCAGTTCGATCCGCAGAAATTTACAGTTTTCCAAGGTCTCCAGAAATCTTTCGATCCCGGTAAAAAAAAATACAAAATGAAACCAGAAATGAAAATGAACTTGATCTCAAGTTTTCCACCAAAAAAAACCCGGAAACAAAACAGTCGGCCATTCCTAAGCAAATGCGCGATGCCAAAGACGACAGGAAAACAGTGACTTTCAGGTTTTTGTCGATTCGCTTTGTTGCCCCCGGTCAAAATGCCCATGACTCATCCCACACCTTTGTTCTGCGTTCAAATGAATCTCGTCGGAAAATTGTGTTCTGCTAATTTCAATCTATTTTTTTATTCAGTTTTTTGAGAGCAACACAAACAGTTTGTCCAGGTCGAGAGAAAGATTAGTCAAAAAGTGGGTTGAGCAGAAGAAAAAAAAACGGAAAATGAGCTGAGCTTCGGTTTTGAAACTGCTCCAGATGATCTTTTTATTGAGTAAAGAACATAGAAAAAAACTTCGAAGAAATTCCAAAAAAACGGAGAAAAAAACTGCAAAATTTTTTTCCAATCTTGATTATTTTTCGATTCAAAATTATTTTACAATGGAACATTTTCCAAAGTGGAAAACCAAAAGTAGATTCTCATGTTTTTTGTTAAAATTTTTTAACGTCAATAGTCCTTTTCAAAACAGTCAAAATGTTTCCATTCCCCGATCATTTGAAAAAAATCTTAGTCTCTCCGTTTTCGGCTGATGCAAAGTTCGACTTTTGCAACTTAAGATTGAATAAAAAGTCGACAAATAACATCGACACAGGTGGAAAAGACAAATTTGAAGTCAACCAAACCGGTTTCGAGAGAAGTAATTGCTCTCCGTAAGATGAGCAATGAATAGAAAAACTTATGATTTTTTTTTTGCAAAGAACGATATCGAAAAAAAGGAGGCTAGACTTTGTACGTTGTAGTGAAACAGGTTAGACAGTGAAGAGTTTGAAAATATCTACTATTGAGAAAAGTCAACCGACAAGGTCAATTCAGTGAAGCGAAAAAAATATTGAAAAAATGAATATAAAAGTTTCTTTTTTTTTCAAACAAATCAATAGTTTTAAATGAGCTCTGAAAGATTAACGACAAGTTGGGACTCGAGAAGTGGTTGGCATTCTAAAATGTTTTTAAAACTCGAAGAACTCTGTTTCTTCCATTCGTTGATTTTCATTCGGAATCCTCTCACGCCCTACGGACCTCGAATCAAATTGCAGCGTTTGCACCTCACAAAAAGATAATCCACGCTTCAAACGATTAACCGAACAAGCGAACAAAAAAAAGAGATTTGTTCAAAAAGATGAGTATTGGCTGATTCCGCGACAACGAGCAAATCGATAAGTTTCGCGGGTTGTCGACGGCTGTTGTGTGAGCGTCGCGCACTGTCTCGCACGATCTCGGCCTCGCCGGCGAGAAACATTTCCGATTTGTTCCAAGAGAAACGGCCGTTTCTGGCGGCGAACAGAGAAAAGGAAGAAACCTTGAATCGGTTCAGGTCACTTGGGCATGAGGTGTTCTGACGTTTTGGTCTGGCATCGGAGTCTTTCCAATGAGTCTTTCTTCTCCGAAAATTTTCAAAAGGCAAAAAGCATCATAATAGCATTTTTCTAAAAGCTGGATAGTGAGTTTCCATTGAAATAGTGACAAGTGAGGTCATTCTTCTTTGCGGTAAAGAATTTCCTGAAACTAGGCCAGAACCCTTATTGCTTAACTGGAAAAAGTTTCTTAAAGTCCATCCTACCCAACTTCCTATTTTTCGGGAAGAAGGACACAGACTTAAAAATAGGCTATTTGAAAGAATCTTGAGATTTTCTTGAACTTTAAAGTGTCATTTTTCGAAAATCAGAAAGTTGAGCTTGTGAGACTTTCACGCTTTTCATCTGGTAGACCAAGAAGTGTTTTGGCCTATTTCCAGGAAACTACCAAAGTGAATGGGATTCCTATTTAAGTGAATTGAAACCCAGACAATTCGAGCGATGAAAGAGTTAGCTACTTCTTAAAACTCTCGCCTATCAGGACGCAAGAACAGTCTCACAGAGATCATTCGACATGATTCGTTGCGTCTCCAAAAACTAAAAGTTTTCTTGACCAATTCTCTTCGCATCAGTGAACAGTGAAAGTCGTATTGAAGAACCATCCAAAATGTACAGTTTGAAAATGAAAAAGGATAGATAATTGATTTTTATCGAAAAAGGTCACCAACTTTTCTGGATTTTATTTAGTGAAGAAAGGCTGGCCATATTGAAAAATAATTTTTTTTTTTCAGAGAATGTGGTATCAATGAAAGGAAAAACAAGCCACCTGCGTAAAAAAAAAATCTGATTGAATATTCTCAATAATCTAGGTTACGAATTGTGACAGAACGTTTTTATCGCGACGCGCCGTAACGCAAAAACTCGTGTGCCTGTGTACCGTTCAAAGGGTCCCAAGTTCGATCCCCGCCGCGATCCAACCAAAGTGTTTAAAAAGCGTTGGTAGTGCGGAGCAATGGCTTCACTCAATGCGGTACAAAGGCGTGAAGAAGATAAAGAAAAAAATATTTTATCGTATCTTGCACATTAACTTTAATGATACAAATAAAAAAAATTAAAAAAATTTGTGTTGAAGTCTTTGATATTCTATCAAGTCCTCTGGAGGAAATTTTTTTCCCCAAATTTTTTTATTTCGTTCACCTCAGTTTTTTTGCTCTTTTTTTATTTTCAGATTTTTTTAACGACTTTTTTTCAGATGAATAAAATAAATATTATTACTCAAAAAAAACTTCATAAAAAGTTGCTTATTATTTTTTTCATATTTTTTTCAACAAAGATTACAGTAAAGAAAAAAACAAGGTATTGAAATTCTTTATGAGCCCGCTGCCAAAAATTAAATAATATTAATTATTTTTTTCAATCAATACTTTTGAGGACGTGATAAGAAACTTCATTGATAGTTTCGTGGAAACAAACTTCAAGAAGACGAAACTCAACCTTGTAAAAAATTGAAGGATGCGCTTGAAGACTTGCTTGAACATCTTCAAGTTGGTCGTGGGGCAAAGAGACAAGTAGAATGACTGGAGCGGCGCGATATGGTTCCCGCGTCTGCCGTAGGGCAAACAGTGGCTGAGTCTCTTGTGATCTGCCGTTGGGGCGACGGTCGAGAGCCGACGGAAAATAGCGCCAGCACAGTCATCATCTTCAGCCCTAAAAACAATGCCGACAAGTGTTTTGCTTGACTTTCCTTTGTCTCTCGTCGTGTTTCTTGAAAAAAAGTAGTTTCGGTGGGGTTTGAGCACAATTTCGAAAATTGTGTTTTGATAAGGGTAAAAATGTTTTCGCTGGGCTATTAAAAAAGGACTTTCGAGGATTATGGAAATTACATCATTTTTTTAATAACTGCATTTTGCAAAAATTTCTTTGTAGGTTTTAACAAGGAAACGGTTTTTTGGCCTCCGTTGATTTCAATGAAACTTGGCTGAGATAAATACGCTTTGAGACTTCAGTAGAGAACAAGATAAAAAAATTTACAAAAAAATAATGGGAAGAAACGATATTTGTGTAGTTTGAAACCTCCTAACTCGGAAAAAAATATCTATTGAGAACTTTTTTTCTTCTTTTTTTCTGAAATCAGGAGGCCTTGAATAACGTTACAGCCAAGTTTTATCTAAAGTACAACCGGGGACAAAAAATGTTCCTATGTAAGAGAACTTCTCTGAAGACTTTTTAGTTCAGGAAACAAACTAATTTTTGTAATTTTTTTGTTGAAATTTTTAAGAGATTAAATATAAAAAAAGCGTCATTTTTTTGAATTCTTCTATCGCCTTTGCTTTTTTTCGCTATATTTTTAATTGGTTCCCAATACAGTAGAGCAAAGCTCAACTCCCATTTACGAAAATAATGTATTGGGATATTTTTGATTCAAAAAGTTTTCTTCCCTGTTAATAAGGAGTTTCTTATTAGCACCAAAGCTACAGAACATTTTTAAAACTGACTGAAAAAATTATACTATTGTTTTTCATGCATGAACGCTCCATCGAGCCTTTGCACGCTTCGTTGCCCCTACTGATAGGCGAGGGTTGAGAATCGGCAATGAGATTAACTCTAAAAACAGCTAATTTGCCCTCTTATGATAACTGACGCACTTCCTCTTATTCTCCACTTCTTAGCCCTCCCAAACAACAAAGTCAAAAAGAAGTGGAATGAATGGCAAATGACGGTCGTCAGAGCAACGAGCCGACGCGTAGGTTTTCCCATATCGGGACGTTTAAGCAAGTGTCCCCTGCAGGCATATAATAGCGCTTCCGGGCATCGAAATGCCATTGTCCGGCGGCGTTTAGGAAAAGGAAACGTCCACTCGGAGGTCCGGCAATTTTCCTCTCGCTTGACCACTTCGCTACAACTTTATTATTTTTTCTGCGATGGTGAGGACCTACGCCTTCAATGCGTCTCTTCAATCTTACCAGGTTATTTTTGATTTCTCAACAGTGAAAATATTCAAAACGTAGAAAAAAGAGGCTAAAAATATCAGGTTTTTTTTAAATTTTGCAGTTTTCAACGTTATCTTTTCTTAACTCATTGAAAAGGAAAATTTTTAGTGGCCACTATAGAGGCTCGCCAAGGACTACTTGGAGTAGAAACTAAGGTGGCCACTAATCCCACCTCTATAGTGACCATTATTTTCCGTTTTAGTGACCACTATAGAGGTTCTCTGTTTAGTGAACACTTCAATAGTTTTCATTCAGTATCCCTTCCAGTACATCTGATAATTTTAAAACGAACACTTTGGACCAGTTATGTTGAGTCATCGACCCCTAAAGTGACCACTCAAATATTTAGTTGTCTAGTAGTAGAACTTAGATTCCCAAAGTGTCAACTAATTTGACCACTATAGTGGCCACTAGAACGTCAAAAGCCTACAGTGGCCACTAAGAATTTCCCAGGAAATTGAAAAAAAGCAAGGTTGTAAAAAGGAAAACTCGTGAAGGAAAAAAAGGAACTTTAGAAAACTTGATTTTAATCCTGAAAATAAGGCCGATTGTATCGGTAAAATTAGATTCTATGCCTCTCCAAACTCGAAAATGTTGTTATTCGAATGAAAAAATTTAAAATAATATGTATTTCTAATCGCTAGCTAGATTTCTTTTTCTTGGAAGAGACGATGGCTGAGAAGTCGAAAAAAGCTTTGTCGTAGAATTGAAGTTTTTCAGCGTGAGCTGCAGCGATCGGCATTCCCTCCACAACGTACTTCGGCCTCAGTTCCTCCACCAGAAAGACCCAAATCTCCACAAAGTCTTCCTGATCCAATCAGATGGAGACAAGCTGCTGAATCGCCTCAAGTTCAAAGGCCACTGGAGCCAGATTACTCGATGAATCAGCAATTGTCCAACTATTCGCCGTTTCACTCGCCTTTGATTGACCCCGTCGGCTCGATTGTCGGCCTTCGTCTTCTTTATGTTGATGGCAAACTTGCCTACGTTCCTGTGGAGCCCCAAATCAACTACCTCATCAATCAACAGTTTGCCTTTTCTGTGAGTTTTGGTTGAATATCGATTTGGGACCTATTTTGGCGCGCGGTTAAACTTTTGATGAAAATTTGTTGTAAGGTACTTTAAGACCTCCTGATTCCAAAATAAGAAAAGGAAATTGTTTGCAATAGATCAGGTTTTGATTTTTGAGGTTTCAAATTTTGAAAAAAACACAAATTGTGGTGAAAAAGCGCGATTTCAAGCTCTGAGAGTCTTAACTCCATAACAGGTCTAGTGGGAGAAAACTGTTTTTGTTTTGAAGTAGAGTCAAAAATGGACTCATCTGAGAGAATTTTGATTTAAAATGTGCGCCTAAAAACATTTCATCAGAAAATCAGGTCATGTGCGTTTAAAAATATCTGAGATTTTTGTAACATTGTAGAAAATTTTTTTTTGACTTCCCGGCATTTTTGTGATCACTAAATGGTTTTTTTAAGAACCACAAACCTCCAATAACTCAACAATCAACTGGTATTCTTCCTCCTTGGGTTCTCGATCCTTACAGAGAGAGCTACGCCAGAGACTTCTACAATAATAACAATCAAGTCATCCACAAAGTTAGAATTATCATCCATCAGAAACTAAATACATTTTTTTCTCAGCAAAACACGTTTTCCACAGTATCTTCAACAAGCGACAGCTCTCAAGGGACTTCTACTGATAGCAGGATACAACCTGATTATCATTATCAGCCTCAGACCCAACCACAACAAAACCAGCAAAGAATGGTTGAGGTTTGAGCCAAATAATCCAACTAACTTATCTAAAACATACTTTTTAAAGCCCGAACCCGTTCTTCAGGCCAAATCTCATCATGGAAGTATGCCCAATCTGACCAAAAATAGGTAGTTTCAAAATAATGTTTAATAAGGACCTTTATGTATTTTTAGCGTACTTTCCAGCCAGGAGCAGCACAAACTGGAACTTCAGATGCAGATAGAGGAAAACAAAAGAAGGAAACAGTTGGAAAAACAGAAGGAGATCGAAGAAGAGCAGCGGGAAATTCGAAAGTTCGTAATTATTCTGTCCAGAAGCAGTGAAGCTCTTGGAAAAATTCCCAAAAGCCAAAGTTTCATATATTTTGAGCTCGAATTTTTTAAACCAATAAATTAATCTCAGTCGAGCGTTTCTTTTATTTTTCTTTTCAAAATGCCCACGTCAGGAAGTTTTGTCTTTGAGCTACAGTTTTCGACAATCAGAGATTTCATAATCTCTTCTTTTATTTAAAAATTGACCAGGAGAGCTCAAAATTTTTTAAGAACGCTCCTCTTTTCGAATCTGTAAGAACGAGGATATCGGAAATTGATTTTAGTTCAAAACTTACTCCTCTTCTCCAACTCAGAACCCTATTAGATACTCCAAAAATCAAAGGCCTATATTTTTTCTTGAGGTAAAAGCCAGACGCCGAAATTAACTTTACATCTAGTTTTCACCTTTATGAGTTCAACAAACTACTCCAAAAGTCGAAAATCAGTACTTTCTCCCTAAAATAGCCGAGAACTTTAGGGGTCCTTAATAGACAACATTCCGCTTGAGCTGTTCCCTCAATCATCCTTGATTTCTGCCCACATCTCCGTGCCTTTATTCAAATTTGTTTACGAAACAACTCAAGCTTAACGGTCAGCAAATCCAATAGTCACACTTAAAATGAACCGAAGATCAGGAGAAAAACAAATAAACAAGACCTGTCAATCTGATTGAAACGCAATTTAAATTGTTTTCAAAGAGACGCCTACGTTTTTTTATTCAGATGGGAAGAGTACCAAGCTCGTCTCCAGCGCGAAGAGCAAATGGAAAAGGAGAAAAGTCGCGAAAAAGCTCAAGCTCTCGAGCGAAGAAGCCAGCAAATTTATCAAGAGCAGCAGGTTGGGCTATTTTTGAAATTGAGGAACAACTCCTGGAATTCTTGGAGTCGGTGAGTTTCTCGTTTTTTTGATGAAATTTTTAAAAAAATTTCCGATTTTTTTGACGAATCTTTGCTCAGAAAAAAACTAGAATACATAGATAAATTTGTGTTTTTTTGCCAAATAGATTTCTCCAGTGAGGAAATGAAGCTTCAGGTTTTTTTAACTTAAGTGACTTATGATAATTTTTTTCATCTTTAAGCGTGGTCATAAAAAGTTTGTTATCATTCCAATTTTTAAGAATTTCTATTACCGGAAGCCCTAAAAAACCGTCAAAAATTTTTTTTAGGAAGAACTACGCTTATCAAAGTTGGCTAAACAACGTGCAGCCGCCCCTCCTCGTCCACCCTCTCAAGGTTCTTTTTTAATCCCTTTTTCTATATGTTCCGACTGAGGCACTTTCAGAGTTTATGGAGAAACCACCAAGTCGACCTGATTCTGCTGAACCGAGAGGACTCGAATGGTGGGAGAAGAAGCCGACGTGGCAGCAGAAAGTGAATTCCAAATGAGAAGATTGGAAAATGAAAATTTTTCAGTTGATTGATGAAAGAAAAAGTGCTGTGATACCTACACATCGAGGAAAGCCGCCAGTTCCGTCTAGTGGACGGTCGAGAACGGCTTCCAGGTAAATTGGCCAGTTTATAAGTAATTTCTCTTTTTTGAAAAGATCATCGGAAAAAATGAAATGTTTTTCAGGCATTCCAAACAAGCTTATGACCCATCTTCAAGCGTCCAAGAACATCAAAGTGCTGCGAATTCTCGCGCTCCGAGTCCAGTTGCTCATCCAGAAGAACCGTGAGTTTTGAATTTTGATAAGAGTTTGTTTTTTTAAAGAAGCCTATAATAATTGAAACTCAAAATCTTGTAAAGAAATCATTTGGGAATGCCTTGGGATATGCCAAAAAAATGAAATAAATACCTTCTTTCTTACTTCTTGTCAGTTGATCTTTTTTTCAGAGAGCCTCCTCGCCCAGCTTCTTTCAAAAAAACCAACAGCCTTCACCATCAGCGCCTAAACTCTCTATTAATTGTGCAAGCAACCATTTTTAGATTCTTCACGCAAAGTTTGTACAATAAATGCTTCAACTTGAATCTTTTTTTCTGCTTTTTTTATTCTAATCAAAAGGCATTTTTCCTACCTTTAAACTTTTTTTCAAAGTTCAATTTTTGTATAAAAAAAGTTAGTTTCTCTTCACAAAGAAAAAGTCAACAATATTCAATCGAGAACTGAAAAAAATTAAGTAATTTCACTCTGCATTCTTCTGAAATTTTGCCAGAAACGCTCCTGGATGTACCAGATTATTTTTTTGAAAGTTTAATTTACACAATTATTTGTTTCTAGAATAAAAATATTCTCAAAATTGAATAATGCACTCAAAAATCCGTTTAATTAGGCTATTTTAGAGCTTCGAGCCCTTATTTCTCGAAAAATAGAATTTTGTGCAGGTTGAGATTTCCAGTACCTTTTTAATACATGAAAGAACGGTCTGGTTAAACTTCAGCAAACTCCCAACAGCAAATTAAAATGACCTTGCGTAACAGTAAATTTTCCTATTTTAACTACTTTTCCAGAAATTCAATCCATTCACGTCCAGAATATTTATTGACAATAATAAATACGCAATAAAAGTGTTGGATTAGTCGAAGTCCCACTCTGCTGGCCTCTGCGTCACCATGGTTCGTAACCGCGCTGAATCCCGCGACCACCGTAGCTTCCGAAGGCTCGGACTGGAAGCGATCCCTCCACCGACTGGATGTCCCCGATCACTCCTGCAATGCCATATGTCATTCTCAGTTTGATCATCTTGCGATTGAAAGAGTAGCAGTAACGAAAATATACACATTTCGCTTTTATAGGAGCTTATGAAGCAGGCAAAGAAATCTTCTTTCACATTATTTCTGTTAAACTTCATTGAAACGCTTCAATTAGAAGTTCATAATTCATTTTTACAATTAATCAAAAATGAGTGCAACCCTGATTGCAAAGGAAGAAAATTGTTTCGAGTAAAACTAATAATATAGAAAATGGCTACTAGTTTTCCAAAAATCTTATTAACCAAATTTATAGTCGGCCGGTAGAATTAATAAAAACTTTTCCTACCGAAATACCAATTTTTTTCGAAACTTCTGTGAAAGGCTGATTCCTGCGGTATCCAGTATTTTGCTACGGATTTTTTTTAACTCTCAAGGCTGAATTACTGTTTTAAAAAATGACTGTTATGAGTTCTAAAGACCGTATTGAATAGCACAGGTGGCTGATTTCCTACTGAAAAAAAAGAATTCTTAATAATTCGAAAATCTCCTTTAGTCTCTACTGTTCGGAGGTAATCAACCTCTTTCACTAGTGAAATGAACATAAGAGGAAAGAAACCAAATTATTTCATGCTTTAATAAAGCCTTCCCTGCGTGATTCGTCCAACACGGAACACTTATTTGGCCCAAAATTTGGTTCGATAAATAGAACACAGAAAAAGAAAAAAAACAAATAATGGGCCACTTTGTGCTCTATTGTAACCCAGTGGAAACTTCCGGGCACTTTAGGAAGTGAAAGAAAGAATAGTTAGAAGTAAAGCAACATAGACAGGAGAAGGTCATGCTTTTCGAAATTGCTGTGTAGGCGTTCCAGAAGAACAGAATCAGAACTTCAAAACAAGCGAAAGAACTCAAAAGACCTTTCATTTACGTCTACAGGTGATGGAACTGACTGCTCAGTGAAAACCATCGCGCTTCGTGCTGTAAAGTTAGTTTTGAGATGTGTTAGTTGGTTGATAAAAATATCGAAAAGGTATCCTGAAGCATTACAAATCAAGAATGAATCATTCTAATGAGTGTGGAAAAGTAGAAAAGCCGTTTCTTACCATATAAGGGACGTCCGTGACCACCTCGGAAGGCAGCAACTGTGACGAAAAGTGCGAAGAGGACCAGTAGACACGCCAGAAAGTGCATATCTGATGGAAAATGTATTATTGAAACAGGAAAGTAGGAAAACTAAAGCGATCATAAACGGCAGGAACGGTTCAAAATAACTTTTCTAGCTCATTTTATACGGAATTAAGAGAAAAAAAGACAAAATTCTCGTTTTTAAAAAAATTAACTTAACTTTAGAGGATTTTTTCGTTTCTTTTTTCACTATCTCATCTGTAAATGTAACTCTTTCAATACAGCTCATCTTTGATCTTCATACGTGTTCTTTTTTTTCTAAAAGGCTTGTTAGGGCGTTCTTTAGTGAGGTCACTGTTTCACTCATATTACAAGCTCCTTTACTCTCGATGTGTCTAGATTTTTTTGTCTCCCCTGAAAAAAGTTTTTTTAAAGAGCATACTTAGATGATAAAAGGTCGCTTGTTCAAATTTGCAGGCTTGAAGTGGTTTTAAATGATAAAAAAGATCTCATTAATAATCATTTTTCATCAGAAAACTTGAGAGAGAACTATTGTTTTGATAATAAACCCCAAGGTTCAAAAGCTTTTATGAAAAAAAGTTTTTGAAATTTCGGGTTTTTTTTCCAAGAAGCTTCGTTCAGAATGACTTAGGCATGAACTTCACAAAACCTTGAACTGGATGAGCAATTCATGTGAAATCATCTTTGGACTAAGAAGTGAACTATTCAGAAATGAAAACGGAAAGTTTTGGAAGCCACGTCCACGACAAGAAAACGAAGAAGTGGGCGAAAAATTTCAGAAGACGGCTGGACTCCGCCCCTTCTGCCGTGCACGTCTTCTTCGACTGATACAATTTCCCTGAGTTGTCGCCTTGAAAACTGAGAAAAAAAAACCCGTCCGGAGCAAATTTTTCGCCAGGACAAGCACTTAATATAAAAAAGCGACAAGAGCGACGCAAATTTGAATTCGAGCAGGCAAGACGGAAAATCCACAGAAAGAAAAAGTTAATATATTCACAAAGCAGCGTTTCTGAACACGGAATCATTTCGAGTGTTTTTGATTCTGAAAAATGTAAGAAGCCGACCTGTTTTCGAAAATAAAAATCCAAGTTGACGCAGATTGAATTTATAAGATATTCGAAATTCAGAAAAAGCGGCCAAAAAACGAATATTTTTCGGCGTGAACACGTGAATTGGGACATTTCAAATGATGAAACTTCTGAAGGGATGCATTTTTATTGCACAAATTGCCTTCATCAAACATTTTTGGCCAGTGAACTGCCCACTCAAAAAAACTTCTTTGAATAAAAGCTCTAAAGTTGAGGCCAAGCTGCAGTAGAGGACAAAAAAAGAAGATTTTACGAGCCGTTTTTGATGGGTTCTGTCGGGAATTGGATTGCGTCAGCTGAAACTTGATGTTTACCTTATCTTGAACAAATTGAGCTCTCCAAGTTGCTCTTAAGAACTTTAGAGGTAGTAATAAACATCTTGGGAAAGTTTCTGAAAATAGAATTCTGACCGACCAAAGGGATTTTCAGGCCAGTATATTGAACAAACATTGCACTTCAGCAAAAAACTTCTGAGATGAAGTTTTTGATGAATTTTCGGAAGCTTATTGAAAAGGAGAGGCCTATTGAAGTGACCAGGATATCTTTTATTTCTAGCTCTTGCATATTTTTGACATTCAATGTTTGTACTAAAATGTTTCTTTTTTACATTAGGAAAAAAAATAAAGTTTTGCTTGTTATTTTTAGAAGGAAACGATTGCGTATTAGCAAAATCACCTGTTCTTACTTATTTCAGTGCTGGTAAGGCATTCAGCAAAATTTGAAAAAAGGATATTTATTGTGCGAAGGTGAAAAAAATTCTATAAGAATAATCATAAAGCAGGAAAAAAAGAGGAGTATACGAAGACAATGAAAAAAATGGAAGTGTTGATAGAAAAAAAGAAGGAATGGTTTTATAAAAACTTGAAGTTTTATACAAACTTCGAAGCGCGATAACTGTAAAATCATATCAAGTGATTATGCCACGTTCAGTTTCACAAAAAAAGATAAATTAACAAATCTCTAAAAAAATTTCTCTGGATTTTTAGGAGATGTCTCACTTTTTTTGAATTTCAATGTTTTATAAACTTCGAACCAGCGCCAAAAAAAGCACCGCAAATTTACTTGCAATTAGCGGGGGGTAAAAAAATTGAACGGGTTTTTTTGAATGAAAATAAACTATCATTGGGACCAGAAAGATTTACACCGAAGTTGACATCCGCTGTTCGACCTTTCCGAGCAAATTTTTCTTCTTAACAGGAGCTCGAACTTTAGTGTAAGTGCGATTTCTAACGACATAAATTGGTTCTTGAGCCAGTCCAGATGATCTGCGCCGGAATCTCATGCTGTTTGCGCCAGGAGAAGTCACTTTTCTGGTGGAATGTCCATAAATGACGTATCCGTTCTCTTCTCGCGTTTTCCTCAAATATTTCCTTTTTTTATTTCATAATTATCCCAGTTACCCATTTGTCTCCGTAGGATTGAACTTTCTGTACTGCCAGTGGAGAATGTCGAGGAAAGCAGTAGCGGACTTCAAATCGAAGAAAACGAGGGTCATGTTGAATTTCGCCAATCGAGAGTATTCATTCAGCATGAGCCAAATGGTGTGAGGGTCTTTGAAGCCATAGGCTTGCATTGAAGCCAACTGAAAAGTTTTGTTGAAAAATATTCTAAGACGCGCTACCGGGATTTCGAGGACAAAATCGTTTGGAGTTTTCTTTTTCTTGACTTCGTTCTTGAATATTCTGATGTGGCTGGAGTCGTAAACGAGGCTGAAAAAATCATGAGTTGATTTCGAAACTGTCATCACTTTCAAAGAAAAAAAAAGAATCGAAAAGTTCGTCATCGTTGCACCTGTTTTTTTGCAGAACAGTCTAACGAAGTTTGTGTGAAGCTCTTTCAACTGAGAGATATGGAAATTCAAATCCATCCATTACCCTATAGACCCTGTGAGGACGCGCCGTTGTTTGCCTGTCTACGGTCCACAGGATCACAAGTTCGATCCCCGTCTCGACCCAACCAAGGGGTTTAAGAAATGTTAATAGTGGGAAACCACGACTTCAAAATGCCTAGCCGTCACACACAAGGGCGGATATTTCACTCGAAATAGCTTACTGATTATAACTTATATCAGGATAGGACCTCGGCTTGGGCGCCGATGCCGCTCAAGCGGTAAAAAGACGTAGGAAGAAGAGGAAGAAGAAAAAGACCCTATAGATCCTGTGAGAAAAGGACAACAAAAAACTCACAGCTTGTGGCCGGTGAACTCGTCGAACTGGAATGTGTTGTTTGCTCCAGGGATGACGTTGGCTTTGAAAACTTCCGAGATCCCTCTTGCTTCAGGTTCTACCATGCTTTCTAAAAAGGGGGTTTTTTCGGGTGAAGTTTGAGAAAAACCGTCGACCAGTCAAAAATGAGCCGTGAATCATGCACAAAAGCCAAATATCTTCGTGCACATCATAAAATGGAATCGAAATTGAAAATGAGTAGGTTGGGAGAAATACAGAGAGTCGAGCAATCGACGGAAATTTGAACGATTCGTACCTCCCAAATGGAAAAAATTGAAAAAAAAAAGGCGTTATTGCTTTTCAGACCTTAATTTCCGTTAGAACGTCCGACTCTATCAATTGTGTTTTTTTCTCATTTTTCAGGAACCGTGAGATATTTTTGAAAGTGAAGAATTATTGCGGGTATTCGTTGAACACAGCTATGGGTGAAAATTGTTCGAAGCGTTTATGGAAAACAGCTGACAGATTTAGAGGTCCGTTTTTTGAAGAGCGTCGCTAAGCAGCGTCCTTTGTGACTAGCAGATGACCGCTATTAAAATCTCATTCATTGAGAATTTTCAGTTTAGTTCAACCTGAAAAAGGTAAGTTTATAGAGCAGGCCGGAAAATAAGAAAACAGTTATTATATTTCTTCAAGCGAGTTTCAAAGTTTGAAAAATTCCTCTCTTTTACTTGAAAAAAACATTATCTCGGTTCTCGATGATTTCAAAAAAAATTTTTTTAAGTCTGTGAAGGTATGGTTAGTTTTTTTCAAAAAAAGACTTTTTTGAGTGTAACCTTTAGATTATTTTTAATGTTAAGACTTTTTCAAGACGAATTCAGCTTGGAGAAGTCTCTTTCGGTTTTTAAACAAAAAGTCAGCTTCTGACTGCTTCGATCTTACTTATAAAGGAAGTTTATCTCAATTCAGATTAAAGTTCTTTTCCCAGTCCAATTTTTAAAAAAATCAGATGATATTCCGCGCCTTTAACTATTCACATTGGCTCTCATTTTCAGGCAATATTTCAAGTCATGTGCGAAAATTTGATGAACTCTGTGTATTTGTGCCTTTTTTCTTATTCAGTATAAACGGAAATGGAAGTTATCTGAAAAAAGCTGCGATGAAATTTTTTCAAATCATTGTAGAAAAAGGCAAAGTTCTCAAGGTTCTTTATGCAATTCTAGTTTTTTACAACCGACCCCAAGAGCAAAAACACCTTTTTTTCTTCTGCAAACTGTCCCGGTTTTGAAATGAATCCTTTTATTACGCATTTCATTTCAACATACATCTTTAAAGAAAAAAATACTGGTTTTTTAAAATTACAATTGGAATAAAGAAAGTCTAAAAAAATTTGACCAGTAGTTGGTAACCTGAATAAAAAGACAATACAAAAGGGCAGTTGTAACTCACAAGGAAGGTCTTTTTCTGAATGGGGCTTAGAACTGTTATGAATTTCCTACTTGTTGAAGATCTAGAAAAAGGTTTTTCATAAAATATGTAGAAATTATTTGAATAAATTCATAGACACTTTCAAACTTCATACAAAAACGACTTCCATGTTGAGATCGAGGAAAAACAATTGAAAGAAAGTTAGATGGTTTTAATGATTATAAGGCTGATTTTTTTGATTTTATAGATCTGGTGAGGAGTGATGGTCGGGCAGATACGATCCAATGGGACAAATTCATCCGTTCCTTTGATGTTGAAAAGGTCCTTCAAGTCCCAAAAAGGTTTTTCCTCCCGAATTTCTTCCTTCGAAGGAAACTGCACGAGTTTGTTGCCCCTGCAAGAAATATCTAATTTTATTGAAATTTGCAGAATTTTCTCTGAAATGGTTTTGTGGATTCAAAGTGTCAAAAAGCAGTTTATCCGAAAATCCTATAAGACTTGCATCAAAGGCTAAACGTCTAATGGACAAAATCTTTTCAACCGAAGCTTTTATTCTGATGAGTTGAAATACTCTGTAGACTGATCTTTAATACAAATCTCTCTCATATTTTTTTGATCTTTGAAATAATATAATTTGAGCTTGATGTATGCTACAATATCAGATTTGAAAAACTTCTCGAAGCTGTTCGTTTTTGGAGTTTGCAAAAAAATTAAAATCTTTCAAACTGCTCACAAATTTTGATGGTTATTTATTACATTCAGAAAATCATTGCAATACAATTTTTTTGGATGATTCTGTAACTTTTTCCAAAAAGCCTAGACGGAGATTTTTCAAAGTCTTTGGGTTTTAAAATTCAATTCTGCAATTGAGAAAATTCATACCTCATGGGGAGATAGTCGAAAAAGTCCATCTCAGAAGCATCACAAAACTGCTTGTCGATTTCCATTTTCGTCAGCCAGGCGGTCACTTTTTCCACACTTTTCGGAATATCTATCTTCGGTCCGGAACATCCACTGCAGCAGCTGGCTACTTCGACCTTCTCGACTTCTTTCGTTGCAGATTTTTCCGGCTTCTTGGTTGTCACGCCTCGGACTGGCCCTTGTTTCTTTTTCATCAGAAGACGCGGTTGCTTCGCCTCCATTCTGCCAAAATACAAGTTCGAAAAAGTTGAGAAAAAATACAAAACGAACACGACAAAAATTTATGATAGTTTACAAGGCTCGTTGAGGTTCCGCTATTTCCTGAATGGGAATCCGCTTCCCGCATTTGAACTTATCAACCTACCTGCGCTGACGTGTTGGAAATATATGATTGAAAAGAAAAAAACTCACTTGCGCAAAAAATGGCTGGAACCCAAAGATGCTTCGAATATTGCGAGACGGCTCGCAGAAATTATTCGATGCTGAAATTTCATTGGAAAGTTCGACAAAAGAGCTGTAATAATGTAATTAAGAAAATCACTTTCCAAAAAACGAATGGAATAGAAGCAAACAAAATCAAATCATTAAAGTAAACAAAATCGAACAATAAAGTAACAACGAGCAAATCAACCACGAAATCCCACTGCGGTTCTTTCTTTCACACTTTTTTGTGTCTGTTCAGATGATTAAATTATATTTCCAGCCTGTATGGTGTTTGAAATCAGCTCATGAAAAAAAAAATTTCTGAACGCTGTTTCAGAGACAAGACCTTTGAATACAATTTTTAGGACTTTTGGAAAAAAATAGGAAAATTTCAATAACTGGATGTTCTTTGCAGATTCTGGACACCCTGAAACTTTCAACGCCTGCGAAATCGTGCTTATTGGTCGAAGTTTCTCACAGAATGTTCATAGACTCTTATTTTTTTAAATAATTTGTTACTTAAAAATAATTTGTTTAGTCATTGTTAAAGATTTCTAACGAAAATCGCTGTTTACAAATTATTGTAACTTTTTCATAATCACCAGACCAAAATAGCGAAACTCCGAAAATCGAGGATTTTTAAAAAAAACTTTGAGAAAAAAACATTACTTTAGAGACAAAAACTGCATGCAAAATATTTTGATAAGAAGCTTTTGAAGTGATAGACGTAGTAAATGAACATGCAATAGTGAAGTGCAGACATGCGGAAAATTTTTGAAAATGGTTTCGAAGCCAAGAAAAACAACGTAGTACGACTGGGAATTGCAGAGGACATGTGATCGAAAAAAGGTTTTATCACAAAAAAAAATGAAAAAAGCGTCCGCGGAGATGTCTTTTTTTCTAAACATTGCAAAGGTCCGTCATATCTCGGCGGCCAATCGCCACGCTATTTGTAAACCGCCGAGAATCGTTCGCTGATTCATAGATGATGAAAAAGCAAAAAAAAGTTTTTCTGTTTTGTTTTGAATAATAAGTTATTTATAGAGGTTTTTCAAAAGTTTTTTTGATTTTCATGTGTAGTTGAAAATCAGAATGACTAATTGAAACATTTACTTTCCCGCAAAAACGTTTTTTTTCAAAGAACATCATTTGAAAGTCCCACGTTTTCCTAATGTCTTTCGCTCAAAGTTTTCTCGAAGGTCCATGTTTCTCGTTTTTCTTTCACATTCCTTTCCATGCCTTTATAAGAAAAGCTTGTTGAAAAAAACTTCCTACTTTAAATGTCATGTGAAATTATCATCCAAACAGCTGCAAGTCACTCAGAACTAAAATTGTCAGGCACACCGCGTGAAGCGCAGGTGGAATTTCTCGAGGTTGAAGGCTTTTTCGCCCAAATTTCGTAAAAAGTCAAATTCGGCGTCAGTTTGAACTTTTATAATTATTAAATAAATCGAAAAAAATGATCCAGACGGTGTGGAAAAAAACTTGCGAAAGTCGAAAATCACATGCTGGCCGCAAGATTTTAACGGAATCAACTTGTGCAAAAGATGGTTGTTATTGTTTTTCAAGGCACAAAATCGATACAAAATATGAGAAAAACGCCGAATCGCCTAATTCGGAATTGGGATTGTTGATCGACTCACGAAATATTTTCTAGTTAGAAGAGAAAATTCTGGAAGAATCGAAAAAAAATTTTTTTTTTAATCGAAATATACAGGTCGTCTTTTCAAACTCGTCTCAATCGGTTGGAAACTCAGAAATGAGAAAACTCGTAAAAATAATTTCCATGATTTAGCTTAAGTGTTCCCTTTACCGGAGCGAAAAACATTTTGAGGCCAGTGTAGGGTAAAAATCATCAATAACCATGTGGAATCAAACATTTTGGTAGTCATCCTTCGACTCTTTGAAATTTTCCCCAAGGAAGAAGTTGAGAAGACGGTTTTTTTCCCCTAAAAATGTGTTTTTGAGATCGTATAGAAAATATATTTCATGCTAATTTTTCAAGGCATGCAAGCCCAAGTATTGATATTTTTAGTTCAAATAGAAAAAAATTACATAGTGGTCTTGTTCAAAACTGTCTTTTTATTGACGAACACAAACAACCAAAAGCAAATTTATTGCGCAGAAAAAAAAAGATGAAGATGAAGCTGAAATTACTCGTGGGGATTGATTGATAATCGGTTCATCGTCCCCAATGAATTCGCGATTTGCCAATTTTGTTCCGGAGAGCCTGTGCTCGGACAGACTTGGCGACTCTTTCTACAGGCATCGTATCGGCTTCTTCATTCGCCTGGGCTGTCTGAAAGAAGAAAAAGCCGTAGTAAAAGTGCTCCACTGTACGTTTGACGCACCTGCAACTGTGCGACATGTCTGGGCGTCCACAAAGTGCCCAACGCCATTTCGGAGACCTTCAGTTGATTTCCGTCAACGGACTGCCACTGCTGCAATAACTCCTTTTTATAGTTTTAGCACAAAAAATAGAGTTTAAAAATCGGATTTTTTGTACCTTGTAATTGAAAAAAATCAGCTTTTTGATTTTATATTTAAAAAGTTAGTTCATCTTTTTTTTTCGACTTCAATTTTTAGTAGAATAAAATGGAACTTTTTTTTTTTCATTTTCTCCATTTCCATCTTATTGAGGACCAATAGTCATACATAAGAAAAGAGATGGAAAACAAAATGATGACGTCTTCTTAGTGAAAAATAGTGAGTTCTCTACATTTCACGCAAAATATGCGTTGTTTTTGATTATATGCTATGCTGATGATTGAACAAAAATGAAAAGCTTAAGATTGCAGAAAAATATCACCCAAAAAAGATTATCCCGAAGAAGTTCGCTCCATTTACTCTGAAAAATGGAACAAAAATCAGAACGTGGTTTTTGAGCATTTGTAGAAAAATTCGCGGTTATCCATGTTTATCCAAAAATCTTTTCAGAAAAAAGTAACATTCTCAATCTCAGATTTTCAGATGCCCTTTTTTAATACCTGCACTCAACTTCATTGAAACTGGGAAGTGCTTTAAAACGGATTTCGTTCAAAGAAAGCCCAACCTAGCAAAAAAAAAAAAATCGAAAAAGCTTTTTTTTTATCACTTTAAAATTAGCCATTTTGAAGTTAAAAAGCTGGAAATTTTTAGATTTATTCAAGAAATGAAGTCAAAATAAACTTTTTCCTGTGCAGATGATCGCTTCCCCCAGCGAATACTTGATCTGCGGATATTTTCGTTGAATGCTCTTTCAGATCGTTTCGACCAGACCTAAAAAGTATTTTGCTTCAGAATTTGTCCATTGGAACTTTTTTCGAACCGGTGTCCAATTCGAATCGCCAAGTTTAGTGATTTTCACGTGCGTTTCCGGGATTTCGTCCTGCAAAGTACTGCTTTGAGAAGAAATTGCTCAGTTTTGAGAAAGTGTAAAAATTTTCAAGCTTCTTCAAAGCTGCAAATTGATATTTACTCCAACCAACTATTATTTTTTGTGAAGGACAAGGAGCAGTATCTTCGAAAGATAAATATTATTGCTCGGATTTCCGCTCAAGTTTATTTTTTCTTAGATGCTTAAGGTAAATAAAAAAGGATGCAAATGAATCAAGCCTAATTTTTCCTATGTAGAAAGGAGTCTTTTTTCCAACTATTCTGGTTTTTTGACGAATAATTACGCCTTCTAGATCTCCTTTTCGAAGGGACAGATACTCGGTTGTCTTGATTCTTGAACTAACTTAAAAAAAAATTATCCTCGATTATCCAAAAATCTTCTCAGGAAAAAGTTGCATTTTCCATCTCGAATATGAGCTCTTTTAGTTGGATACCTGCACTTAACATTATTGAAACCGGGAAATACGGTAAAGTTCTTCAAAACGAAGTGATTCAGATCTTTGGTTGAGCAAGCTGAAACTTCTCTGGAAACTTGCTTTCTTCATTTTTTTAACAAATTAATTTGATAATTAAAAAGCTGAAGAGAGCAAGTCCTTCTTTTCAATCCAAGCCTTATTTTGACAGAAAAAAAACCAGGTGTTTCTAAAATTTTAATTATATCAGTAAAAAATTTTCTCAATATTTCAATTTATGGACTGAATGTTGCTATTTCAACATTGAGCCTTTTTTTACAATAAATCGTGTATTTAATATAAATTGTTTGGTTTCTGAACACGCTGAGATCCGTACTAATGCGAGCCCTCTAGAATATGAAAATTGAACGGCGCGAACTTCAAAGATTTATTTTGAGTTGAGGAGACGAAGAAGTTCTCAGGGTACTCTGCAATTCGAATTCCCTCTGAACTCTTTTTAAATATTGAGTAAAATGAAATCATCTTATTACAAATATTTGCTACTTAAAAAAATGTTCAGCTTCTCTTTGAATTACTAATTTAAAAAGAAAATTTTTATCTTAAAGGCTGATTTCATTTACTAGTGAATAAAGCGGCGAAATCAGTTTTTTTGCTGAAAAAAACTCAAGAAAACTGAAGTTATTTAATTTTGAATATAGAATGTTTTATAAAAAAAGAAAAGTTTGATTTCATAGTCTCTAATAACACGGTTTTTTAAATCACACACATCGACTTTCACTTATAAGAAGATTGCGTAAATGACTTCTTATAATGATTTTTATATATTCACACGCCCTTATTATTCTAGAAAAAAATTCCCAGGCACTCAAGGCAAAAAAAGGTCTTACGAAACTACTAAAATAAAATTTTAAAAGGATCTTCTTATTTTTCCGTCTGAAGAAATAAATGAATGAACTTAAATTTTCGTATAATTTGTGACGGATTTTTTTTCATCCTCTTTAATTGGAAAGTCAACTAAGTCAAGGAAAAATGTTTTTAAAAAATAGTTCAAGCCAATTACTGCTCTCTGAACTTTCAAAACGCAAAAATTCGTAAAAATAAGTTTCGATAAAATTTTATAAAAGGAAAAATTCAAAAAACAAATGATTATTTAGAAAAGGCGCCTGTTTGATTCTTAAGTGAAAAAAATTGACTCAAAATTTTTTTCTTGTGTTGAGAGACCTAGTTACTCCGGCATTTCAATGACAGCTGTATAAAAAGGTTACTTGAAACTTTTCTCCATGATAAAGCCTAAAAATAATTTTTCATGAAGGTTTTTTTTTATAACCGATAGAAGTGAAATAAATTATCTGAAAGGCTGTGAAAACTTCGGAAGCGCCTTTAAAAGTCATGTCTTGATTGCCCATGAAAACATTGATCATGACTCAAGGGAGAATTTTTTTTGGTCCCAGACATTTATTTGATTTTGAATTAGGTAAGCATCCGACCGGAAAGACTTCGGAATATCATAATTTTGGTTTTTTCGAACGTCATGCTCTGATGTCTTCTGAAAAGGTTTTGTAAAAAATATCAACAAAAAAAAAAACTTGAATGGCTGTTGAAATAAATCAAAAGTTCCCCTTTTTTTCATGATTTTTTTCAAATTTGAATTTTTTTAAGAAAAAAATTTCATTGATTTTTTTGTGCTTTTTAAAAGCTTTGAAGACTTCTTCGACCCGAATGAGAGTATACCTGAACGACGGCAGAAGCTGAAATAGAGATGAAAGCAGGGAGGACGACTAGGAGCTTGATGCTGGGCATGGTTGTGCGAGGAGATTGTCTGGCCGAAAAGCGTCGCGACACTTGGGGCGGGCTGTCCAGTGGTAATGCGGCTATTGTAGGCTTTGAGCTTTTCGCGGCCTGTGGGCGGCGCTTCTCAACCACTACCGTTTGCTTCGATTTCACCTGCGCAGTAGGTGCCTGAAACTGGATTATTTCAAATTTGGCAACAATGGGCTCGATAAAAAGGGAAAAAGCGGTTATGATGCGATTTGGTTGTTTGGAAATCGTCTTTGGTCTCGAAGGCAAGCATTTGAGAATATTTTTTTAGACATTTGAAAAAGATAAGTGAGACGATTTGAGAAGATAAAAAAACTCTGAAGTTTGAAAGCCCTGGGTCAAAAAATCTTCCAAATCACTATCATTCTTTGAAAAAAAAAAACAACCCTAAGGCGATTAACTTTCTCAATTAGAAAGTTTTTTCACATTTTTCAAAAATTTCTAAGTTTTTGTTCGATTGTCGATTTCGAGTTGCTATCAGTTTCATGAAATTGGAAGTCCGTTCAATTAAATTTTTTTCAAGTCTTTTTATTTAATTTCAGTCAAATTTAATGATTTTTTTGAGAGTCCTTCTAAAAACTGAAATAACAAAGAAAAAAACTTTAAAAATAAAAAAATAAAAAAAGCGCCACTTATCAAATGAAGGTTTGAGCGAATGAAACAAGGAAACTACAATGAATGCACCGTTTAATTTGTTGTCGGAGTAAAGATTAAAGGGTATAACCGGCTCAGGAACACTTTTCCATATCAACATATCTCAAAATAAACACCTAAACCATATCAGCCACTTCTCTCAAAAAGCTCGAGCAAACTGAAAAAAACGGAAGCCAGAAATAAGATCTTTTTTGAGAGAAGGAGTTGATCATAAAACACATGAATTTGTCAAAATATTTTGTTTCTAAGAGACTTTAAAAAAGAAGAGCCGGAGAGACTATTAATTATGCCTGGCCTAGCCTGAGAAACAAGACAACTTTTCGTCACAGACTTATTTTTTCATGAACCTCATCATTTCCCGGCTGACCGTAAGCCGAGTCATCTAATGTGTGGCTACGTGACCAAACTTTGAAAATGAAGGAAGCGGAAATCGAATTTTCTCTTAACTAAACGCTCCGTTAACTTCATTACACTCAAGGAAAAAAATTGAAAATGTTCCGGGGGCAAGACAAAAACCAACAAAAAATGACGTTGGTTCAAAGTTTACCCAACATTGAACTTTACTCTCAAATTTATCGAAAGGCACAAAAAATTAACAGGTATAGTTCTTATTTTAGATTTTTTCACATTTAGGAAAGAGAGTTTCTTACGCAGATCTTTTCGAAAAAAGATGAATCCCAGCCTAGGAAATTGTTATACAGGACTGTAAAATATGCAAATTTTTTTCTTCTGAAGCATTTCTAGCTTGAAATCACTCAATTTTATGAGATCTGCTAAATTTTTAAACTTTGTTTACTTTCTTTTGAATTTGCAGAATTCTTCACCAATCTGTCATTGAATGGAAAAAAAAGTATGAAAAATAAGGTTTTTTTCGAAGATTTGATTCATGACTTATCCAAATTCCGTCAGAAGCTCCAAGCGCTACGAAAAATATTGCGTAGTTTTGAATCACATCAATGACTTCGAAAAATATCTGACTAGAAAAAAAATCTGAAGATTTGACTCACCTAACTTCTCACATGTGTGGTTTCCATTCATATTCAGCACACAACAATTTTTTCCACCAGGACACAGGTTAACGTCTAAAAATTGACCAAAACAAAGAAGAGTAACAGAAATCAGATACTCTCTATAAATACTCGAAGGAAGATCTTTTCACCTTTTCTCAAATAATGACATGTTTCGTAGCTGCTTTTTTTGATATATGTCTATATTCCAATGGGCAATTGAACCTTTGGACGTTTAAAGAAAATTGAGTAATCGGTCAAAACACAAATTTTCCAGAGGAATTTGCAAGATTAGTCAGGGAAAGGTTTGATTTTAGAGGGTTTTCACCGGATGAGTTTTAATTCAAATTTAAAATTTTGAAGATGCTCGACCGAAAAAACGAAAATTCTAAGATACCTTTTGTTTGCAAATAAAAAAAGGTCTTTTTATTAGAAGGATTAAAAAAAAGTTTGAAAAAGCTCACGTTTTTTTGAAAATACATTTTCTAACTTTTTTATTTTTTGAGTTCATACATATTTGTATTTTATAGGTAGTTGAACTTTCAAAATTTCAAGGATAGAATAAAAAAAGCTTAATAGTAGCCCGGAATATTTCTAATTTATTTTTATATTTTTTTATCCAGATTTTTGCGAAAATTTTTCAACTCGCAAACTAATTAAAAAAAGTCTCTGTTAAAACAAAAAAAACCCGTTTGAATGAAAACTGAACTCTGTTTTTGAGAGCAATAGCTGGAAGCTTCTTAAAACCGAATGGAATTTGAGATTAAGAGGAACAAAGCAAAAATAAAAAAGCAATTACGACTACAAAAATTTTCCTGCCGTTCTCACATGGATTGGAAATTCCTCGAAAATATAAAACGAAGAAAAGTTCAAAAAATCTGTCGGGAAACGAAGTGTGACGTTTTATCAGGAAATAAAAAAACTGAACGAAATATGATACGGCGGTCTTAGGCTTGGAACACCTTCAGTAAGTATAAGTTTTTAATTTTACGGAAACGAGAAAGAATTTCAACTTGCATTTCATATATTTCGTATACTTCCGGAAGCATCATTCTTCGAATAAAAATGTTTCAAGTTTCTTTTTCTTTTGTATCCGAAAAAGTTGAAGACCCTAAAAACCGTGTATAGATTGAGATAAATCAAAGAGTATTTTACCATTGGTTAATGTGCATATTTTTAAAATTTGAGGATGAATAACTCCTTTTTTTCAATTTCATCATTATTTGAAAAACGAAGTTTTTGGCAGTGGGCTATTTTCGGACAGATGATAGATCGAAAAAAAACCACAATATATAATTTATTCATTTCTTTGCTTTTTAAATTTATCAAATGTTGTTGTTTTTCTTGAGATTGAAAAACACAAGAGACGGTTTGATCTTTTCCAAGATTTAATTTTGAAAAACCCAGTAAATTTCGACGGTTCCTGAGACATACTTGAATTATACGGAAAAAGCAAAAAAAACACTTATTACCTAGTTTTCTTTCACTTTTACTCTCCCACTGATATAATAAGAAATTTATCTCTTTTCACAGGGTACAAACAGTTTAGCAAAAATTTTTTTGTTTGTATTCTACACCGTATTGAAAAGTCGCATAAAAAGTTAACCGCGGGACAGAAGCTCATTTCGATCATCAAATTGACCTGTGATATTCCAAAGCATCGTATTAGTTCGAATTCGATCTAACTAGATTTCTCATTTTCTTTTTTCGTACCTTTTTTAATCAGTTTCTTTGTAAGTTTACTGATGTTTGTACTTTTAGTTTATAACGACTTGCACTGGCCTTACAGGATTTTTTTTCTACCTTTTGCCGCTTTTCAAAATGAATACATTTATTTAAAATTTTGAAGCTCACTGCTTTGATCAACCTTGACGAAGTTCATGGAACCAAAAAAGGAAGAAATATAAAAATTAGCGATGGTGGATTACTGTTAGAAAATAAAAAAACTTATACCTTTGATATAATAGCAGTGATAATCAAAATCAATACATTCAACTCCATTCCCATCTTAGTAATTATTCTCTTCCACAAAAAAATTTCTTAAACATAGATTTTTAAAAAGTTTTTTTAGTTCATACTCAAATCAGTTATTGATTTAGACTCACTCCTCTCTCGATGAAAGATTTTCTGAATGTATCAGCAAATTTCATTTTGCAATTTCAAATTATTCTTTTGTTTCAACCCCGTTCCTCGGGCTAGATTAGTTTAAAGAACAGATCCTTCAGTTTTCTCTAATTTTGAGCACGATAACGACGGAAGTGCGTGCAAACGACATATTTAACTTTTTCATACATCAAAAACTCAAGGAACAAGAACTTTCAGTAAAACGAAGAACAGGGAAGTTCAAAGTATCAAAATTGATTTTTGAACTACTTCGTCTATGAAAGTTAATGATTGTCTATGTTTTTCATTTTTGAATGCTGTTCTTTGTCTAATAGCTTCCGCTTTTTATCAGCGTTCATCTGCGTCACTAATTAGCCGTGTCTCAAAGCTTTGTAATTAATAATCTTCCTTCTCCACCGTCGCTTAAACCATGTAAACACCACATTTTTCTCAATAATTCAATCCTTAATAACTGAGACGGAACTATTTCGGAGAGCGACATCCATCTTGTCATCTTTTTTCGGTTTTTCCGGAGCATTTTTCATTGGTTTTTTATGGTTTTTGCGATGATCTTTGTTCAACTTCTTTGGATGGCTTTTTTGGGGCAAAACATAGTGTGGAGTCTGAAATGACGGAATGAAAGAATTAGCTCGTTTGGGTCAGTTTTCGAAGAGAAAATTTCGAAACCTTCCTTTTCGATATTTTTCGAAATTCGAAATTTTCTTTTTCAGAAAGTTCAAAAAGCAATTCAACAATTTTTGAAGAGGGATAACAGCCTCGCGCAATAACAGAGCTCAGAATTGATCAGTAATTCCAAAGATTTTGAAGTTCGCTTGATTCAAAGGAAACTGACGGTAATAATAAAAAAGTTTTAGCAAGGTTTCGATCAGGTTTGACGGCAATTCTTGGTGCGAAAATCCTTCGAGGATTTGGTTGAGCTTCTCTCTTCTACGATTTCTATCTCTGAATATAGAGATACTTCCAAGTTGCTCGCTGTAGCGTTTAAAAGAGCATGGAAGTTTTTTTCTATTCCTTCAAACAGCCGAACGAGAAATTTTGGATGGATTATAGTTAACCTCCTACGTTAACTAAGCGGATCTCATGGTCTTGAGATACGGCTCAGATTTTAAAAAAAAGTCGATATTTTATTTTTTTAAACTAACACATCTTTTGCTGGATTCGAGCAAAGATACGTTTAATTTTTTTCTTCTAACGGGA